AAGGGCATGACTGAGGGTGAATAATTGTTTTATTTTAAGCGAAGAACTCACGTGAAAGCCACGAAATCAACTGACAAAAATCCTGGAATCACTTGGAGATGATCTTTGATCTGGAAGAAATGGTTTTAAATCGTAATTACAATAGAGGTACATGATCTGAAGTCTCAATTAATAAATATTAAAACAAAATATTTGGGAGCTGCAAATTTTCAAGACGGCTGAAAGCAGCTGAGAAAACCAATTTTGTTCATGATGCGCAATGAATTTCCCAGAAAATAAAAATTTGCACTTGTTTTCTCCACCTGGAAAAAGACAGTTTGTGTCTATTTAGATTACTCTCTGATTTGTACGCGTGTATGTTTGTTAGAGCGCCAAGTTAAACGATCTGCGTCCAATTATATAATAGTATGTTGGTAGTTCGTCAGAAAAGAATGGGAATATGATAGAGGTAAATAAGTTTGTAAGGGTACATGGCGCCCTTCTACTGATCCTGAATGACGAGCTGACCTCTTTTAGGGTTTCTTCCTTAGCGGTAACATATTCATTGCTGGTCGAGATCGCGTAACTTGGAGTAAAATACCGCCTGTCAAACATTCGCCAGACAACAAAATAGTATCCTAAAACGAGACAGCACAATGAGCATTAATATCTTTCAATTATAATGACGACAGAAATAATGCTTTTAAGCCTTTATTAGAAAGCTTTGAACTTATTTCGAGCAAATTTGTATTCATTTTTGAGCCTTGTTTATAGTGTCGTTACCTGGTTCACAGCCATATAACTCCAGTCGCAAACCAACGTTGCTACTCCACGTTTGCGCTATGATCATAATCGCTGACGTCGCAGTAGGGAAAGGAATGTCGTGACGTTTGATAGAAGTACTGTCTCTGTTTCCAGTAAAATTCTTTAGAAGTGGAAAATAATACAATCTACGTTTGCCTTCAATCGAAGAAAATTGCTTGCTTATTTCCTACTTTTATGGTAAATTGCATGTATAACGGAAGACAGTATAAGCTACCGAGAACCTATTTTACTTTATACATATTTTATTATTCAGATTTGATCTCAACTTAACGAGCTACAGAGAATACTCATCCGGAGGAAAACCAATGATTACAACCGAAAAAGAGCTTTAATTTGCGGAAAACCTTCATTGTTTGATAAAAGGAAGCCCGCTTTTGGGCATGATCAACTTTCCTCCACGTTCAAATCACACACCCATGGATTTTCCTACTGATTAACGTTTGGGATCTTTTAAAATAATAATCACGAATCTGCTTCAACACTAACCAGAAAAGGGACCAACCTACCTTTGTGTTTCCTTGTAAGGTTTTAAATGGCAGCATTTCGCCCGTTTTAGATTTGTACAGGACGATATAACTTGTTATCCACTCTGTAGAATACTTAGCTCCATATCCTTGGGTGGCCAATCCCGTAATGATTTTCTCGTTTGTGAGATTAACCTTAATCCAGCAATTCCGTGCGTCTCTTGGATGAGCTCTGTATCCGGGGGGCCAAGACGCCAGATTGAGTCGAGCTCGCTGAGGTCCATATTTGGCGAAGTCATCGTTGAAAGCACTTAATGCAGTTATTTGGTTGTCGTTGATTTTCTTGCTTTCCATTCCCAAAGGTTCGTCGCAAATTGCTGAAGAAAATGAAATATGACTATGAAGCTCTTAGCCGCGATGCGTTTTTAGAAAATGGCAGCTAAGATGGCGACCATCCTAAAAAACTGACGAATTTAATTCTTGAGCTGGAAAAGGACATAAACTTATTGTCTTAGACTACGAGCCTTTTTTTTGAACCCTGATACGGCGCTGGAAAGAACCAAATGCACTGATGTGTGGGTCTGCGACATTTGCTAGGACAGAGGTCCTCGTTGTCATAGATTGTGGTCATTTATCGCCTTTCCAAATGAGACAAATTTTGAATTTCCTCAACGTTGCTATGTAAGCCTTCTCCAAATAAGAACTCACTGGAACATCATCCCTTTGATTTAAGTTCTTAGGGAGAATTTTAACCGTTAGTTAAATATGAGTTCGGTTTAAGATTACGTAATACCTTGACTAGTTCTCACCTTTGCAGACATTAGACATTGTGTTCGGCAACCAGCAGATAAAGATGAAAACACATACGGTCAAATTTCTACCCTCCATTACCTGCAAAACGTTTCAAAGACAATTTCAAACTCAAACTTTGACCCAGACCTGTATTTGATGCTCGAAGGTTTGAAACAAGAAGAGTAAATTTTAACCGAAGTAGCGTTTTTTAATCAAGACAGCTAACTTTCAAAAGCAGACAATGCAAGAACCAGTATGTCAATTTATACAACCAATCGTAAGCGAGAGCCTGGTTTGCATTACTTTATTTACATAAAAAGGCTTTATAAGCCATCAACTGGAGAATCGTTTTTTAATCAAGATGTCTAACTTTAAAAAGCAGACAATGCAAGCACCAGCACCTGCATACTGCATGTCGATTAAAACAATAAACCTCAAACAAGGGCCTGGTTTACATCACTTTGTTTGCATAAAGAGGCTTCGTACGTTTTACACTCTTCTTTGTTTTCTGTCAGCGGGCTATGAAGAGTATTACTTTTGCTCGGCGAGATAACATTTGTTTATCACGTAGCTTACCCCACCTGATAAAATAAAGTGGCTGATTTGTTTTTTCCGTTTCTTGTCATACAGATTGTTTCGCTCCCTAAACCCCAACGCCGATATCAAAAAAGGCTAAAACTTCCGTAAAAGCACTGACTGTCCTTTAAATGATAGCATATGATACACATTAACTTTATTCATAAAAAGCACTTTTGAACACTCATGTCAAATGTGAAAGTTGCCGAAATATCGCGGCCATGAAAGGAACAAGCAAATGATGAGCCAAAAGTGAAAAGACAGCTTTAGCATACCACACCTTGATACCAATGAGATTTTTTGCTGAAATTCGTGGAACAGATATAAAATTATTCATAATAAATTTGAATTTCCTTGATAGAGAAACAGTTGTACCAAAAAGTAATCGTTAAGGTTTATAACACCCTATTTTTCTCTGATAATCGGTCGGACTGATATTCATAATTAAAAGCCAACTATAGGCTGAGGCAGGTGGTAAAGAAAGTGTTCGTGTAGATGTCTCCAAGCGCAAGGGATGAAATAAAACCTATCCATTACGAATTAATGTAATAAAACAAATAACATATTCAGAGTTTGTACTAAAGTGGCTTCGTTAATGGAGTCTGTATGTTTTGAATTGCTAAAACCATCCAACTAATTATGTTCACTTCATATTGGCAAATTCGAAAGCTCTTTGCAAATGTTACCTCTCCAAAATGGTTTAAAAGGGTCTGAAAGCATCTTAGACATATAAAACTATGGTGATTGTTTTCAATTTCTTTCTATTCGTCTGAATAGACCTGGTGCATTAGTTTAACGGGAGAAAATTAGGAAATATCTTCATGAAAAGTTCCATATAAATGATATAGATTTAAGATCATTTCCTCAGAAATAAAAGTGGTCGAACGATTTTTGGAAACTTCCCTTGAATTTTCCCTACTTATCTCTGTTTTGAGAACTAGAATAAAAATTATAACATAGATGAGGATAGTGCGCATCGTCTGATTGGTCAATTCAGTTTTCGGGCGCTTGCTTTATCAAGTTATTGTTATAGAGCCCGCGTTTGATCGGTGACAGCTACGATACGTTTCCGACATTTCCATGATGACGGATGAAGATTTTCCGAACTTTGATCTGATATAGGCTTTTGAAGTTCTGCGGTCGAAAAAATACCAATTTTGCAGAAAACGCAGAGGAAAGCGACAAAAACACAGGTAGCGGAGATGACGAAACAAGCAAGAAGGGGAGATTTGCCGAGGTGGAAACGAAGAGCTAGATTCGCTCGTCGGAAATGCCTAAGCGAAAAAAAGCAAAGAAGCAACCATAAGTGGGCAGTTTGCGTATTTGCAAGTTAGTTTTGATTAAGCAATATTTACAATCCATTACTATCTCATAAATTCATTTTTATTTCGAAAAAGATTTCAAACATGAAATTTAAGCTACACAATTATCGTTTAGCCTGTTGCATGTAATTTGATAATTTTCAGTCTAAGTTCAAGTTGTTTACACGAATTTACAAATGACATCGTGGTAACATTTTGCAGATTTTGATTCTAACCATCAAAGATTTGATACAAAAAGGTACTTTAAATTTGGTAGTGAAGAAGCCAATTTTCTCTGTCTTGTTCGTACATCATGAAGTAAACAAAAAGCCATGGGAGTAAGTCTTGCAGAGATGACGACTGAAGAATGAGGCAAAAACCTCCGCCTATTCTTCGCAGAAGCCAGAAAAAAAGAGCTAGAGGGCAAAAACTAGACGCGAGCTGTCCCAAGATCCTTAAGAAATGGCATTGAAAGACATCTTAGCACACCACCTAGAAACTTAGGATTACGTCAAGACCTGCGTATTGTGCTCTCTAACAAAATGCCTGATGCAAAAATTAAATCACTAAAACGTTATGTTTTACAAAACACAGCCCATAAGCCAGCTATCGAGCAGGAAGACCTAACCAAGATATAGCACAGCGATGTATTGTCACTCACCAAACCGTGGTCGTTTTTAAAAGTGTTTGGTTTCACGTTTCCCTTTAACTGGTGTCGCTGTGGTTTTGAAGGCCAGAAAACACTGAGGAAAAACGGTATAGTTCCAATGAGATGTGACAGGTTGCCCTTGTTACGTTATAGAGCCCGGAAAAATGTGCTTTATTGCATTTGAATAAATTGTTTTTGCACTTGATGTGCCCGCTTTGTTCTGCATAATTATAATAAGTTATCTCGTTTTTTTTTCATATATATTATTAAGTAATCACGCGATTTTTCTCGTGCAATTTGGAATAAATAAGCACATGTAAATTTTTTCAAAGACCATACATTGTACGAGCCCGCAATTTGAATGACATCGACTCAAAATATTCCTTGAGTCGTCGCTTTCAAGGTCAGAATTTGCATCCTCGAGTAACAGGCCTCGTGCATGCTTTTAGCCATATCACTTTTTCCTTCCGATTGATTTTTTTTCTTAATTTTTTAAATTATGCAATAGAAAATGTAAAACCGTGCTCGTTCATTATCAAAAGACCATAGTAACTGTTTACCTCGTCCATCGATTGAAAAAAAGAGCTTATTTCGGAATGTCCTCTGTCGCTAAAAGGGAACTCGATGCAGCGGCTGCTGGTGCACTGAGAGTATAGATTAGCTCACTTTTATATTTTATTTGTTCACATTCTGATTTCTTATAAAATTGTAACACCTAAAGATATCTTGATAGACATTCAAAATGAACACAATCCTTTGAATTAATAGTTATGTTTTCAATTATTTTCATTACAATAAGAATGGAAACATGTTTCCCATTAAAGTTATTGGTATATTGATATCATTTACTTTTCCTAACTTTTTGAAATTATTAAATCTATTTTTCGATATCCACACCATTTTCATCTGAATTTCTCCGCGATCTAAAATGCACAGCTACTGGAAGTCCCATTTGTATATTCGCCTGCACGATGTACTTGTCACCTGTCGTTGAAAATCTCCTTAGGGTTTGCTCGTCAAGTCTCAAAACTGCTCCTACATCAGCGAGTCCTTTACGAACATTATCAATTGTGTCGTCATCGTCCACGATGGACTCGGGCAAATCACGAAACAAACTCATGAAGTCCACATTAGAACATGCCCTATTAGATGCAAATGAGGGCGCTACCACGGACTCTGGAAGATCGCTCAACAAGTCCAATAGTTCCGTATCGAATTCATCGCTTGAAAGAGGTGAAGGTGTGCTAATGACATCTGGCTCATCAGTTGAAAATTCAGTTGCTCTTTCTTCCAAAGTAACGGCTTCAACACTACATGAAGCTGATCCTGTGTCAGCCGCGGGTTTGTTGTGTATCAGTGCTAGCTGAGATGAATGGTCTACATAATCCACGTATGTTGGATAGTCTGTTGATAGGTACATAATGCTTCCAACATACTCCTCCCTTATAGTCGACTTTTTTTCTTGCCTTGGCCTGTCGTACAACTTGTGCCGATAACCACAACTAGCAAGCTTCCTTTTCAAGATTTCGCGTAAACGTCTGAATCTTGTGAAATAATATTCCTTGATAAATGTTCCCAGATCTGCGTCTGCAAATTTACCGCCGGACATTTCCTTGACGCTCTCATAGGATTCATTAAGAATAGCCACAAACATGTTAATGAGGATGAAGGACATGCTTAGCATGAAGGCAAATAGATAAACAGGGCCAATAATGCGATTAGAAGATTGAAGGTCATGATAAAGTAAGTCTCCACCGAGAAATTTTTGAGTCAATGTCGCCAACGCTTCCATAAACGAATGGTAAGATTCGATATCATTGCCAAATACTAGCACTCCTAAGAGAACAAACGAAATTATGTTTATGCAAAATAGGACTGAATAAGACATGACATGTGGCGAAGAAAGCTTGAGCGAAGCTACCATTTGGCAAATGTGCTTGTTAAAACGAATTATCCTCAAGAATTTAACGGTGACAATGAAAACTACAATGGAAAGAACTATCATCTCCAGATCGATCCAGAAAAGTACATAGTCAGCACTTGCCGTGTCAAATGGGTTGGCCTGAACGTATTTTACAAACGCTGATACGTACTTTTCCTTTAAGAAAAAAAACGCAATCGTTGTCAGTGCAGAAATAAGCTGTAGCATGTTCATCCAGTTCCAAAAGGAGCCAAAGTATGCACAACTTTGTCGGTAGATCTTCACAGCTTCTAGCAGCAGAAAGTAAACAATCAAAAGCAGCAGGGTAATTTGGCAAGCCAATGATATTGAGCGAAGAGCAGGATTAGAGGAACCATATATGGACAGAGTATCGAAGCACACTTTGGTAACAGGTTTTCCAGTCGGATAAAGCTCGTAAAGAAGCTTTGCAACGCTAAATAAGGAGCTTGATGGTTGAAATACAGTGAACTCAACAAAAACTGCAGCGGTTCTTTCATCGATCCAGCTGTTGCTTTTAAGATTTATTACAACTCTTGATGCTGTTCTCGAGTTATATCCAAGGTCGGCAACGTACCCTCCACCATCGTACCTAATATTTCTTCCATAATACCACAAAGTATTCAAATCCGTTGATGAATTATATCGCCAAGGTTTTGGACAAAGCCTCGATAATTCAAATTCCGAATGGTATTTGCTGATATTCGTCACCGGTACCCATCCAGGCTGGTTCAATGGTGAGGTGTCTTCGTCATGGGGTGAATAAGGAGGAATACATCTCTTGAAGACGTCGTTTAATTCAGGGTAATGTTTTCCCATCTGACATGGATATTCTATAAGACGGGACAAAGAGATTCAAAATTCAAATTTGAAATTCTATTCTTTAGAAGAGTTTGTAATTACTATGGGTGCAGTAAATATCAACTCAGTAAACTCTCTGATATTGTCAATAATTCTATATGGATTTGAAGTATGAGGGTCTGCCTTTCTATCTATTTCTTAATCTGATATGATAATGAATAAGGACAGAACTTTGTTTAATAGCTGATGAGGTTTATACTTGCAATCTTACCTTCCTTAATTCTGACTTGTCTAAGCCTGGGCATACCAACAAGGAAGGCCGTTCTGGTGCTGATATAACCTTCAGGTGAAATGAACCGCTGACCATTATACCAGGTGGTATCGTAGATGCCTGGAATAAACTCTGCCTCAACCCACTCCCAAAATGCAAACTTTGAGTCGATCTTAAAGGTAAAACAGAGAGACCAATCTTCAAAAAACACGCTATTCTAATTGTAGGTATTGACTGTTTATCGACTTTTTGTCGAGCATTTGTAGAAAGATTTCGGATTTCACCTCTCATTATCCGTCAAGTAAAGATTGCAAGGTAGAGTTAGTGAAGTCTAGATTTGGAGAAATATGGGCTTCGAGAAAACGTACCGAAATTTCAAGGAACCGGAACGTCTACAACGAAGGTCGTTCATCGAGACTGATGTTAAAAATGTAGAGAACACACTTGATTTTAGGGTTGAAGCACATGTCAGAAAGTTATCAAAGCTAAGTAACTACTGTATTTGTCAATAGACTAGAATATATTGGTTGGAAGAAGGGTACCTCTTCAAATGATCCTTTAAGCATTGATTCCAAACTCGTTGTAAGTCGGTACCGACTGTATCCTCGATTTCCATACACCAACACAAAAAGGCAAATGACGAAAAGTAAATAGAGCACTATCTCTATAACGCTGTTGATAGTCTCCACCACGCTTTCTCTGTTCTTCCTTGCAAGAAGAATCTCATCTCCTGTGGGTGCCTTAACGTCCAAATTGTTGTTTGTTTCTAAAGATGAATCCTTGAGTGACTGAGCGGTTTTCTCTTCGGGAGGTTTTTTAAAGATCATGGCGAGAAGTAAAGCGACAACAACAACTTTAATGGGCTGCATGATTGCTACGTCTTGAAAAAACGATATTAGGGCTGACGTGAGCCATTGCCTTGATATTTCTTTGCCCCACTGGACGCTGTAGAATATGATAAATGTTCCGGCCGTCAGGGACGCGAGAATGCAAAGTAGCCATGCGATGTATTCAAAGAAATGAGGAAGACATCCGGGAATCTTAACCTTTTTGTTTCCGTGTGATTCTGCGGTATGCCGTTCTGCAGTTTTGTCACTCTGGTAAGATGTTTTCGTGTGGTTGTGTGAAAGTTTGATGTTCCTAAATATTGTGACAATAAGCAAGTTTAATGGCACCACAATTAGTGCGCTCTCGACTCCAATGATGATCTGGTTGACGCTGAAGCGAAAAGGACCAAGCTTAACTGTGTCACTCTGCTTTTCGCCAAACTGATAAAACATTGCTCCGGCTAACATTGCGCACAGAAGAACGCAGACACAGCAGGAAAGCCGTTGCGAGCGCGTGAATGGACTATGAGGAGGTCTTGTTAATAGAGAGAGCCATATATGGCCATCTACAAAGTTCTTGGTTACTCGGGTATGGAATTGGTACTTGAAGCTTGATATGTCGCTTTTGCTTGCAACTGGAATGTCTACTTGAACCTCCCCATCTTCTTTATCGACTGCAAGCCATCGGCCGCATAAGAAATACCATTTCTCATCAGTTTCGAGATCTTTAATTATAATCTGGTTGACATACCAAGATGGATGAGCTCCTGAATTGTCGTGCCATAGCTTGATCATTAGAGGAGAATGTAAACTGTCTGGTAAAGAGACAATAAAGTTGTTTATACTTGCTCGCGCAAACAGCTTTTTGCTCGTGTAACTGTCAAATAATTTTAGCGTCTCGCTTCGTATTTCCTCACCATACACGATCATAGCGACATTCGCTGTCGTACCAGAGTCTTTCCACATCCCAGTGTACACTGAAACCTCATACAGATGCCCGCCCTCTGCCTGGAGCCGGAGATTTTCAATTGCCTACGGTTGGAATATAATGGATAAATTAAGTACCTGCCACAGGAAGGGTCATGTTTTTATAGATGCCCTTCACATGTAACCCAGCAGCTGATGAAAGATTTTTTCAGGGTCACTTAAGAATGTCATAGGAAGGTACGGCTGAATCAGTCTGTAATGAAATAAATGGTTACAATCATTTTTCCTTACTTTGTATTCGTCCTTTCTGTCTGCCCGTCTAGCGATGACAATACCGATGATCCACAAACCATATATGGATAGGACCATTGCCAACACAAGAACATTTCCTGATTCAAAAATATCTGGGAATTTCCTGAATACGTAGTCGAAGTCAATTGGATTAGGAGCTACAAAAAAATTCCCGCCAAAAGAGGAAAGGTGATTGCAGAGACACTGTATCTTTTCCGCCGATGAGCCGGGTCCAACCTTTTTAACAAAGAATACCACTTTTTAACAAACCAAGCATTAAAGGGCCATTAGCGTAACGTATTTGATTATTTTTGTACCGTTTGCTTTAATCGATGAAAAAGCTATAATGTAAAAGGTCCTTTTAAAATTGTCTGAATCAACATTTCTATAATTAAAATGTTCTGGTCAGTTTCAGAAAATACATTCTAAGCCCTAATTAAATGTAATATCAATAATACTGATAGTACTGAATAATGATAAATATGTTTACTATCGACGGAGAGTTTTTAAGGTTTACTTCAGAGAGACTACTAATTGGCACATCAGAACGTTTGACATCCGCAACAATTTAAGCTAACCTTGCATCCCTTCGTTGACCACGCGTCTGCTGTTACATTCCAATACTGGCATGTCCCCATAGACACTGACAAAGTGTAATTGACATCTGTGCTGGCATTAAATGGTGGCTTTAGGACAACTATTGGGGGAGGAGTGGATGGAGGATCTTTGACTCCTACACAAGATCTCTTCTGGCGTCCGGCAAACATGCATCCACGCTTTACACGTCTTTCTTTACTAGCGGTTATATACTTTCTTGTTATGTTGGGAAGCGCACCAACTGTGATGCCCAGATAATGAAGTCCTGTTTGCCCTGTATCCGCAGCGGACACAGTAACAGTATACGCTTGAATACTACAATCCATGTTGCGATTTTCAGTAGAATAGTTACATGAGCTGTAATCTGGAAGGGATGCGCTGTAGTTGTAATTTGTCAATGTTGGTCTCTGTCCATATCGCACAAATAATCTAAGAGTGTGTAGGTGCGAAGGGATGATCTTTATGGAAATAACGTACTCAGGGCCTGGAAATACAATTCTGTGAAATCGCATCGTTCCATTTTCGTTCGGTTTTACGAAGTATGTCTGAGGCTTCTTGACTTTTGCCTCCAAAAGTGGTGGAATGAAGAGTTCGACGTTTTGGGAGAGGTTTGACACGTTCAGCGGGGACCCTCCCTCGTCTTTAAGCTCAAAGTCGATGACAACAGACTTTATATTAGTTGCACCTTTGGTCCACGTGTATGGATTGAATTTGAAGGTGACAAGCTGAAATCCGATGACATAAAGGCAAATGAGCTCGTAAAGAGATAGATCGATCATTAATCAACGTAAGATACACAACTGGAAATGCATGGCACTATATTTTCATGATCAAATTTTCCTTTCAGTTTCAAAATATAACGTATTTACTTAATTACCTAACGATATGTTTATAATGTATATTTGTTCTGGGTCAAGCTGTAGACAGTATTTTTTACGTTAATTGTTATATTTGAATGTTGTGATAAGTCAGCACCAGGTCTCAACTCACCTGAGTAGAGAGATATTCTTTGCTTTTACTGTCTTTTCCTATCAGGTCTTGAACAGATGGAAGTGTAACTTTGGAGTCCTGATACACTAAAGCTTTATTTCCAATTCTTGAGGGAATTTGCCTGTCAAGTACCATTGATAAAGACTTGGACTTGAGCACGCTTGGCTTTTCGTACAGTTTTTTTGTGTTATCTACTGTACTACCAAGACGAGTGATGAGGTTTAAAATTCGTTTGGAAAATGATTTGCTCTAGAGTGAGGGTGAAAAAAAGAATGCATTTAGTGAACCCAACCTATAATTTTTGTCGAACTCAGAACAATAAATATATTTTCATACAGTGACCAGAGTAAAACTGGCATGGTAATTTCTTCTTTCTCAACATGGCTATTATTAGAGAAGGATTTCTAATGATTATGTAACACAATATAAATCTAATAGAAAGTATTGAATTTGTAGCTCGCACCTTCTCTCTTCTTTCATAAGTGATTGGAACTGGTGGTAATTCTTCTCCACTTGTATCGTCCTTGGCTTCATGAGAAGTAATGTCCAGCAAGTTTCCCAATCCATTTAATAGTGCTGCTCCCACATGTTCGACAGATACTTCGGAGTTCGACTTGTTATTTACACTTTCTTCCATAATATTTGTCATGGAATCCAGCATTTTAATTGCCTTATCCTAGAGTGAGAAGGGAAAGGATGCATCTTGAATCTTATGGGCACTTTAAGGAGTACTGCCCATCGAGGTAGGGGCAAACGTTAATGTAAATTTGTTATTCTTTTACAATTTAGCATGGTGGAAATACATGCAGCGTTAAGAAAATCAAAGTGCTCTGTGAGCAAACTCGTGAATTGACAGATGACTTACATAATTTTTTGGATTATGGTTAAGGTTATCTGGTTTAGGGAATTTTGTAGCTGATTGTCATATTTAGAGTACGAGCAGTAGTTCAGTGTTGGCTAATGTAGCAAAGAAACAAAGTAACGTTGGGATTAGAAGGCACTTCAATTGAAATGATCATGCTATTACATTTGACAAGGGAGAATGATGTCATGTGTTTTAAACATTTATTTTTTTTATTTAGAGGGCACGGTAACGACTCCTGCAATCTGATTGGTTCTTTACTCGGTCAGTATTTTCCTATCTCTACCCACTGGCCACGGTAACGCTTTCGTGAGTCGCCGAGTACATCTCAACTTTCGTTGCCATTTTTCATAAATATATCTCGTTTTTCCGGCTGGGCAGTATTTTTATGCAAAACGTGCCCTCTTTATCAAATGAGACAAACGGGAACGAGTTTTGAGTGATATAACTAAGCCAAGACTGCCATCGTCATTTTGGATTTCCACCTGGGTAGATTTTGGTCACGTGCTAGGTATTGTATAATCAAGAACAAGATAGAATCTCATTCCAGGCCTATTTATCCATTTTGTGGTCCATAAGTTTCGCATTTTGGTACGTAATATCTATTTAGAATCTTCAAATTGTTCTTTAAAAATTCACTGGAAATCGGTAGCCAAAATTATTTGTTTAGGTGTTATTTGATTTTCGTGTTAACCTGTAATTTCGTCAGTCGCCAGTTCCTTTTGTTGCTTCACACAGGAAAAACACACGATACGAAATATAATGATCGATTTTGTCCCCAATCTCACGCCATAACAGAAAAAGCTTTTGAACACCATTAAAACTCCGAGCGCTTCGGAGTAAGTGATATTTTCAATGAATCTTCGGATTGTTTTTAAGGTCAAGGATTGTAAATTACAATTTTATGGAAAACGAAGGTTGTTCTCTTATTTCAGTGTGAATCCTCGCACGCCTGCCAGTCGCTAGCACCGCTTGTTGAAACTAAAACGAAAAAAAAAACTCTTTTAAGATTATTATTGGCTACTTTTTCATCTCACCACTATTCTTAGCAGCAAAGGTCGCCATTCCGTTTGTTCATTACTCGCCAAAAACTATCAAATGCACTCAAAAGCCTAAAATTGAAAAAAGTTTACAGGAATCAACCAATCGAGCGAGCAAGCGAGCGAGTGCCATTCTCCAAATCATATCTACAACTCGCTCTTGCGCATGCGCGCAATTTACGAGTTAAAAAACGAAAATAAGGGTCACGTAATCTAAAGAAAAACGTTTTGGACAGATCTGCATCCATTGGATAAGATCAGACTTAGCACTGAATTTAAAATGATTTATGATTAATAAGAGAGCAAGGCTATTACCATATCACTAGTTTTAAAGTTCGATTTATACAGAGGCTGGTTTTAAAGGGCACAATAAAAGAAATGGAGATTATTCCATGGAAAGTGCGCACAAACATTTTTTTGGTGCATCGCAACGAGGGAAATAAAAGCTTTCAAGAACTTCTTTTGTAGGATATTTTTATTTTATTTGCTCTGACTAACACATTTCAAAGATTGGAGGCGAACGACTGTGAAAATACATCGTCATCGCCAAACGAGAACACGAGCGAGAGTACTTCACAGTGTGACTCTCAGTATCTTTGAAATGAAAGAAGGTTGAGGTGACCAATTGAGCGATTAAATTGGCATACATACAGTGTCCAAATAAATCCAAATTAACTTGCAGAGATATATATATGGAACAGTCCTTGATACTCTGTTACATGTACTAACAAACCTCTGAGGTTGAGACACAATTGAAAACTAGTCAGTGGATTCTCACCTGGGACTCGATTGAGATCTCATTTCGTTGGTCGGCCACGCCAGCAACAACCGCTGAAACCTGCAACACTTCTTGTAACTCTGCAACTTTAACCTTCGACCAAGCGTCAACAATGCTATCTTTGATCTACAACAAAGGAGAGAAGATGACTTTTCGTTCGTTTTGGCTATTCTAATGGAGATCGGATATCCTAGACAACACCTGATTCCACAGGCGGCCCAAGCTTAGTATGTGCGATTACGGGGTTGAAAGGTTGTCAACAGGGATATCTTGTGCTGTGTGCTGAATATGCGTATTAACAAGAGAAGAACCCGCCAAAATCTGCACGGCAGGAAATCTATCCCTTTGCTCTTGGTTTCAAATCTTTCGTTAGTTCACTGAAGTCGATATTCCCTGCACATCGGACAATTGTGGGATAATTTAGATTTAATCATAGGCGTTCGCGTGTGCCGAAAAAAAAGAAATTAAAAAGTAAAAAAATAACAATGATAACAAAATGCTAGAAATATATGGCCTTATCACGGGATTCCCCTGAATGACTTAAAATTTTCCTTTTTTTTAGTAATATCTACATTCAAGAACCTTAATCTTCTCTTTTAACTTCATCTCATCCACTGGTGCGTGATTTACCACTGACAAGACAGATGTCGCCCTTTGTGCCGCCTTCTTAATGTTGTTTTCCTTCAGGAATTCATTCATTGGTCCTCCCGTGGACACCTCTTTGTTAAGAGTCTCGACGGATATTTCAGGCTCAATAACCTTCAAAGTTGCAATAGAATGTTAGAAGCTGTGAAACCTTACATTTGATTTTAATCAGATTTGCGGCTAAGGCACGATTCTCGTCGCAAGGCTTCGTTTTTCTGTCGGCCGATTAACCCAGACGAAAGTTTTATTAAATGTCATCCACGCATAACCAACTTTCACGCTATTTGTATTTAAATTTCAAGAAATTTCATAAAAATAGAACTCAGAACTGATATTGAGACAGCCAACTTGCCAAAAGACAGTTAAATTTAAACCAAAGTTATGGCAGAGAGTGTATAACATATCCTACCCTTAACGGTGAAAGCTTGCTAAATACGATAAGTGGCTAAGTTCCATTTTTGAATAAATCGTTTCAACCCGTGGAATGACTAACAGTCTTAAGAGAGGATGTCAGCATCCATCGAACAAATTTGAAATATTGTGGCAAGTCGCCCAAAATTCGTTTTCTCTCCTACTTTTATAGTTTGTTGCCCAATATTTTCTAATAATTGTGGTGTAGTTTTTTGCGAAAATATATTTTAGTTTTCGAGAAATGACTTTTTTCGTTCGACCGCTAATATGCAAATTTTCACCGTGAATATTACCCGAGTTGTGTGACCTCATGTAACGAATGTACTGGACCTACGGTATTTCTGTGAACATAATCCTTTGTTTTATCATCTAAACTTAATCCTCTGTCGTTATTGAAGCTGTGTCGAAAAGTAGCATCAAAACAAAGACAGTTTTAACAATGACCGATATGACACAATTTACTGAGCTTTCAGCTTTTAAAAGACCAAAGGATGGTTATAAAGATACTGTCAAAATTTCCTTGTGTATTTATGTTGTTCTATTTTGAGACTAACTCAAAGTCCGGCAAAATTTACTTGATAGCGACTATGAAATGTACATGGTGCGCCTACTTGTCGCCACCGTTAATTGGCATAAATCACTACAATTTGTAAAAAAGTCTAACGTAACACTCTTGCCTTGTTTATATATGATTTTATTAGCCGCTTCGATTATTATATTACGTCTAGGTATTACTTTTTGACAGGAGCTCAGGTTTTGCGTTGTGTTTTCCCCTCCCTCATTTACATCATTAGCTGGTCACGCAATAGTTGATACCGACACAAGTGAATATTTACCATTTATAAAGATTTCTGTTTACGTTGAATTGAAAATATTAAATTATGTGCTTTCTTCACTAATCGTTGTTTCAGCGGCAGCGAAGCAGTTAAAAGCGGGTTGTTGCTTCAACGCTACTGAATTTCTTAGTATTCAGACAGGCGAGCAAAGCGTGATGCTCTGGGAATAAAAACTTTTTGGGACCTTTAACATGATATCCGAATGAGTTTTGTACAAGAACGAGTTCATACTGGTTGCAACATAATAACCAGCGTAAAATTTATTCGAAATGAGTCATTTCTGAGTGAGTTTATTGGGGTAATCATTACAGAACGAAAGACTCATTCTGGACGACCTTTTCTACCTGTACAATGTAAACGCGGCACGGCTCCCATATTTGTATGAATCCTCTGTAGGAGCGAGGGAAGCATTGAAAAAGACAAAAAAGGAGATAAAGACTTGTTTTTACAGGCTAATTATTGCCACTTCCACACGGATAAGACTTAAGTACCTTTTATAATTTTATAGCGATCGTTTTCGAAATTCCAGGCGGGCACCCCCGCCCTCTTATGTAAAGGGGTCCCCTGGGGGTGCGAATACGTGCAGCACACCTGACATTTAGCAAGGACAAATTCTGATGTGATTTTGGCGAAGAGAAACATGTTTTGTCAGCGTCTAGTCGCTGGTGCGGAAACGCCTTTTACCACCCTGTGCATAATCACGCGTTCCCCCATACGGCGGAAAGCCAGCAAAGCGTTCAGACATTACTTCAGAAAACTCCGCCTCTGTCTGAATTTTTAGTAGCCTATTGACCAATTCTCAATCGAGACTTAACTCTGACGTCACGCGTAATTTTGCTCACGGTGGTAAGTAACCTACTTACCGAAGCCAGATTGTATGAATTTTCCAGACATCTTGAGTGCTATCTGTGATACACGCTTGCTAATTCCCCTATCAGCTTTTGGAATCGACTTAACCCTACCTCTACCATAGCCGGACATTTCTTTTGGCATCCTACATCTGCTATTGGAACTACGATTCCACCCAACACCGAGATTTGATCTGTGAGTGGGGCAATTTGTAAAATCATCGATATCATTTAGCGTCTCGAAGATGCCGGCACGCGACAAAACAAGATCAACTTCATTTCCGGATCTGCAAGTCCGCAATTTACATGAAATGTCTTTTTAACAATCACGCAAGGGAACGACTTGGTCTTCTCGTTAACTAAACCCACAAGTTCCACCAGCGAACGATTTAACTAAATAGCAAATCTCCATGCTAGCATGTAAGATGAAACGCTTATAAGACAGATCAGTTAGCTAAATCAGTAAGTAGCTTGTCAATCAAATTGACCTCTGTAACCATACTTTGACTTCAGCCGGCGAAGGAATCATTGATGGATCTGGACATTTTAGTTTTCTGAATGCAGTAATTCCTGAAAGGTTTTTCTAGATGCATGCAAAGAGGAAAAAAATCCATCACTTGGTATTTCGGAGGTTGATTTATCTTTGAATTTCTATGTTACGCTTGTCACGCAACTGATATAATAAGTCAGAGAAGATATATAAACCGGAACTCAAATCTGGCTTGAATGTGGTAGAGCATAATTATCGTGATCATCGAAACAGCTAATAAAATCATAAATAAACAGGATGAGAGTGTTATGTTTGGTTTTTTTACAAGTTGTAGTGATTTATGCCAATTAATGGTGGCGATAAGTAGGCGCACCATGTTCATTTCATAGTCGCTATCAAGTAAATTTTGCCGGACTTTGAGTTCGTCTCAAGATAGAACAACACAAATACACAAGGAAATTTTTACAGTATCTTTATAACCATCCTTTGGTCTTTTAAAAGCTTGAAGCTCAGTAAATTGTGTCACATCGGTCATTGTTAAAACTGTCTTTTTTTATGCTACTTTTCGACATAGGAAAAGTATGTCGGACAAAAATATTCACCAAAAAATAAATATTTCCTTGGCAGCTTCAATAACGACAGGGGGCTAAGCTTAGATGATAAACAAAGGATCATGTTCACAGAAATACCGTAGGTCTATTACATTCGATACATGAGGTCACACAACTCGGGTAATATTCATGGTGAAAATTTGCATATTTGAGCGGTCGAATGAAAAAAATTATTTCTCGAAAACTAAAATATATTTTTACAATAAAACTACACCACAATTATTAGAACATATTTGGCTACAAAATATTAAAGTAGGAGGGAAAACAAATTCGGGTGACTTGCCGCTGTTTGTTAGATGCATGCTGACATTAGCTCTTAATTACTTTGTTTCTATACCTAATGTTCGACTTACTTGGATATATACACCAGTATTCACTGCAGATCCTAATGCATCAATCACAGTCATCTGAACCTGCAGTTTAAAATCCCTGTTTGAATCTCCAACCGGTAGTTTACCTATGGCAGTGTTTGAAGTCCCCGAGTGAAAAATCATTTCAATGCCCTCACTGCTGTAGTAGCTGAACGTGAACTTTAGAGGCAGTTCGTTATCGTACCAGCCATTGCAACTGAACACAAAGTCAGTTTCCCACGCCTTTCCTTGAGCTAAGTTGACTTTACATTCTCCTCCACTTGGTGGCGTGTTCGTCACAAACGAGTATGTTGCAGAGGATATATGTCCTCCTGAGGTTCTTCCAGTTACTGTGACATTATAGGTGGCATTACCATGGAGTTTTCCCTGCGCCAGTATCAAGTTTGGTGAATTATCGTACGTAAGTACCACTTCATCCTGGTTAGTTACGTGTCGCCAGTGTGGATCATCTCCTACGCGATATTTGATTGACCAAGAGTACTGCTGGATTTTGTTGCAAAGGAGACCTGTGCAATTTGTTTCCAGGATCAGTCTTGATGATTGAATCACATGACTTTTACAGTGTTCACAGCTGTTGATTAAAAAGCAGGTTTAAAAAATTCTTCTACGGAGGAAATAAACCATGATTGTATAATGGAGTTAAACCCCCTCTCATAAAAATTGCCTTTGAATGTGATATTTTTGTTGTGGACAATAAGTGTCGGCTGTCGCAAGATCATTTTATATAGAAATGTAATCAATGACATCATTCAGCTGAGGACTGGATTTTAATTGGTAAGTGTTTCGCACCAAACACTACCGATATAATCAAACTTGTTGAATCAATACTTACTTTACTTTTAAGTGAATTTCCTCTTTAATTCGAAGTCGATGGAGCGCATTGACGACCGTCCCCCTTTTCTTCACATCAAGCTCGATTACGTAATCCTCGTCACCTTCCATTTTATCGATATCTAGATCGAGGATGTACGGAAACCCATTTCTTGATCTTAGTTTTCCGATACCAGTACCATAACAGCCTTCACGGTTCCTTTTCGGTGGAAGAGTTGAGCCAGCAGGAGGGAACACCTCAGGAAGTGTTGCTACGTCATCCGGAAATACTTCGCTTTCTTTTCGACAAAGCCACGTGAAATTCATTCCAATGTAGATTCCTTGTCCGACATCTGGATCATGAGTCTTTGAACCATTAAGGGTCAGTTTATGGTTAAATCCTTGAGAGGCGTAGCTTGCGCCTGATATGTCGGCCACCAGAGTAGTGGACGTAACTTCTACGTAACCAGAACTACTGACTTTTCGTTTCTTATCCAGGATCCCGATGATCTTCATGAAGTAATGGCCATAGTTTAATGTCTTACTAGGAATGGTTTCTTTTACTGAGTCAGCATTAGGAGAAGTAACTTCTTTCAATTTCCTCATGTATTTAAAATATCCCGATATCAGGTCGATGGCATAGATGTCTATTTCGATACTAAAATTTGTAATTAAACTAGACATGCCACAATATGATTCCACCTTCGCGGAGAAAACAAAGTCTTCTGATTTTTTCACTTTCGTTGGCTGCGTGATATCTTCAGAGAGAGGCTGTCCATTTACTGTGGGTGAAGATATGTTGAGAGGCTTGCAGGATGGATCACCTTCAAAGGAAGTCAACCACAAAAAGACGTATTAGCGAAATTTTGGATATCTCTTTTGCTGTTTTGGGCTCATTTGTGTTTTTGAATCAAGGAAGGAATCTTTTTGGGTACTAAAACAACCTATGTTTATGACAATAATTTCTATCATTTTTGCGTGTAATGAACTAAGAGAAAGACGCTGAAAAGTAGAGCTGCACCCAACTGAATAAAAACCTAACGCTAGTTTTTAGAAATACTGCCCCTTACCTCTATCTTCAAATACCGGCCCATTAACAGGATCAAAAATTCCCACGTACGTGTGTGACCCAAGCTTCTTCGTAACAACGGCCGTGATGTGTTTTGTGCTGTTCATTAGAGTCCTGAGAAGAATTTCTGCCAATACATTTGGTTTTGACCCTGATGGACTGGAACACCATTAAAAAGGAGCATTAAATATTCTCTTAGATAACATGATAATCAGCATAGGAATTTTTTCTTTGTTTATTTCATCATCAGAAGCTCATTCCGACTCAACTGAATAGTTCAATAATCAACTTTTGTTATTCGCAATGGTAAGCAAGTATTGAAGGTGAAAATTGTATAATTTTAATGCTTACGAAAAAGCTAGAGTGAAAAAATTTAACATAAGTGAAGTATATTTCCATGTTAACAAAAACAGGCAATGATTGGAAGCTATGTGACACTTTCAAGAGTTGTCGTTCGCTCAAAACTCATTTACCTGAATATCCTTAAAGCTGAACCGAAGAAGTGATCTCTTTCATCAAACAACAAGGAGTTATCGACCTACATAACAAATATAACCCGTTGTGAATGAGAGAAAAATCAAGATTTTGATTGGCGTGATGACTTATTTTAAAAAGTAATCATACAAATTGCAGAAAGATATCAACAACAAAGAAAGCGGCTCAGCTAAGATTACGTTCTTTAACCCTTGCCAGTTCAAAGTAATGATTAAATTAAAGCGGATAAGTTACAACATTGATGATCTTCATTTACGTACTTTATTGCAATTGTGAGTCACTTTTGCAAGAGTTGATCTGCAATTTTTCCGTATTACCTTAAGACTTTGATAAATTCAGAATTTATCTAATTTACTTACCTCATGAATGACCTCATCTTGCTTATTCTGGTACAGAGTAGAACTTTCGTTCTTAAGGGCAAGTGTGAATGTCATATTCTTCAACTCAAGCCACACAACCAGAAAGAATTCAGTCTCTGTGTCACACACGTCATGAAAAGACAAATTAGTGAAAATTAGAATTTGTAATTTTTTCAGCCTGAAAAAGTTATGCAAACAATTATCTTTGAAAATGGCGCGATATATCGCGCATTTTATCGCGACATGAGAATAATAAATCGACCAGATACCGGTGCTTTCCTGCAATATATCGTTCCAGCGGTATCTCGTTTCAGAGATATATGGCTCCAGTGGAACATCGCCACAACAATATATCGTCCATATGTCAAAGGGATTATTATGTTATCAAGAAATATCGCTAAAGCGAAATAACGCTACAGTGATTTATCCTGGAGCGATGAAAGCCTCTTTACAATATATCGTAGTAGCGATATATTGCCACAAAGATTTTTCTTCCAAGCTGAATAGTAACTTGAAATGACAGCGTAGTCAAAAAATGATCAAACTAAAGGCAGCCCACAATTAACTACTCGTTCCGAAACATAAAGGGCCGTTTATGTAGATAAAGGTTCAGCCGTTTTTTTTTAACAAAACCGCGTCGTAAACAATCCTTAGTTTACCTGGACCTTTTATCTGAACATCTGCTTTTGTGAACAGTGTTAAGAGAGGCGAAAGCTAACAATTGAAGGATTTTTATTTAATTAAATCAACCCTCTTGTGAAGAAAGTCTAAGGCCCAAAGAATGCGTAAAACCGTGGTTTGGGGTGATGGCTAACGGTTAAAATTTGTCAATTTCTACGCCCAACGGCTAATTTTTTTTTGTTTTCGTTATAAGGTGGCTAATAGTCAACCTCATGGAGACCCTCATGTAGCAATCGCAGCCGCAGATGGATCGAAATTTCTATTATATGTTTGGTTTACACTTTTAAGTGCTTTCATTGTTACCTTGGTATTTTGTTTTCCACAAAATAGGGGCATGGAAATGTCGAGAACATTGGTACTATTTATTAGAAAATAAATTGCAATCTGGTCGCCCATAAACTGAATGTCGATCCATGATGACAGAAAAATCCCTTTCCTTATTTCTCCCTTTACATCCGGGAAATTACTTACCCTGACTACATGTTGGTCCTCCGAAGCCTGCAGGGCATGCGCAGGTGAAACCGTTGATCTGATCCTTGCACGTAGCGCCCTGGTGGCATGGGTTACTTCCACATTCGTTTAGCTCTAACACAAGAATATTGTTTCAATAAATTCATCGCATTCACAGAGGTGAAAAAAGGCCACTGAACATGTTTGTTTAACAGTATGTCCACATTGAACAACATGACTTACCAATGTTACAACTCTTTCCAGTGAAACCAGGAGTACAATCACAACTAAAGTCATTTACGAGATCCTTACATGATCCATTGACGCAAGGATTCATTTCGCATTCGTTAATGTCTGCAAGAAAAAGATCCAACTTATCAGAAACGTATTATTTGATAATTCTGGGAAATGCTGTAGAAAAAGCAAATAAATGTTAAAAGAGTATGGAAAGCATTTTTGTGAGCCATAAATACATTTTTGACAGTAAAACACATATATAAGACATTTGAATGATAAAATATAAAACTAAGAAATGTATAACATTCATTTACCTATTTCACAATTTGATCCATTAAATCCAGCCGAACAGTTGCAGTGAAAATCATTAAATAAGTCTGTGCAAGTTCCATTGTTCTGACAAGGATTGTAAGCACATTCATCTGTTTCTGCAACCAAAAGCTCTTCACTAGAAAACATTAAAACTTAACCCTTCTTGTGTCAATATGACACTCTCACTTAAAAGGGTTACAATTGACAATCTAAATGATGCAAACACCTGCACTGCAGGCCCCTTATGAATAAAAATATGACATGATTACCAACCTGTGTCACATTTCTTTCCAGAGTATCCCGGCAAACAGCCAAGGCATTGGTAATCATTAACCAAATCAAAACAACTGCCATTATTCTGACAGGGACTGGTCGCACAGTCATCAATGTCTGGGAAACAAAATCAGAAAGATATGGCCAATAGCACTGATAATATGGTCGATATTTGGCCGCACCATAAGCGGCGGAGGCTGGAGGAGATATCTAAGAGCTCTTATCAGATTATGATGATGGATTTCAGACAATATAAATAAATCAAACAGACGGTATGAAAAAATACTTACTAATTTCACAGTGGGTGCCATTGAAGCCATCAGAGCAGTTGCACTTATATCCTCGGATTTGTTCCCAACAAGTACCGTTGTTCTGACATGGAAGACTTTCACATTCATTTCCATCTGAAATAGATGAGGAAGTTTTTAAATTATGCTTCAATGAATTACAGTGAAAGAAAGAAACAAACTGTCCATTATAAAAATAGCGTTGCTTCACTTTTCTGCGAGTTTCTTTTGGTTCTGCAAAGACACCACCTCAAGAAGAAAAGAAAATCGTACAAGTTACTGAGGTAACGTTTAATTAAAAAGAGGGACTTCTGCCGCTAGCTTTCAAAATTGTTTAATTTTTTTAGGGGTTAGAGGATTTTTCCTTCAGAAGCGTTTTCCGCACATTCATGTTTAAGACAGTGATTTTTGTCTTAGAATGTGTGCAAATACATTTAAAACAGCTCCTCTTGTTTTGCCATGCTATTGGTAATTCTTCCCGCAGCAATTTCTTCCGAAAATTGAAAAGCGTTCCGTTCTTTAATATTTTAGATAAATACAAAGCGCCAAATTTTACTTCTCATTTAGCAAACGGGCCTTGCAAATTCCCTCGTAAAATAAATTTTCGGGAGGTCTTACTAGGTAAGCTTTCAAACATAACTGATTGCATGAGCCAACCTGCAATACATCCATATAATTCCAGTCTTAGAGCAAAGTTATTTTCCCATTCAATTGGTATGACATGAACTGATTTGACCATCGCCGGCCTTGGCACCACGTGGCGTGTTATAGCGTTATCGTCCATGTTACCTATAAATTGCTAACGAAAAGTAAAGATATGTTTATCGAGAAATGTTTGTTAAATCTACATTGTGTATCAATATATCAAAAGAGCGAGATCAGTGTCACGACTGACTCGCCTTTGAGAGTCTCGTGCTAGATACCTGTCACATTTCACTGTCCATAATATTGTTATTGACTAATGAATAGATTTATGAGTCGCATTAACTTGCCTAAATCTAACATTGCTCCGTTCAGGAAAGATAAACCTAACTTGTTTCACTTCTTTTTTGTCGCCAACTATATCTGTATCAATCTTTCCTTGATATAAAGAAATTTTTCTCTTACCTTTGCACGGTCTTCGTTTTTCTCCTTGAAGAAATGTGTGCCGGATCCAATTGAATATCCTAGGTGATATCCCTTAGTCCATTCTTGTATATGTTTTCCATTGTAGCCTTGAGTGGCTACTTCAGTTATAATCATAGCTTGATCAAATGTCACTGTAAATGACGAAACATTTGCCCCTGGTTGAGCTCGATATCCGCCAGTCTGATTCAGTCTTCCTCGCCCAGGCCCGTATAGAGTGTAGTTGTCTCCATAGACTGAGCTGGCAGTTAACTGAGTGTCATTTATTCGTCCATCCGCTAATCCAAGTGGCTTGTGACAATCTAAGAACGAAATATTTGGTCAGACGTCAACATTATGAGACCTAGTTTCGGTCAGTCAATTCGAGTCTAAGGACCTCTAAGTATAAATACTTTACGATTCCATGAACCTTCACTACTTATTTTTGTAGTACCTGTCGGCGAGGATATATCTTTTGGTAAGTTGGAATTGCCGAGGAATTGTAGTTTTCTCAGGATGATTAACGCAAACTTATCGAGAAACAGTGTGCACTTTTTGCAATGGCACTAGTCTCACTACGGTCCATAATATCATCTTTTGATTGATTTCATTCCTATGCAGATTAGCTTTGCCTGTTAAAAAGTCCGATAGAAATGACGGATTATCTAAAACAAGCATTTCCGAGTCATGAATCCATCCTCAGAGTCTTTATAAAATATGTTATCTTCATGAGTACTTTTCGGAGAGAAAAGATGAGCATAAAACTTAAGCCAGGTAATTGACATTGAATTGTTCTGATACGTACATAAACAAGAAATTTTTTTTGGTTAAGGCAAAAACAACATTAAGTGTTTTCCCAACGTGTGCACAAACAAGTTGATTGAAATTTGTGTCTGTGTGAAAAATTCACAGTTAATTTGCAGGGTGCACTTTCATTAGCGCAGATAGCTGAAGATTACTGTGATTTGATATCAACTTGGTGTAAAAAAGGCTCCTTGCTTAGATGAATTTTTGATCAAGGAACGTATAACTCAGGTGCAAAGATCGCTAGGTTAGGTTCGTTTGTCTGAAAACCTAGACCATACTATGATTCAGTTGAAAACCAAAGTGACAAAAGCCCCCAGCCAACGTGACGTAAATCAGATAGCAGCTCTAGTCTTTCAGTTGCAAAGGATCAAAGGTGCGAAATTTAAGAAGTTTTGTCGCTCACACCGAAAAACAGGAGTTATGAAGAAACTGCTCCACTAATCAAATGATTGATCGGTCTCTAAAACAAAAGTCTACAGAATAGATAGACCAACCTTTTGATGAAACTTCAAAGTTCTTCATTAAGACGATCAGTGAAAAGGAGAGTATATAAAAGCCCCTGTTAATTCTAACGGCCATGTTCACTAAATGGCTCGGTCGTCGTATTTGGGGCGCAAATGCGTGTTTGCAGTTGAAACAAAAATTATTTACTTTACAGCAATCAGCTGAATTCCTTATCACACTGGAAACGACATGTTAAGATCTCGGATAGAAATAGGTTAAAAGAGAACATGAGCTCTGGTTCTCAGTTTAGTTCCTTCTCAAGGCTGAAGGGAGAAAGGCAGGCTGATTTGTGGGTAAGAGTTCTTTAAGACATTTTGGCTAAATTGTCTTCTTATTGCACATTTTAAGCCAATTTACCTCATGAAAGTGCCGAAGGGGGGTGTTTTTAATCAATAATTGACGCATTCCTGAGCACTTTTGGAGACAGTGATTTAGTCTTATGCAGCTCTCTCGACTTTTGATTTTAGTTAATCAATGGCTGATCTGTGATTGGTTTAAAAGAATAAACAAAATGAAATTAGCAGGAGCAGATTAAAGAGGCTAATTGTTCAAACTTCATGATATATCAAACTGACAAAATTCATGATGAAAACACATTGACGCGTTGCCAACCGAGTTTTTGATTGACAGATTTATATTAAACTTTTAGTTGTTTTAATTTCTTGACCAATGGAATCTCGATTCCGGTAGGAGAGCTCTGCTCGCACAATTTGTTTGAATTAAAACATAGACATGCGACTCGATCCCTTCAAGTTTATTATTCAGGTTCCGTGCGCCCTTCCTTTAACTTCAGAGTACCAGGCTAATGGATCTGGATCGAATTATTCTCAATTATTCTCAAAATTTTTTTTTTAGTTCGTGCAATCTCACAGCTCGTACAGGAGTATAACAATTAACATACTTTATGATCACATGCTGTTACAATAGTTCTATTTGAACTGCTTTGGCCTCAATAAAAGCTGCTATGCGAATTGAGAAAAGAAATGATATCACATCTCTTTGATAAAAGATGAATAACGTTAGAGTAGGTACAGCTTAGAATGGAAGCGAGACAAGATCAGCTCATTCAAACCGCCTGTCATTTTTTCTTAAGAGAAATCAATTATAGTTACACGCGAACTATAAGGTTAGTTGATATTTATCTTAGATAGCCAACTGCCGATAGTATGTAGCGCAACAGCTCGGCTGTAAGTGTAATTGACGTTTAAAAAAACACTCAGCCCTTTCAAATTTGATTTAAAGCGCGGTCGTTTTGACGAAAAGTGAAAACTCAGAGGGTTCCTGATTTTATAAAATCCCAGCCCTAGGTATTTGTAGATTATTGTCTGATATCCATGAATGATTATTATGACAAAGCCATTATCAAACATGTCTCTCTAGCTGACGTCACCACTGTATGGCCTGCTTGTGACTCAAACGGATCATTTGTAAATCGACGAAAGGATAAACTGAGTAAAATTCGGCATAACATGGAGCTAATTTATCGGCCTCCTATCGAATCTATCCTTAATATTGGTTCAAAGTTGCTCTATAACGCTGTTCAACTCGGAGTCTTTATATACCCTATCGGGTATCAAGGTCGATAAATTGTTTTTTTTCTCAACCTCCCACATGAATTCTAACAATAATATTGATACAGGATTATCTGTTGGTCGTAGTGCTGGAGGAAAACCTGACAGTGCCTTAAATAAACTCAAGACAAGACAAAACGATGATATGAAATGAATGTATTAATTAACTTTTCAACAAGTTCGCAATTCAGTGAAACATATGATTGAAATTTTAAGATAAGCGGAGCAAAAGACATTGATTTCCGAAAATATTTACAGAGCAGTTGGGAATTCGATAAGATATTCATACCGACCCTCTCTTGATGATGCGCAAGATCGCGATTCATCGATTTTCAAACTGAAGGTGTGTTTTGCAACATTTTGATAATCATGGTGCTTCAATATAAGCTTAGGTTTTCTAATGAGTATAATCTTTATAATAAGATTGTCGATGTAGTTAGATATATTTGTCAGCAAAGTCCCTCGACTGCATGATTGAAGCAACATACAGCACAAAACAAATACACAATTAAAATGGTAAAAAAACAACCTACCATCCCCGATATAGAAACATTGGGCCGGCCATATGGAGTGGATCACAGCTTCTATCAAAAAGATGATGAACACATTAAGGTTGTTCATGGTTTGGAAGGTTGTTCAGACGCGTTAGAACAGCTCTCCTTTGAAAATCACAAGAGGTTCATCTAAAGGTCACAGGTGTCGCGCTGAAACAATACACGCATTATAAGTATGTTTTCATAATTAAGAAGATTTTTGTAGTTGTGAACTAAAAATGAGACACAGCTTTCTGTAAAAAAAATTCCGTAATGAAGCCTAAGGTTTGATGCAGGTTCTTCTGAGTGTCTCAAATATTTTATTTAGTAAAATGGCCATCATTTTCTTGCAGCATCCATAATTACAGCAAAGGCATCTCTAGGCAATAACATACTGGAAGGCCTGCATTGCATCCCAATCGAAGCATAAATTTCCTTTTCCAGCTCTTCTTCATATAATTACTTTGGCTAGGTTTGTTTTGAGAGGATCAGTTTGATATTATCATCCACAGACACTGGGTTAAATGAGTTTTCGGTGTACCATCTGTATTGCTTACGATCATTTCATCTCAATTTCTTGATTTGGAAAAACTGAGATTTGTTGAAATCTAAACGAGATTTTTATTGAATGTTCCAAGTTACATATAGAACCGGATATTACAAGCGTACACAATTAGCTTTTTCGATAACAGCCTCGGGAATTTCACGCTGTAAACATTAGGTTCTCTCGCTGGCTGTTTAAGTGTTTTCAGTTTTATAATCAGTAGTTATCAACATGTCCTTAGTTTTTTTACCATTGAATTTTGAATTGTTATATGCTTAATTCATATCCTCAGTGAGCAATAATTTTAATCCAAGCTCAAATATTAGCACCTAGACTTTTAAAATCGTTTGCTTCGGCTTTCCCCTTAGTTCTACAAAACAAAACAATCTCTTTGATAATCCCTATATGGCATTGGAGCTTTTTATCATTGTAACTGATCACTTTAAAAATCATCACCTCGATGATTTACATTTTTGTTGAACTAACTGATAAAAAATTGATTGTTCGATTAGTTAAATACAAGACGTTTTGTCCCTGATGGGTCTCTCGGGCGCGCAATTGATTCAATAATTTTATCGCATATCTGTGAAAAAGAGATTGCGCTTATTCTGGAAATCTCGAGGTTACTTAATCTCGTGAATATTATTTGTGATAGTGATATATAACTTTTGAATTACGTTCGGCAGATAAAGTGTGCAGCGACATGCGGCATAACGATCAATGTTTATAGATAGCACCCCTTACAAGTACCTTGGTTTAGCAGCTGATACTTTAGATGAATCTCTCTTGAAATCAATCCATATAACATAAAGAGTACTTCTGAACTTCATTTCTGAAAAGGGATTCACCCTCAGTGCTTTGATTTCCACCGTTAATGATAAAAGCGAATGAGTTTAACATGACCACTTTGTGTTGGTAACCAATCGGTTTGACGAGCTCGGTACCATTTTTCTGATACAGCTTGAGATACCTTTTCAGCTGCTCCGCGAATGTATTCAGTCTGAAAAAAACACTGTAGAAACTTATTTCGAAAGTTATGTGGACTTATTTTAGTTGTGAAGCTTAATGGAAAATTTTACGTCACTCAAAGATCAACATTTAATGAGAAATTATTCCTCTTGTAATGGATACTGTCCAAGTAAATGACAGACCATCACGTTCTCAAATTCATTAACGCTGAGCCGTTGAGTGGGATGAGCAGTTCTGTCTGGAAGAAAATAACTTTGTCTCTTAATTGTAACGGCAAGGGTAATCGATCTGCAACCGACCCATGTAGAGATTTTAGACATATTCACCTTTTTAACTAGAACAAAACTTTTTCAAAAATAACTAAATCAACGTTTTCAATAAACAACTAATCCAGCAGTTGTTTGGTTTCCCTAAAGAACCAGTAATAATGACCATCTTAAAAAGGACACAGCAAGATGTTTTTTCTGAAGTTTTGAGAGTTAAATGATTTATATTTCGATATATTGATGGTATTTTTAACCTATCTATTATTTGTATACTTTGCTTATATTACCATCAACTTCAACTGCTAATCATTTATTCATGATTTTAAAAACGAATCAGTATATCAAATTGTAATCATATCTTATTTCTCATTCCTAGCCATCGTCTGTGCCAGTATAAGATTTGAATGTATTTTGTTTTAAGAAATCTTGAATATATCATTTAAGCTGTGGAAGCATTTGCCACTAAAAAAGTTTGTAATTCCATGGATCCGTGTCAAGACTGGTTCACCTGCATGACCTTCAATATGCATTCGTAAAATCCATCAGAAAAGCTTATTTATACTATATCCCCCATCCGTTCTTATCTTGTTATAAGATCTGCTTTTCATCCTATCAATTTCTTCTAGCGAAGTTCATGTTCTGAGAAAATAGTTCGAGAACTGAATTGCGGGAAATCATATTCCCAAATACGTTTTTTTAAAATTGTTACTTCAAAGGCGGCAGACCTCTCTGCTCACAAACACTGTATGTATACTAACCACTATGCAACCCTAGCAACCATATGCCTAGAATTTTTCTCTTGTGTTTTAAAGTAATTCTAAAAGAATTTCCTAGGTGTATGCAAGGCGAGCAGTTGGAAGGCATCGTCCGCTGGGATCATTCTATTTTTTTCAGTTCCTTGGACGGAGATGATTTGACGTGCGGCAAAAACAACGTGAGATATTTGGCATACTGCATGTATGTTCTTCTGTTATAACATACTTAATTCTTTTTTTTGATAAGAGAAAAGACAAAGAAAGAAATAAAAAAGAGCACTGACTAATATTCATACAGGCATACTTGATAACAAACTTAAACTTTGCATTAGTAGTTCTTCCAAACGCCTCACAATACTCGTTGTCAATTTATTTTTGACATCAGAAGTCAAACGGATCGAACACAAGGATGATAAGCACAACTTGCAAATAGGGCAATTAACTATTTTCTATAACTTTAGGTCAGTTCTACTTAACATTCACGAATCATGGCTAATGACTACAGTCTTTACAAACAAGCTCAACTCAGAAATAGATACAACGGAATCTATTATAAATCGCTCACAAATTACAGCAAAACTCCAAACTTCAGTAGTCTAAAAAGTTACCTTGTTACTCACCGGTAAATTGGATTCTTCAATATGATGCATTGTTCAAGAAAAATGAATTACCGCTTGATTCATTGTCGAAATATACCGCTATTTTTAATTACGTTTCGCTCGGCTTACTTTACGACAGAACTGACGTCAAGGGATAAACGTTCCAAGGAAGACATTGTTTATGGCGTCTAAGGTATTTGTCCCTTGGTGTCAATCAAATGGAATCAAGTCCTTTGAGAATTTGGCAGAACGTCTTTTCTTAAACAGAGAATGTGAACACCCAGGGGTCATGCAATGAACTACGGAAAACTATAGCGTAAAAATACATTCGCATATGAAAATGAAAACCCGTTTGTCAGTTCAGAAACGCAGAAAAATGATAGCACAAATTTCCTCAGCACCGTGTTGCACTCCTCAGGCATAGCATTTTTCACCTGCTTCATACGCGTTAAAGCTGTTGTTTATGACTGACCGGTGTGTAAAATCAATAGAATAATTAATGACCAATGTTTCGTGTGCGCCTGTAGATGCTTACTGTAATTGGTCTGAGACAGTTTGGGATTAGTTGCTGTGAACGCTATGTGACGTTGACTCTTGCAGTTAATAAAAAAAGTTAGAATATAGACAGAGTAGCGATAAATCTGTGAAGCAACACGATAAAACAAGCGTGGATAGTACTCTTTAAAAACAAAATATACATGGTTCTGAACCTTGCGTCCAGGGCCCACGCGCTTACCCTCGCCCTGATGATGAGGTTGAAAAGAACTCACCTATCATTTAAGTGAAGAGGCCCATCCTCTTGAAATCCGCCGTCATGACAGCATCATGCCGTATACACAACTTTAAAGGCTATCCATGTTTACCAAAACTTACAAAAACTTAAAGCGTTTTGGAACGAAAGCAGCGTATTCAAAACTCTCAACATTGCACTGATTAGTTTGAGTTTCCTTGAAGTTAAGTTGGACACTAAAACATGTGAAATTAAAGAAATCACCCACTTGGTATTCCAATGGAGACGGCTTGTGATGAACTAGTGGCACGTGTTCATCGATCACGCGACTATTGGGTAAGAATGTTTGGCACCTTTACTTACCAATCTATGTAAGGATGCTGCTAAAAATGGGAATGGAGAATGGGGAATGGAGAATGAGGAATGGAGAATGGGGAATGGAGAATGGGGAATGGAGAATGGGGAATGGAGAATGGGGAATGGAGAATGGGGAATGGAGAATGGGGAATGGAGAATGGGGAATGGGGAATGGAGAATGGAGAATGGAGAATGGAGAATGGGGAATGGAGAATGGGGAATGGAGAATGGGGAATGGAGAATGGGGGATGGAGAATGGGGAAGGGAGAATGAGGAATGGAGAATGGGGAATGGAGAATAGGGGATGGAGAGTGGGGAAGGGAGAATGGGGAACGGAGAATGGGGCAGGGAGAATGGGGAAGGGAGAATGGGGAATGGAGAATGAGGAATGGAGAATGGGGAATGGGGAATGAGAAATGGGAAAATGGGAATCAATTTTCAATTTTTTTGGTTTAGGTTTACTGTTTATAATAAGGAACAGATATTTTTCATTGATATCCACGTTCTCTTTCAAAAACGTCCAGGGGCAAAATTAAAGGAACGATATGAATTGATGATAAGAAAAGGAGTGAGCTTCGTATAATTGTCCAAGGACAAATATACAAGCATATTTTCGCGCAAAATAAAAGCTATTGTGTTTCTTATCCTTCAAATATTTTACAACGTGCGTGAAAAAACGTTTACATGGGATGTTTTCTTATGAGTGTTCTCTGGTGAGACTTTATGAACGAACAAATAATTCACTTCTTCTGTGACAACCATAGTACGCTTTCTTATCTTGAATTAAATTTAGACGAAGACTTATCGTGGTGGAAGTAAGGTCTGGAAATTGGGGAATATCACCTGGGTTTTATCCTTGGATATCCCCCAGTTTTAGACAGGAAATATTTGTTAACGTGAGGCGTTTAAACCAGTCGCGCGCGAGCAAAATTATTTGATGGATCATAATCGAGGATATACCCCAAGTGATAATCCCTAATTTTTGAGCTCTTCGTCCAGAACGATAAGTCTTTCTTCTAAAATTAGTTTATGGTGAGACAGCGTTTTGTTTTTGTTAAAAAAGAGCGGACATGTTTGTTTGTTCATAAAATCGTACAAGATAATATTGCAAAGTGAATATCCCATGCAGTAAAAGGTTATCTGTTCGCAAAAATTTCTTTCCCGTAATTTACAAAAATGTTCGAAGGAGATGTTATTAAAATAGCCTCCATTTGGCGTGGAAATAACATGCTCGTTCGTTAACACTTCAAGGACGAGTTGCGGGAAACCTTTAGAAGTTCAGGAATTTGCTGCACACTCGCCACCGATATTCCTGCAAATTACCACTTGAAACCTGATAGATTCATTATCTGCTTGGCGCGCCTTATGGTCGTGAAGGTGACATTATTCTTTGATTTGATTTTTCAGTTACGCTGCTTTAAAAGTGAGGCGAGTACTTTATCTGATAGAAATTTCTCTACTAGGCATGCGCAGTCCTTTGTTACTTTCGAAAAATGAAATGAAGACTCTGCTTATGGATATTCAACTGTGGGTTGTTTGTTGTTCGTAGTTGTGAAGTGAGTTGGACTCTGAAAAGTCAAGCACTTAACGGCTAACCTCTATGGAACTTCCAATTTACTAATTTTAAAGTAAACATTCAAATAGCCCCCTAATGAATCTCAGCAAAATTTAATTTAACTCATCACTCGTTTATGAGACCGATAAAATTTTTCTTATTAGGTGGCGAGTATCACTTCTTTCGTTATCATTAAGTTCTTCCGTTCCGTAAATTTAGCCTCTGAACGTTTTTGAAGAAAGTATGAATATCGATAATCGCCGCTGAAAATTTTCTTTTCTGCTTAATCAACACAGAATTTCAAAGAAAATTCAATTTCCCATTTCATTTTCCCATTCCCCATTTCTGCTCTTAGTAACATCCTGGATCAATTAATAGTTTTTCAAGAGATTAGATGCAAATTCTCAGTGAGTTAAAAAATTTCGTCTGATAGTAATCGGAAGACTACAGTGATATTAGCAGTTCAGAGCCGACTAGACTGCCAATCAGCTACGATTTCAGATAAAAAAATTCGACGCTGAGGCACTAAAAAATCAAAAGAAGGTATCTCCTATAAAATATTTTTGCTATTGTTGTAGCATTAGTCGAAACTCAAAGGTCAACTGGTTCTGTACATAATGCAAGGGACAGAGAAGACTGTTTACTTCTCCATGACTAGCATGTACTAAAGAACCATAAATGATAGAATGCCCGATAAGACAATATTGACAACGCCATATTCAATTTAATATGAACCAACAATGCAGAGATAGTTTAAGTACAAATCGATGAGTGAAATAGGGTAAGAAACGTGAATTATTTCCATTCAAAACTTGGCCGACGCAGCACTCCTTTGGCATTGGTTACTTGTTATCCATGTTTCTCGGGCTCCTTAAAATGTAAAGGAAAATAAGTGAATATAAAGACAGCGTAAAACTGTATCAATCAGGATAGCACGCCTCACCAGCCATAGTTATAGATAAGTGCCATTTTTCTTTGATAAATACTAAAACAGTCTTTTTTATTTAAAGCCACTTACTTGTTCTTCAATTCCTCACAGATTTCCAGCAGGGTTTTGTTGTGTTTCTGCTTCAAACGCTTTTGACATCTGCTGTGAATTAACATGGAGGGAAGACGAAGAGAAATTGGAACGGAAAATGAAAGAGGCAGACTATAGAGAACCTCTCTGGAAAGAGAAAAAATCTCAGTCTGTAGTATAAGGTTTATATGCACTCAGAGTTATTCACCACTTAAGATCGCAATACTAAATTATTCCGGCGTAAGAAGAACTACAACGTTGAAGGAAACCGTAAAACATGATTTCCACCAAAAGTGGCAAGTCAACAGCGCTTACAGTTTTCAATTATTGCAAAGTTTCTTCATCAAAGAAAGGCAAGGAAAAATTCACAGCCTCTCATAAATAAAGTTACATTGCCTTCTGTCATCTTCAAGAACGAACGCATTTAAGAGAAAACAATAAAAATTCGCGTTTTGTACCTTTTTGCTTCCTTATCTTGTATATCATTCTTTTCAAGGCAGACATAATTCGTTTGTTCCCCGGGATTTAGTCGTATCTTTCCTCCAGCTAAACTGAACTCTCCTATCATCTGATGAACTAACAATTTTGTTTGTTCTATTTCAAACAACAAACCTTCGATTCTATCAAGCGCGTTCACGGCAATAGTGAAAAAACGAATTCCATTCTCTATCCCGCCAGCAGTAACAGGTCTCGATCGAAATAATTTGAATTCCTGAGAATTATCTTCTTCGATTTCTTTGTGTTTGTCCATGTGCGATACCAGAAAGGAGATGAAATCAATGTGATTAACCTTGTGACTGTAGAACGTCACAGAAGACTAATTGTCACTTATTGTGGTTTCAACCTGCTTATGTTTCGATCAGCAAAAGTATTCTAATTACTTCAGTTTACCGTCCCACAGCAGATCTGCTCCAACATAGATCAGCATTTCTCAGTGAACAAACGCATGACTATCGCTTTACGCTCAAAGAGAAGTTGGTGTTCTACGGGTGGTGGAACGCCAACGTAAGTTTAAATTTCATTCCCACTACTAAAGACAATAGGTAGCGGCGTTCAGCTCGCATTCTGTTGAACAATGAGCACTATTTTACCGCATGCCTGTATAATGAGATGAGTTTCGTCTGATGAAAACGTTTGGTTTTCAGACAAACCGCTAAGCTTGCTCTATCAGTTTCGATAGGTTAATTTACAAAATACAACATTTTCAGACAAATGTTGTACACATAAAAGCAAGCACTATACTTAGCTCTAGTCGTGCAAAGAAAAATCCGCGCGCATATCAAACGTGACCTCACAAGAAATAGCGTCACAATGAAAGGTGGTAGAGCGCATACAGAAAAGCGAAATGTCAGAGACAAGCAATCGTGCGCAATCATTTCTCCCCTACGTTCCCGAGATGGTGGACATGATCTTAAGATACCTTCCTGCGAAGGAGCTAAGAACAACAGCAAGAGTATGCAGAATGTGGAGGAACATTTCCACGCGGATTTTACATTCGCGAACAACTTGGACCGTGCATCACTTGGCGGACAAATTGATTACAGGAAGTGAAATCGACGATGTTTTTGAAAATATGTTCACGGAACCACGAATGGTGATTCAGTTGAGCCATAGGGAAATCTGGTTCACGCGAAGGGAGCCACGAAGGCGAAGAAACGAAGAGAGACAGCTTGTGCGCTCTGTTTTTAATTTATTTGCCAAACTTCCACCGGGATGTGTCACAATAGGTTGTACCACTGAACGTATTGTATTCCAACAGCCCACTGACGAGTTCACTCCCAACCTCATCCATCATATTAAGGCAGGACACGCATTCATATGTGCGCCTCATATGCCTGGTGTTTGCTACCACCATGTTTACCTCAGAACACCCAGGCCACCGCCAGCTAGTGACTGGTGCGATATGTTTGATTTGCCCGCGCACACTCCAGTCAAGTTAGTCGTGCTGATAGCGCTCTCGGCAAGTAGAGATTTCATACCGTTCCTAGCCTCAGGTACTTGGCTTATTTAACTAATCATGGTTACTGCAATGTAAGCTGCTAAGGGTAAACTTTGATTTCTTCAAATCAAACCGTAAGTAACGCTAAAATGTTTTTCAACTGCTATTGTTTACTTTACAGGAATCCGTGAAACGTATGGAGAACAAGTAGTTGTTTTCGGAGGCGTTGGGCATGACCGTTTGTTTATAGATGGTCTAGTAAAGAGAGCAAGAGTTGTGGCAATATTTATTTCAGGCCAACCATTTCGCGCACACGCTGGATTATTAAACAACGGTAATGACGCTGACTTTTATACACCGGCTCATCAGCTGACAGAAGAAGCTAGAGGCGAAGGTTTTACGCCCAAATTTTCACTTTTGTTCACATCACGGTTTGTTCACAAAGGACAAGCTTTCTATTCCAGCTCTCAAACAGCATTCAGAGAAAGTTTCAGTACCATTCCTATGTTGGGTTTCTATTCTTACGGCGAGTATTGCTTAACTGAAAGAGACACTGAAGTCACCAAAATCAATGACTTCAAAAGACAAATGAGATACAATTCAGCTATTTATTGTGTGTGCTCGTACAAAAACGAGACACAATAGCATTTTTATCTAGTTAGAAAACTGAAACATTGAAGTACACAGTATAACATAAATATCTCCTAACATTGTCTTCTCTCAGAATGTAGTCTGAATTATTCTCAGTATGAAGTGTCCAAGCTAAGAAGTTGTGAACAGGAATAATGTACAACGTAACATCTCGACATCTTTTCAAGGTTCAATATTACTATGTATTTTGATATAGTTTCTGTTTCATTTCATATTGGCGTTTAAAATATTGAATATAATTACCACCTTTACAAATACTTGTTTACTTTTCAGTTCGTTCATTATCATTGTATTTTTTCACGTATGTTTAGAACGAAATTCTGGCACACAGTGTCCATCGAGCGATTGCTCTCAAACAACGTCTCTGCTGCATTTTAATGTCAGGGTGACACTCTGAAGACCGTAAAAAATAATTTTCTACATGATACGAACTGTACTCAGTGTCTCTCGGAAGAAAGCCAAAGAGACCAAATCTAAACAAAAGGCTCGCCAAGTGCAATACAATAACTTACTCTATAACAATCGCAATATTCCATAACTGAGATACATCTTTCAAAGTCAAGCTAGAAATAAATGATGGAAGTAGTCGTTAAATTATCTATTTTATCATAATCAATGGATGCTACTAGTCATGCGCACCATGAAATATCGTGTAGACACATGGCTTTAAACCACTGAAACATCAGCTGATTAGACGAACTCAGGCTTAATGTCGGCCCATCCTTCTTCACTTCACCGATTTGAGTCTGTTGACAACGACATACAGACAATTACTAATGAGACATAGAAACATGACACAAAAAATAGCAAAAAATAAACATAAGAAGGACCTGCAAAAGAAAGCTCACCATTACAGGAGGGTATACTCTGCGGAAGCCTCCTCTGTGAGTATGCTCTAAGTAAGCAGCCTTGATAAAGTCACGTTCATTTTCGCGCAGGCAGGGAAAACACAGGCGGCAATGCTAAAGACATGGAGACAGCAAAGAACACAACGAAAATTAACAAACAATGACCCTGATGTACAGCATAGATACCACAGGCCACCCACCTCATTGTAACATGACTTGGAGCATTCACTGCTTGCACATCTTTCGTACAATACTTGAATGTCATGATCGCTAACAAGCATGTCTTTCTCTGATGGAGAGCTAATGCACATACACGAAAAAAATAAATAAATAAGCGTTGTTACGGAGATTTGCTGAGCTACATTGGAAGGAATTGCGTGAAAAATTGTTTCCCCGACCTGTACTTCAAACTGTGGTCCAGTTTTGACGCCACTCCCACTAAGCCAAGAAGGTTGAATACAACCTGCAGGTGACAAGAATGGAGATAAAAACAGTGAGTCATTCAGTTTCGTTCTACAACTTGCGTGGACTGGGGAACAGAGATAGTGTACTTTAATTCTCTTGACAAGAAAACATCCTATTAGCAGTATTTGACCTCACCTGTTCGTACATCAGTTTGTTATCATTGTGCGCAGCTGAAGACAAATTTGGAGACATGTTTACCTTTAAAGACAACAAAAAAATAGTGATTTGATGCGATGAGTTATTTATATGTCTCTCAGATGGGGCCAGCAGCTGAAGCAACAAACAATAAACATCGTGTACCTCCATAAGCCAAACTTTTAAGTCAGCATCCAGGATAAAATCAAAGCGGACCATCTCAAAGAAGTTCCTATAATTTGTGGTAAAAAATTAACATGATAAAACATTTTATGTTGAATGGAGGAAAAGATGTTTGGAAAGCTTCAGTTCTCGATATAACGTGGGTGCACTCAATACATCTAATACCTTGTGGATTTGAAGTGTGATCCTGCAGATATGAGATCTGTTTCCTTTCTCAGGTAAACCTGAGATCAAATACATCATCAATTTTAACATCAAACATTAAAGTCAATTTGTTGGTTTGGATAATAATAATAATAATATTACATGTGAATTAACAAAACCCTTTGCTTCTTTAAAATAATGTTTGATCTAAAATTTCAAGAAAAAAGTTCATATCATAGATGAGTAATGTGTTCCAGCCAATCATAGCTTCTCAACAACAGAAATCTTACCTCTGCAATAGCCCTGTAAATATCGCTCCATATCTTATCAACATCTTGACCTGTAAAAAGTAAATACAGATCACTGTAAGAAGCATTGCAACCGATGACCTGAGTAATGGCAACTGATGTTTTAGTTCAAATTAATTCAATTGTACATTAACTTTATTTCTTTACATACAGCAGCTGAAAGGGAGAGTTATAAAACAGACCTCCCAATCAGCAATCTCCCAAACTAAGCAGCCAGAAATATGTTTCTGCATTTCTGAATCCTTTTTTATCAAATGTTTTGGTGTCAGACAATCTAAAAAATTTTCTCCATACCTTGTTTTTTAAGATGTGCATTAAGAAGCAGTTTGCGGCTGTATTTTCCTTTATGCCACCACTCCCTCAGAGAAGGCAGCTGAATGTGAAATAAGTAAGACAACCATCAGAGTTCTGAACAAACATACTCAAAATGAAGCAACAAGAAAAAATCTGAATGTGTTTATCAAATAGGAATCATAAGACTGAAAAAGGTCTTTAGATTGTTGAAGACAACAGGTGAAACAGGACAAAGCTGAGAAAGCAAAATATCACTTTAGAAACAGTACATTCACAACAGGAAAGAGTTATAGCAGTTTAACTAGAAGTTTTTGGGAATTGTGGTGGAATAAACCAGGCATAAAACTGGAAGGGCCATCTACCTGTCTTAGGCTTTTGTATGACTCTTCATGGGGAGGATGCATAACAGAACTAACTCAGGCAACCCCTCAATTACCTCCCAAGGCTGAGTGTATGAATCTCCCACAACATATTTATCTTCATCATTTGAGTCAAATGGGTAATAGTCTGTCTCACAAAACCTGCACAAGAGTTGTTGAAAATAAGAAAATAAAAAAGTGGATGCTACAAAACTTACTCAAGACCACTCTTTAAAAATTAATGCACAGCAGCTTGGGCACACTATCTAATAAAAATTAGCAATGTGCTCAGAAATGGATATTAATAAGACTTTTGTCCTTGAATTGACCTCTGCTTTGCCATTTATGATAGTCTAGTAGAACCCCTCAGCACTTTTACTTTTTAAGTGATCTCCACTTTTCTTCAGTTTTAATTGGGTCCAGGACATGTAGATTGTTACACAGTGATGGAGAAGTTTTCATTAAAAAATATTGAGATAATGACATTTAATGATCAGGTGCACAAAAAAGGAACGTAATTAAATGTGCACCGTCATAAAACTGTATTAAATAAGTGACTCATAAAATAACCTGATAAGAACCTCCTGGTCATAGACATAAACTCTGAGAGGATCAATGGAAGTTAAAACAGTGTAAACACCAATGTCAAACTTGCGTTTATCAATAAGATATGGATTGGCAATGTACTCCTGAACAAAGTTCTCATCAGACCCCTTATGAAGGTCAATTTCTACAAAAAAAAAAGTATACAAAATTAATGGAAAATATGCTTATAATAACTTCAAGCCACTTGTTGAATAACAAGAGGCAGAACCCAACAGACCAAGTGTGAGCCTTCAAGAAAAATATTACAACTGCAAGTTTGTGTAATATTTGTACCATTTGGAGACTTGATGTGTATTCCTCTGTGGTTATTACTCTTCTCCACCCAAAGTTTCTTAGGATGGTTCTTAACCTGAATACAATAAGTAAGAAGACACAAGTTAAAAAACCTCCATGTTTTAATCACACCACATACTATAACGTTGATGCTGATTTCTGCTAGCTCAAATAATTTGTTAATATTTAATTATGTTTATTTGTTTGTTGGTAGGCTGTTCAATGTAATTTACTGGCCATATTCTACTTGAACTGATACCTCCTCTAAAAACTTGTCTGTATCCTTTGGTATCACAAATGCTGGAGGAATAAATGGAAAATGGTTCACTGCCAGGCTAACTTTGTTTGTAATATATCCAGAACCTGGAAAATGATTAATCTGAAAACAAAAGCAAAACAAGTTTGTCTCAAAATGACACAATTACCTTTCCAATACAGGTAATTATCCATTAAAAAATGCATATGCATAAATTCTGGTTAAATATTTTCCCCAGGTTTTATTTCCATTGTTTTTTAATTTTTACAGATACACCTAATGAACATCAAACAGTTGAGTCATAAAACAGTAACAAGTAATTATTGTAAAGACTTCTTATATTAGATTAACATTTTGCAAAGCAAGGATGTTCCGAAATAAAATTAATAAACCTTTTGATGTGGCTCTAGGGTTAGCAGCATATCTTTAAGTTCTCCACCAAATGGATAGTCATGGGCCCACATCACGTCAAACAAGCGGCTTTTTGCCTCAGTTCTGGTATAACCAATTCTGCTGAACACAGCCATCACATGTTTCAAGTAACCTGACTTGAGCTGATAGATAAAAGAAGTTACTTCTAATTATCCACATATCTGATATGACTTTATTCTTGTTTAATAAAAAAAATATATTTGCTTCTTATTGAAATAAAGCACATGAAAAATTTTTATTTTGTAAATAAATGTAAATGTCAATAGGCCCATTGCAGTTAGCAGTCACATGACACATGGAAAACATCTAATGCACTGTTAATGTGTGGTCATACAAAACCCAGGTGCATGTGGTTAAAAGTAATTCAAGTATCCAATGAAAGAATTATTTTTTAATATTATTCACCATATATTTATGCTTATGATCTCCATCAATATTCCCAACATTTTTGCAACAGTAAGCCCTTGATAACTGTACAAAACTCTTGTGAAAAATGAATAAATCACAAAATAACATATTTAATGGTAGTTAACTTATGCATAACTTGAACAGAATTCAAACATTTAGCTGATAAATTTAACCAATAACTGTTTAACTCATTTAAAAACAACAAGTATCCTTACATTTCTGGCATTCATCCAAACAACAGGTCTTCTAGAGCTTCCAAACTCAGGATCACCCACAGTCTGCCCAGTAGTTATGCTATGCAACTGGTAGATATTGACTAAAATCAACAGTACACCAAAGCACAGGCATCCCAACATGAGCTGCACCATACGATGTGAAATTTGAACTCCATGGTGAGGGTGTGGGTAATATTTGGAATTATCAGATGCATACTGAAAATAATTACAAATAAAAAGTTTGCATGAGATATCAGTGACAAGCAAAGCCAAAGACTTTTGGGTTTGTCTTGCAGTTTGATTTGAAAAAAAAAACACCACATGTAGATTAAATTTCACATAACCAAAAAAAATATGTTGACTTGGATAACATACAATCTCTTTACAGCCTAAATTGAAGTTCTAAGAGTATAACAAAATGTGTGGGCTCCTCTCAATTACAGACATGACATTCATAAATTTGACATGTTCTGGGTCTTTGTTAAAATTGTTCAATACAAGGAGCTGGTAACTTGGCATTTAGACTACAATGTGGGAGCTCCATGAGGTGCTCGAAAAGCAGGGATTACAGACTTAACCCAAGAGTTTAACCTTGCATGAGTGGTTTTCTGGCATCAAATTTGAATTGAAATTAGGGCTAACCAATGAGATTCCTTAACTTAATTACCAGTCAATCTCAATGCCATTGAAACACATATTAGGTGATCTTGGGAAACGAAATCATTTCAAATTTCCAGGTGCACAATAAACAGGAAATCTGTAAAATGTTTCAGTAAAGATGACTCTCACAAACAAAACAAAACCATTGCGAACAATTTTTGCTGTGTGTGCACATAATTTATCATCAGAGATAACATTCATGCAGTCTTTCTCTTTTTCAGATAAATGAATGGCTGGAAGGCCAAGTTTGTTGAGTTTGCTTCTTGTCTAATGATGATCCTAATAAATGGTGAAATTAAAAGGACATGCACAAGAAATTTTTGCAAATCAAAACACCTTGTAGATAATGCTCTATCCAAAGGCAGTTGTCAACAGATTTCCGGCCAATAACCCATTATATTTTTTTATTGTGAGCACAATGCAGAAATCAAACTCGGAGCTCCCATGATATCTAAGTCCCTCCATGAACTTCCTACTGTGTGCTAAAATTAATTTTTTTACTGATTACTGCCACTTAGGTTATGGACTGCACTGAAAAAGAAGGACTGCTCATAGTCTACTTGGATTAAGGATATTTTGTTAATTAACACTCCTAGCTCTTAGAATCTCATTATTTCCGTTTTTTCATTTAGTATAAAGCACTACTTTTTCATATAACTTAAAAAGTGAAAAAAAACAGGTTATGGTGGTCTCAAAAGATTACAGTAGAAGAAGGAGGCTGACATCATTAAAAAAAGAAATACTCATATGATGATGAACATATGTGTGGAGACTCAACAAGTAATTTTCTTGATATAAACAAATTATCTTGTTTCTCAAATACCGTTAGTGTAATGTTGATCTGGAATAACAGCAGCATTTTCTAATGTTTGTATGTCTAGTGTGTCCATACTCAAAACTTTAAAATTCTAGATTATGCACTTTTGTTTGTCAACAAAGTTTGTTATGGAAAATATCCTGTTTCATTTTCTTTTCATTTTAAAGCAGGCTGGAAGATTACATTTAAGGATAAGGGAAACTGAAATCAAAGGTGCAAATAACATTAAAAAAATTAACAGCTGAATTCTGTCGATAGATTGTCATTTTCACAAAGTCTCACTTCAAAATCTCCCTGACTGAATTGTCGTTAAAGATATATACAGTTTTAAGAATTCAGACAAAGCTTTTTAATTTCCATACGCTTTAGTGACTATTCAATGCCATTCATTTTGTTCTGTTTGCTGACTCACTTTCTGCATATAATTACTAAAATTTATAATCATCGAAAGAAAAGAAAATCTTAAGTATTGCAATCGGTTGTTGCAGCAATTTTTTTTTTACCGACATGTATAAAAATATTTATATAGTCGTTTTTCTTAAATAAATATCAATCTTCAGTTGAGGAAATTTGCTTGACGTATTCAAATCTCTTAAAGCGAGCGAAATCTTGACAAGTGTTTTTAAGCCTCTTTCATGAAAGAGCTGAAGTAAGTTACCAAAATCTGTCTAACTTACTACAAGAACCGCTTCTGATCAGTTTAAACTCTATTCAAGGTTATTTTAAAAAATCTTGATGTACATAATTTGTTACCTAATTCAGACTTCAGGTAAACTTTATGAACCAAAAATAAACATAAACTACCCTAATTTTAGTTGGGTCGGGTGATAACTCAAGTATCTGGCTGGTTGTGTAAGAAGTGTTTATAGCTTTTCCTAGACACAAACAAGAGTTCTAGTATTGTCCGGTCCAAGAAAAATAAATGGTACAACAGCGACTGCAAGGAAACGGGTGACAGCTGTAACTGACTCTCAATTTTCATATATTTGTACAATGATCGAGCAGCTCTTAAAACGAATTTCAAACTACGTATTGAATATTGGAAAATACTAACGTACACGTACGTTCATATAAAACGTTAATTCACTGTAAAACATACTCGCAAACTACATTCAAACTTGACTTGGCAAACTCTGACGAACGAAGATTGAGAAAAAAATTTCAAATTGAATAGTGGTAAGCTCAAGTGTGAATCTCCGCTTCCGATCGCTCCCGACATCGAACGAAGAAGGGACGAATTATCAAACTTGAAGGTCTGAATAAACTAGTGTACTTTCAAACCTCAGAAAATCGATGACCTCTAATCTCACCTTGAAGTCCGGTTGACGATTTGAAGATTTCCACGGCCACATTTTGAAGCACAGCGTTATCGACCCGGTTATGCTGTCAGATATATGCCTCTCTAATCGAGGACAAGTGCGATTGCGTGACAAACAAGAGTTCAGGTGAATATTGGCTGATGTAGCTGTCTGTAAAGAATGTGATTTCTTTGTTCGTTATCCATGCGAGGGTGACGATTCATTGTACCTGGTTTCTAAATATTCTACATGAAATTGGCGGTATTGATTCAGTGATGGTTGGTGACCGCTATGTATAATAACGCTGTACACTAAGATCGCTGGCGTAAGTAAGTCTAAGGAAAAAGTCCAAGACTTATTAATTTTTTTCAAATATTTTATTTCTTTTGATCCTCAAATGTTTTCTTTATTTTTGTCACTGGATATTTTTAAAAGATCTGCTGATTCTTGTATACCAAATTTTGATCCTTAAAATTTTAAAAAACCTCAACAATTTAGTCAATAAATACACGTTCTAATGTAAAGCATTGGGTCGTGTTAAGACTTCAGAATTGAAAATTTGACTGTGTCTGAGTAATGACTGACTGCGACAAACTACAATCGACAGTAACAACAATACTAATAGGAAAGATTAGATATTCGCGACCAAAAGTCCGTTCTTACTCTCTCTAATCACATGATTATTGAAACTCGTCTGTTGAGTTTTTTCTATTTCGTCATTAAAAAAAAAATTACTTTCTCTGCTTTTACGTTCGCGTTAAATCATTGACCTACTTGTTATCTCCAATAAAAGCCCAATCTCATTATGAGAAAAAAAGCCAAAGAAGGTCCCCTTGCTGCAAAGTTTTTAAGAATTTATTTGCCGGGCAGTAAATTGCCTGTAGGTTTGACAAGCCTGTCCAACCATGCATTAGTGACCTAAACAAGTCTGTTTTAGTTCGAAAACAAAGTCAGTTTTATCATTTTTTATAAAACTACCTTAGCAACGGCTAATACCTTTATAAAATCGGCTAAAAGAAACCCTTACCGAGCACAAATTTCTTAATTAATGTGAATTGTCCCCCCAAGTAAGATGGATAGTTTGTTGATATTCTTGTTGATTGACATAAAACACATTATTAAGTTTGACCTAAGGTCAGATAAACTCGTTCCACTTGTGGTATTTATATTAAGATAAGAAAAAAAAAAGATTAAGATCTTGCTCTTCTAAAGCCACTTACATTACCTATGCGAGCATTACAAGTATACTAGTAATCTAACCATTCCTTCTTTCGATCTGTTTTTTAATCTTCCGCCAGATTCTTCAGGCCGGCATCGCTTTTGTCAGCATGAAGTGTTATAATCAGTCAATCATGCCGACAAAAAGATCATACCGCGTTCAAGCGAGGTAAGTTGATACAATTTGGAGCTTTATTGAGTTTTTGCCAGATTGTACAGAGAACAGAACTTTTCCCTATGAAACTGGAATTGAATGACACGTTTTTTCCCTCATGTTGTGTCACTGGCAAGCTGTTAATTCTGGCAGACTTCAGTAAGCGCAACCGATTGACCCACACTATACATTTCCGAACAGACAGCTGTTTGCTTTTTTTTTCCTTCTTAATCTGATGTAGCCACCATGACAAATACAAATGATCCACCCATTTACGTCAGTATACCTTTCCTGTCGCTTGAGAATCAGTCTGCCCGATGAACAGTCGCTTTTGGTTACGCACCTGTCGGCAATAAACAAACAGAACATATGTCAACAGACTGAAGGTGAACTAAACTTGACTAGCTTATTATCCAGATACGACAAGCTTGTATTGACGTGTTGGTCGATACGATGAAAACATGCGATGATTAATGACCTTAAAGTAAGCCTGTAAAGTAACTGACGCTAATACGTCGATCACTAGACGTCTGACCATAATTAGGGAATAAGCAGCTAGTGACGATAATTTAGCAGATATTTTCCCGGCTTAGTATAAATGATGGGAGAAAATGAATATATTCTCCTTGTCTTTCGGCTGCAAAACCACAGCGCACCTTAAGCCTTATAAGCATATTTTCTTGCGTTTAGTTATCTTATTTCATCGCGAGTTTTAGGTGTATGCAAACTTGCTCAAGTATGTCTTTTTTTTGTTTATTTTTTTGTTTTTTGTTTATTTTTTTTGTAAAGTTGCGCAAATAAGGATGCCCCTTTCACTGCGAGCCAAACAATCCCCCTCGTATGGATGCCCGTCTGGTAACATTGACCAACGAGTATTTAAAAGGTCATTTTCTGGGTTGACAAACGAAAATCTGTAAATCCGTTCAAGTCATCGCTGAAGTGTCCAATCCGCGCGCATTTTAGGATAACTCGGTCGATCTGTCAACCTAATCTCCCCTCCCTCCCCAACACAACACATCCCTCAACACACCCCTTCGCCGCCTCTCCTTCTGACGTCGCGTCCGGTCATGATAAGTATCGTATGTACTTGAACTAGCAACTGGGCTGTGACAATTATTTTACATCTTAAATTATCTACTTCGAGATGTAAAAGATGAAAACGACGGCTGAATTTATAAGAAGGAAACTTTGTATTGCTCTGATAGACTGAAATTCGAGAATGTAACAAATGCTAAATTACTTCATCAGCCAATTTCCAAAGTACTTCAGAATGATTGATCATGGTCGATGTTATAATCAAGTGGGGTGTACCGTAATCAAGGTTGCCGTAACATCACGTACGGACGGAATTGAGACAGATGGAAATCACATTATGTTAAAGTGCCAGATAGTTATGCAAACTAACGCTCAGATTTGTCGTGTTGGTACAATAAACCGATCAAAACAAAGGATTTTCAGGTCACAGCAACATTCGTAGTTTCATACAGGTAATGTGATTCTTTGCACTGCAGGTCTCTTATGGGAAACTGAATAAAATGAGTCGATTAAAAAGGGATTTGTCTGGCCAGGGAACAAAAAGATCACAGGAAATATGCATATACTTAATTACATCGATATATTTTTTCTGACCCACTAGGATAAATTACGGTAGAGTATATTAACTAAACGTATTTCAAAACTTCGCTGTAAACGAATCACCCATAAGGATCGGAAAGTTGTCCTGGAGCATAAAATAAGAAATTTTTGAAGAGTGTCGTTCAGTGACCTTTCCTATTTCTTTAACACATCACTCATCACCCTGAAATTATTGTTCATAAAATCTTCATTGAATATATAATGTCAGCGACAAATTGAGTTGAGTTGACAAACGTTGAATTCGGCAACGAATATCCGTTCAGGTTTTCAGATCGCGCACGTTTTGTCAGTGAAAGGATCGCTTTCCCTATATAAGGATAGTTACCAAGACTCTCACTTCAATTCTAGATTGACAAGGAAATACGGTGAAATGTCGTTTATATCCAAACGAGAGAGGGAAGTTAAAATATCAGCTGTGTAAGTAGAATATTGCTGCTGACGTTCTGCTGGTGTTCTTTTGCGTGGGACGTTTGATACTTCAAACCTTTATAGTATGCCTGTATCGTACGTAGTTAAAGAGTCTATTGCCACGTCGAATAATTCTATTAAATTCATGAAAAGGTGATAAAAAGACAGTTCAGACAAAACAAATATTATAAAGATAAAGTAAATCTGCCAGAAGGTTATTGCAGTACGCGGTTATGTATTCGATGTAAGCTAGCTGATGGAATATGCACAAATTCGCAGAGTAACTATACAACTTGGCTGGACAACCTCTGTAGGGACTACCTACTCCAAACAAGAGTAAATCAAGCCCAACTGATTGCCTCCAGATATAATTTAAATTGCTCACCTCGACTAATGAATTAATCATACAAACCAAAAATACATGATGTCATACGCAGCTTTCTGTCAAGATCACGAAATGCGTTTACTAATAATTGTCGAATTGTTGTTCATTTTCTTTAGATTACTATGGCTTTTGCTCAGTGATATGTTCGGTGTGTTTCGCTTTTGAGTAAAAAAACAAAAGGACGATCGATTTAAAAAGCATTAAGGTAGACACAACAATTTTTAAAAGTTTTCGCTGTTGATGTGCGTTTTATTCATGTCTTAAGAACACCACTGCGAGTGAGATAAAAAACGCAAATATTATTTTATCAATGCGGAGTAAAGAAATATTAAGAAAGCAATTTAAAACTTGCTCGAAGGTTCATTAACAATCAATCATTCAAAAGAAAGAAAAATAACTGGACATGCTAAAGCTGAAGTTTTTGCCACCGGAAAAGTACATTTGTTCAGCAACTGAACGTGACTAACAAATCCCTGGGGCGTATTTGGATCAAAGGGGGGATTTTAATGTTTACTCACCACGTGTTTGCGGACTGATTTGGCGTTAAATGAGCAAGAGATGCCTTATTGCCCAGGGTAACTGCACAACCAAACTTTTGACATGATTCTTGGTTGTAGAAAGCCAGGCAAACTGCTAGATTGGTCGGTAGATACCAACCGATAGCTACACATTACCTCTGACCTGTATCTCGTGATACTGAATTTAACATTATTGCATTAGAATTCAAGAACAGACGCAGCCTGACGGTATCGCTGATTATTCTGTCGACGAAACTGCTGCTGCGTCGAACAACTCCGGTTCGGCGTCACAACAGTCAATCGCGTCAAAGATGTCTCGATCGCGCTCTCGTCTCTTCGACGCTGATAACCCGGGAGAAACAAGGCTTTATTTGAACGTTGGAGGGCAGAGACACGAAACATTTGTGAGTACTTTGGCAAGCATACCTGACACGCGGCTGGCATGGATAGCTGAACGAGCTCTGAAGGATCCAAGACCGCTCGGACAAAAGCGAGAATTTTTCTTCGACCGGAATCCCGCAGTTTTTACACATATTCTCAACTACTATCGCACAGGGAAACTACATTGTCCAAGGGATGTGTGTGGACCACTCTTTGAGGAAGAACTTAACTTCTGGGGTCTGGACGAAAAACAGATTGAAACTTGTTGTTGGGCAAAATATGATGAACATCGCGACGCTGAAGAGAAACTTCAAGGCTTCTCACGAGACGAAGATCAAGATTCAGACTTTGAAGACATCGACAGCGGGTCTGGTGACATCGAAATCCCTAGTAGTGGAAGTGAACTTTGTGCCTCGCACGACTCAGCTCGGCGGGTCACAACAGCAGCTGCGCGCTGGAGGCATCCATGGCACACGATGAAGAAAAAAATATGGAAAACATTTGATGATCCTTACTCATCGAAATTTGCAAGGGTACGTAAAACATCCTTCTTAATAGTTGGCGCCAGCATATTAGTCAACGTTTTTATACTTAATTTTTTTTTAGGATACCTAAGACATAGACTTCTGGCGTTGTGAATAGTATTCAGTGTAGTCTAATTCTTCAGTCATTGCTCAGTTGCTGATCTGGGTTTGTTTTGTGACTTCGCCGCGTTTCATCAATTTATTTACTTGTGATTTACCCTCAGTCGAATCTTTTTAAATAAAAAGTAAAAAAGCTTTTCCCTTAGATACTTTCACACATTATGATGATCATTTGCTTTCAACTTTGAAATTGTTTGCATTAGAAAATACAAAAGTTGCCACGTCGTGATAAAACGTATCGCTTTTATCGCTTGAAATATTTTGTATTCGCAGCATTAATGATGATTCAGGTCTCGTGAATGATAGTTTACATATAAATATATTTTTTTGCTCTCCATGTATCTGGTTTTAGCTCTCATAACATTGGTGGTTCGGGCTTTCTACCTTTTATATTCAATAAATTTGCGGAAGAAGAATGATCGGAAAAGCAAACATTTAAATAAAATAATTCGGGCTAAAAATTTTCATCCGAGCCTAGGGTATGTGATTTTAATGTCGAAGCGATGGAGACTTACGACCGACAATCACTCGTTTGTGTTAGCAGCCTCGTATCATGAGTCGCAGAATCTTTGCTTACTGTCAGGGAATAAGACGTTCTTTCCTAATTTAGTCTTAACACTGTTTGTTCAGTCTTCTATTAAGCGACCTCTTCTAATGAATGAAAGTACCTATATTCTCTTTGTGATTGGTTGAACTAAGACTTAACGTCGACTATTGAAAATGCCGCTTCCGATATTTTAGGTTGAAAATGAATTACTCCTTCCTCGACTTGAAAGATATCAAAAAGCAACAAGATAAAAGCCATGATAACAAAGGAAAATTTCTTAGAGACCCGTGAGATAAGAACAGAAAGGAATACTGTAAACCACTTTACGAGTATTTCAAATTCTGTCTATTGTTTACATCAAAGAATAAAGATGTACTAATCAATTCAAAATAAAAGATAATTTTGAGGCCTTATTTTTCGTGGGCTTTATATTCGCTTTTCCTTTCTTTACATACGGGCAGGTGAGCAAGTGTTTGAAAGACAAATGTCTCGTTCTGTTCCTAGAGAGAAAAATCTTTTGTTAATGTGTCAAATATTCTCAAGAGCTCTAGAAATCTGTCTTAAATTAGATAACTTATTTCTTTTAGTTTTGAAAGCTTTTCTTACCTTTCCAAACTTTGATCATTAAATTACGATGAAAATCAGAGCTTTATTTAATAACTGGTCTTGAAAGAATATTCAGTGTTGCCGTGGCAAGTAACATTTAGTTCCTTTTTTTGATACTTCAACTTATTTTCAGTTAATGTATTCAACTACATGACGAAAACGAAGAATTAAAACATTACCATAAAAGGTTGATATCTACTTTCCAAAGTAATAGTCATAATGCGTTCTAATTATCCACATGTAGTTCAGAAAAAAAAAGTAATTGGTGATCAGGTGAATATTATGACGGTTACGGTTACTTATACTAAATTTTATGGCTAAATGTTGTGACTCCTGAATAACTTATGTTGAAACGGGTATGGAGATTTCCAATGTATTTGATTCCACTAACCCTTGAACAGTTTGAGGCTACCTCAAAGTCCTCACGAAGGTCAGAGGCAAGCGCCTAAGGTTGACTTTGAAGAGACGATCGGATACAACTGGGTAGTTTTGCGGGAGTTCCTTCATTGTTATCAATATTTTTATTTCTATACAAATTATTCGCTTCAATGTTTCTTTGGACAGAACTGGCAACATATTATGCTGTGCGTCAAGTCAGTTTTCCAAAATAAAGTATCCATTTTGTCCCCTTTAAATGATTGCTGGCCGATTACTCACAGCTTCGTAACTATGCGTTTAGTAACCATGCAATTAGTAACCGTGCATTTAATAACCATGCAATTAGAAACCGTACATTTAATAACCATGTAATTAGTAACCATGCATTTAATAACCATGCAATTGGTAACTATGCATTTAATAACCATTCATTTAGACTGCGCATAACAATGAACATGATATTATTTTGACTTTGGATACGGCAGCTTTTTCTCAGTGATACGTCTTTAGAAACATGCAACTTACAAGGTAACAGTATATTCAAACTTAGACAAGTGATCCAGTGATCTTTGGATCAATTGAACACTGTAAGATCAGTTGATCTACAAATATGCATAAACGAGCAAACAGAAAAAAAACATATTTTTATACAGCTTTTTTTTACATTTTGCTTAACAGGCCGTCGGCTTTATATCTCTCATTTTCAACGTAGCGGTCGTCACACAGTTTTGCATCTTGACTTTGGACTACTTCAGTAATGAGCACTCTCCACAGAATCAAGTTCTTTTCATCATTGAGTCTATAGCAGTTTCTTGGTTCACATTAGATATCGCCATTCGTCTACTATGCTGTCCTGATCGACGTCGTTTTCTAAAAACGCTTCAAAACTGGGCTGACTTCATTGCCATCATTCCATTCTACTTGGTTATCTTGACTCCATATGACGAAATACTCAGAAACTTCACAATTTTTTACGTATTTCGAATGTTCCGCACCTTTCGACCATTAAAATTTTCTTATGTTATGCAAGTCTTTACACAAACACTTCGTGCCAGCTCACGTGAACTGTACTTCTTGATTTTCATCCTTGCGCTTGAGGTGGTGGTTTATGGCAGCCTCGCTTATTACTCCGAGCGAAAGACCCCTGAAACTAAATTTATCAATATCCCAGTCTCGTTCTGGTGGGCACTGGTTACCATGACAACGGTAGGATACGGTGACATGTTTCCAACGACCCTGCCGGGTAAGCTGGTGGGTTGCGTGTGTGCTATCAGTGGGGTTCTTATGATAGCACTACCAGTATCTGTCGTGGCCAGCAACTTCTCGTTGTATAATTCCTACGCCAAAGTTAAGCTCAAACTCCCTTCAAGGGGAAAGAAAAATATGGTGGATAATGCTCTGAAAGCGTTGCAACTTGCTACGCCGCAAACCAGTGTAAGTGTTGCCTCACCGGACGGCGCAAACGGTAATGGAAGAGGTCGATATTCATCGCTGGTAACCTCAGGAATTGAATTAGGATTATTGAATTCTACAAAGAAAAGTCCTTGTGAAGAAATGGACGTTTTACCTAACTACGAATCTACCGACAACAGACGATACGGGAGACGCTCGGCGCATTTCTCGTTAAACTTGATTCCAATAAGAGCACATCCAGAGCTTCCTGAAGGCGACAGTGAATCAGAAGATAGCCCAAAGGGACTGGACTGTAATCGTTTAAAACCTGCAAATGATAAAGTCACTTAATCATTTCGTTCCCAAAATGTTCAAGATCAAGTTAAGTTGTCATAACTAACTTACAGTGACATAAACAGGAGATCCATGTGGTTATGTTTTCATTTAGCTTATACTCATCGCAACTGAATGTTATATTTGAAAATAAACGAGAAGGTAGAAATGACGTAGTTTCCTACAGCTCGTGAGCAGGTTATCGATGAGAATGATAAGTAAAACGTTCATTCGAAAAGTCTATGATTTCGGTAAAAGAGAAATAATTGTTTGTATAGTAGCTCTTATTATGAGTGCTTTGGTACAACAGTCTCTTCGCACGCGACAAAGTTTGAGGCTTGATCGACGCGTGTCCGCGAGGGGTCTGGCAATGATAATTAGTGCCAGACTTCCTGCCGGCTCATTGTGCGTAAGGCCTCGAACTTCCTCTAAGGCGGAAAGACTCTCGGAGTGTTTGTAATTAAAGCCTTCTGGCAAGTTGTCCGTATAGAGGCATTGATAAAAACTTTCTTTCACATTGAGTCACGATAATCGAACCGCTGTTCACCATCTATGGAAGACGATCGCGGAATAGCGTGCTCCCCGGCGTCGGTTTGCAAAGAAAAAATGCTTGTCTCTGTCCTTTGCTATTTCGGTGCACAAAATGATAGTTAATTGTGTTTTACCTTTACGCTGACAACTGAAGATGTCGAGTGGGAACCATTTTAAGAAAGGTTATAATTTTTTAGGGATTATAGTCCCATATTGTCAAGATATTTGATGCAACTGATAGAAGTTACTTGAAGTTAAGAGAAGCAGTACGTTCACAATAACGGAAGTTAATTCCAAATTCAAAACCAACTTTAAAGGAGGTAAACAGTTTCCTTGTTCCATGGAAAATAGCCTCAAAGTCTACATCTAAAGGAAAGACTAATCAAACGAAATAAGTTCAGACGTCATGGTTTTGTCATTCGTAGCAACAGTTTCATGTAAACAATCTTAAGACGTCCGTTGGTTACAAAAGAAACATCTGCTTCTAACGGCACCTGCCTGACGCACGCTTATATCTTCCTGTGTCAATTAGTCGGTTGATAATTCGTGTTGAGACTCTTGAGAGTTTTAGTAAAGTCACTTGTGAACAAAATACAAGCGCAAGGAGAGAAAGCGGCTGATGAAGGAATAGTTTATTTCAAAAGATGAATATGCTCTCAAAATAAATAGTTTAGCGCGCTTCTCGGAAGGCAAACTTAATTACAAGCAGACGATCTTCATCGGCGTTAATCTATTGGTTATAAAGATATTATTTAACCAAAAACAATGCTATAATCGGGGGATTCTAAAGCTCTTTGAATGCACAATTATATTTTGATTATACATTTTCAGGCATTAAATGAATTTAATCGAGAACTTGTGATAAATATGAGGCAAAGCTCCAGATTACTTTCAATTCTAGAACTTTCTTCCTGTTTGCTTCAAAACAATGGAAACATTTTAAATGGAGAGAACCTTATCTAATTGGGTGTTGTAAAGCCGCTAACCTGATGCAGATTACTTCTGCTGTTTAATGCCAACCAAGTGAGTCAGTTTACTTAATGTGGGTCCATAACAGCCGACATAGCGCAAAGATGGCCCTTCGGATTTTTCATATTAGAGGAAATTCGATCCTCCTCGTTCAAAATTGTCATCTGTAAGAAGTGATTAATCTTATAATTTTGATAAGCTAATTCTTTGGCTTATTTGTTAGCGCTCAAGGATCACAGGGTTACATCCCCGTCACATGTTGGACATCAGTTATTTGTCAGCAATCTACAGGTAAGTGACTTAACAATTCTGTCACAAATAATACTGAATTGTTCAGTATTACTGAGTTCTGGATAAGATAAGGAATCAACATCTCAACAAAGTTATAATTTTTTCACCCTTCAATGGTTAGTCGTATCTCTTCAGCGATAACTCTAAGACAAACTGGTGTACGATTTGTGGCTTTTTGTACCTTCTTACGGTACACTGACGTTAACGAGTACAACACAATGCCTCTTTACAACATCTCTTTGGCGATTGATGAATCTCTGAAGGAGATATATACTGACGTGCACTCAGAAAATTAACAATAAAAACATACATTGTATTTTGACCGCTGACTTGATCTGCAAGAATTATTTCTTAGCTTAGCACCCACAGTCAACATAAACATCACGATTCAAAAATGAGCAAATCAGTCCAATTCCTCATAAATCTTAACAGTGATAGAATGAGCTTTGTTTCGCTGATAAATGATTAGTTATTAGTATTTAAAAGTTCTACCCTAAACGTGAGAGACCAGGCGACTCAGTGTGTTGCTCGTTGGGCTTTGAGCAGTTATTTTGTTCCCGTCCCCACCCAGGGGTGTAAACTGTCTAGGTGCAGACAAATGATGAGGGAAAATAAATGCGATTCTGGGGGTATCCCGCCGTGGCTTAGCAAACCATCTAAAGAGAGTGGCAACACCCTTAGTTAGTTCATGACACGGAAACCGGAATACCCTGCGGCGCCTTGAGTTGGCACTAGTAACGATTTCTCGTTAGACTTTTTTTTTTTTTTAATCTTAAACGCGCTCCTTTATCATCATCTTTCGGGAGCCAAATAATGATCCTTTGGTTGGTGCGCTTTGTTATTTTCTCCTTATATTTCAAAATTATTTTCACAAAGCAGTCAATAATGTCAACAAGAGGGGAGGCCAAAGTGCAAAATAGGTTGATTCGTTCAGAGGTGTTCGTTCAATTGGTTGAACCCTAATTAATGCTTCCATATACTGGCATGTCAAAAGCTGGGATATCAGTTTCGAAAATTTTACATCCGAGTAGAAGTAAGGAGACCTTGATATAGATTCAAATTCTTGTATAAAATAGCACAAATATCACAAAGGCAAACTAATAATCATCATTATCAAGTGGTCTCTCTCTCCTAAACAAACAATCTCTCGGCTGCTGCATGTTGCCTGTGTATAAACCTATGACAAAATACTAAATTAAAAACAAATTGTTTATGATATATAGATTTGAAAAAGCAATTTTCAGCGTTCTTAAATCATATTGGAGTATTTGAGAAAATAGAATTTGAAGCCTTTGTCTTCTAATTTGTTTTGTGATGATATAAGAGAGCTGATTTCTAAAATTTAAACAAAAGGTTTATCGAATATTCTGTTGAGACAAAAAATTAGAATACTTCTGTTTACGGAAAACCCGGTGTCATATACGATTGAACTTCAAACAACTTGATTTTATAACTCGGAACAGAGTTAACGACTTTAGAAATCAACCACATTAATATGCGCAGAACTAAGCCCATTCTTATGGCTTTGTTTGATGTATGTTTTGCTTTTGATTCTAGGAAGCATTATCGCCACCTAAGTAAAACTTCCTATTTTTAAACCAAAACAACATATAGAAATAAAATCACTTTCGCGACAAATTCAATGCTGTTTACGTTGTTTCCAACCGTAACTCTTGGCTATACCAAAATTAGCTGAAAGTATGGAAGAAAGTCTGCAGCGGGTGTCGCCCTGAAGTGATTTTCAAGATTTGAATTCTTTTTCGTGACTGACATTTATAGAACCTTGTTATTATGTCAGTGGACAAAGCCCTCCCATGCAATTCGTTATCTTTAGCTCCGAGGGGTGAAAAACAGCTTCAACTTGCTAATGAGATCCGCCGACTCACTCCAATAAATCGTCCGACTAAAGAGCTTATGATTCTATGCTGTTAATAATACAGCTGTCACAGACGTGTATCGGGAAGACAACTTTCCAATAGATTGGATCGCAGCTCAATGCGTCTTTCATCTCACTTCTGAGGATTTCTCGGATAAATGGACAAGGTGTTTATCGGCGTCGAAGGAAACTTTTATCATCATATCTGCCTTCAAAGATTCGTATTCTCAATCGTCATATGTAAACTGGAACAGATAGGAGATGACTTGAATAGAACATGTTGAACACTACTTCAAAATGGAGTAGCTCCAAAATATTACTCAGGTAAGATTATAATAGTGTCATTCAATATTTTATGACAGAATGTGATTCCAGCCACTGGCAAATTTGGAATGATTCTAGATGGCTCTAGATCACTTAAAGTTTGACAGCCTGATTGTCTCCGTTCTCCGCAAATTTCACCGTGGTTTTTAAAGATGCTCGAGGCAAATAAAAAAAATTGATTCACGCAACAGAATTTTGCTTAAGTGTACTTCTGTTACACTATTAATTTTGAGGAACCACTGTATGTTTATAACGTTGACTAATTTTTAAATTTTGCCAGAAAATGTTAATGAATTGCACTGGAAAATGTTTTCTAAGTGAGGCTGTCTCTAAAAGTCGAATGAATTAGTTATAATGCACCTCTAACGTAACGGATCTTTGCTTAAAGTTGGCTAAAATAAAAAAATGGAAATATAATGATTCGAAAGCGAAACGATAAAATTGAGAAGACAAATTTGAAAGGGAGAATGTGATTAATAAACCAGCTTGTGTCTATCTGATATCAACTTTACAGGAAGTGTCAGCCAGCACTAAAATAAATCGAAAAAATCTTTTTGCGTATTCAATTTTTCCCTTTTTATTTCAAGTTCCACGATCATGTGGCAGAGGGAGGATTAAATATCACACTTCTCAATGAGTCGACCTGAACTTATTAACGACCTGGTCCTTTTTTTTAAATACACCTTACGCGCAAATGAGTTTTCTTAAAATTCAACTGCAGGGGGGAAAGGACTTCAAAGTCAAGCATTATTTTGGATGATTTTAGCGAAAAACATCCGCGAAGCTTTAACCAATCAAAACGAAAGACTCAAAGATGTCTGATGTTTCTTCAACGAGAATAAATTATCACTTGTTTCAATATGTTTGCATCTTGTCGGGTCTTTCGTTAATTCGGATGTAAAACGCGACCGACGGGAGTATTACACTTTATATACTTTGTATTCTGATGCCTCGCTTATTTCAGTCAATTATAAAAAATTTTGAATTCTGATCTAGCCTGACGAGGAAATTGTGAAGATGGATAAAAAACGAACCAAAACTCTTTACTCACGGCACTGAAATACTTCAAACAAAGACAGCGAACCAAGTGAGAATTGAGAACCTGGTCTTGCGGCGCAGCTGCGCTGATACATTGCGTATAATTCACTGTCTTGAGTGAAATGAGAAGGCGTTTGACTACCTTACAAATTTTACATGGAACAAACACAAATTAAGTGATCTAGAAGAGTTTAACATGCGGCGCAAATATTTTATCAATGCTCAAAGCTAACGTAAAAATTACGATCAATAATTCGTTACGATCACGTAACTGATTGTTTAGTTCACGATTTCTTATTCATAATTTATTCACATTTTTATATTGCCGATTTCAAGGTTTTCTCATCCAAGAATTAAAACATTCATTTCGTGTTATTAACTTGATGCTGAGGTTCTTTTTGCAAGTAAAAATTTTCAGACTTATGACTTCGATTGGGTTTTACATTTTAATGCGTATTGTAGACTTTTCAGAAATTAAGAACAAGAATTAAGAATTACGCTCAATCTTCTAAATTGTGGTTACTTACTTTTGGCTCGAAAAATGGTTCTGTCGAAAGATTTCGAATATTTTTGGAGATGATTGACGGGGCGGAAAACTTAAGTCGGTAAGGATGTCACTCGATCGTGAACAAGATGAAGGCTTACGATACACGAGCAAACTACTTGCATATAGATTTAGATGATCATTAATTGCAGGATAAAAGTTTTTCTCACGTGAGGGCAAATATATGTTATTTTCAAATTATTAAATTTGTTAGATATAAACATATCGCTAGCAAATCACAGGATTAAGGCCAGGTTAGATATTTTGGACCAAAAGAGCGTTATAAAAAAACACGTTCGATGCGAATGCGCTAGAACTGACAGGTGAATGACAAAAGATATTGTCAAAGCAAAAGTTGTTTTGGGCGATATAATTGTGAAATATCGCCGTCATCTTAGAACGTCATAAGGTGAATTGTGATTGGTTAATGCTCTAAGTGCACCATTTAATCATTTCTGTGAAGACAGCTTGCAAAGAAATTAATAATAGTGCAAACGGCTCAAGGGCCCTGGAAGGCATAAAGACAGTGTTCTATATCATTTGATGGCACTACTATATGCAGTTGGAAAGCTTTTTCGCTCAAATGCAACTCAACGAAACAATCGACATAACTGAAAAATAACTAACTAAAAAGTGCCAGGCTAGTAACGGAAATCTAATTGGTAATGAGACGGTGTCAATGGTATCAAAGTGAACATAATAATCAAGTCTACAGTTTTACAGCAAAACGTTCCTCGTACTAATCATGAAGCACCTTGGGTTTTTTGTATTAGATATTCCAAGAACTGAATAACCATGCCTTCTGGCAAGACCAAGAAGCGCTCTAATAGAATTGTGATAAATGTTGGTGGAGTGCGACATGAAACCTTTCTGAGTACGCTTAAGACCATTCCAGATACACGACTGTCTTATCTTGGGGATCATCACACCACAGTCGCTCGAACACCGGAATATGATACCGTGAAGGAGGAGTACTTTTTCGACAGACACCCGGGGGTTTTCACACAGATCCTAAACTTTTACCGTACAGGGAAGCTTCACTGCCCTTCAGATGTTTGTGGTCCATTGTTTGAGGAAGAACTCAGCTTTTGGGGTATTGATGAACAGCAGGTAAGTCGCCCTTGCAAACATTGTCTGGTGTAAATTGATGATAACTCCCAGACAATATCATCAATACATGAATCAAAGACCTTTCCAAATATGCTATGAGAACGCTTGGTTGAAATTTAGGTTCAGAGATACAGATACAGATTACTAGTAATGCAGTAGGTGCATGTGAGTTGATAATTCATTTTTGCTTCTATTTTGTTACTTTGAATTCCTACTTATATTCAACTGATCACGTTTTACTATTCTTTGAAATAAGAATTATTAGTAAATTGTTTCGCTCCTAATAAAATGAACAAAATCGCCTCAAAATATCACTTACTGTCGTGAGAATTCCATGCATAAACGCTTTACTAAGAAAATAATAGTTTGTAGAATTTTGATGGAAATGAAAACTGTTCAGTGAAATTATTCCCGTTGATAATGAGGAAGAATATGTCTGTCACCAAGTATCTCAGTGGTTGGTAGGCATATTGCAAACTCCAATCGAAAGCTAACTATTTTGCTAAAAATAAACAAGAATTAAGGACTCAAAATCGATCTGCAAATCGTATAGCATTTCACTGACGTATTTTCTCATTATACATTTAAAGACAAAAGCGGATGTTTATTTTAATCAATTGTGACGCTCGACTTTCCTAGCATTCAACTGTTGGTTGAAACGAATACTAAGACATTGAGCCCGGATCATGACTGTTCTCAATTCACCGTCTGAAAGCATAAGCACCTAAAGCGGGTGTAACCTTGCTTTTGAAATTTCTTCATGCTTTTTTTTCGGGACTGTAAACATAATTTTTTTAAGGGTCTATATAAATTTACTCGCTGCCTTATCGTACTTATTTGAAGACACAGCTGCAGCAAAAATAAAGGAAATATCAGTATGGTTGATTTTCATGGCATCTATTGCACATTAAAAAGTCCAAAAATATTGTGCAATAACACAACAATCATTTGCAACAAGCGTGTTGCGTCCCCTTATCTTATTAATAAAGCTTCTGTCAAAATTGACTTTAAAAGGAGCTACCAGGCCATTATGTAATGCTGTAAATCTTTAAAACTCCTATTTATTTTGGTTTCTATTTACTATCTCATAAGCTCAAACGCTTTTTCAACACTGTTTTGTAAATACCACCCCGTGCATTTTTTCTACTCGTGTATTAGGCTTTGTATAATAGATGCATTTATTCTGTCGCTAACGCAGATATGTTCACAATAGAGATGATTTCAATATTTGGAAGCAGGTGTCAAGCAACTTTTACCTTCTCACTTTGTCGAAATTTGTGCTCGAACCAACAATTGGTCAAGTGAACAGATTAACACCTAAAACGCATCATTTCCTTGAGAAAAATGAATAAGCGAAAAATATTTTTTGTATAATTTATTAGGATTTAACGTGTCAACTAAGTACAATTTGCATCAGGTATTGCCCTTAAGTAAATTTATACAGAAAAGATAAAGTGCAGACAAGAATCTTTTCTGCTGCTAAATGGCCAACGTAAGGCACGTAGGGACAAAAAGTTTTTTTGTGGACTTGAGAAACAACTCATTTCACTCTTCAGTTAAGCTCTAGAGAAAACTAAACCGCAATAAGTACACCTGCTGTATGGTAAAGAAAACATAATCCTACAGTCTATGGCGCTGCGACAGCTAGATGACAGCATATTCGAATTCATTTTAAATATTGTAGCGCTGCGACAGCTAGATGACAGCATATTCGAATTCATTTTAAACATGGTAGACCTCGAGTAACAGAAAAATCTTGAATAGGACGCGATCAAAATGAAAATTTGATAACAAGCAATATAAATATCCGCTCTGAGTCTTAATATTTGGCGCAGTCTAGCAATGACTGATTAACATGTTGTGCACATTGGATATAACTGTTTCTTACAAAACCTTTTTAGTTCGTGTTACCGAAAAAAATACTTCAAATGACTTTCAGTTACTGACTCAAAGAAAAACCTTTGTAATAAGTTCATCAAGTCCAAGGCTGCTACTTCCTGCTTATATCTCAACATGGTTTAATGGTTTTATGTCAGGTAAACTTTGTGAGCTACTTTGATCAGCAAGAACTGCTCTCTTACACACACACACATTACGGCGGAAAATATATTGAACCCACTTGGTTGGTAAGGCAACGGACAAGTTTCTAGGGCTTATCAATATTTGTAGTTTACAGAAAAGATGTTAAGTGAAATGTAGGTTGATGAGAGAAACTGTTCCACGGCGACATGATTTTCAGTTGTCGATTTATCGTTTACAAGACATAACGTCACATAACTGTCAATTACTTTCAAACAACACGCACTCGTGGAATTGATGTTACATATTTCTAATCCATTGTAGTGTCGTAATATTTACCCGGCGACACCTTTTCTAACCATTACCGATAGACAATCAAATATCCTTCCCATCGTCCATCCATTGATTCTCTAAATTATTCCTCAATTTTAATTCAAGTCTTTTATTATTATTTTTCTTTTTAACGACACAGGTCGAAACTTGCTGTTGGGAAAATTATAAGCAACACAAAGAAAAACAAGAAAAATTAAAATATTTCAAGCTTCCTGGATACGAGGAGGACCCCGAGGAAAGATTTCTGTCTGAGGACTCGGGACTCTTCGAAGACGTTGATGAAGTACAATCATGGTGGTCGAGATATCAGCCCAAGGTCTGGAAGAGCCTTGAAGAACCTTACACTTCCTCTTGGGCAAAGGTAGTTAAGTGGTATTTTAATTTACCAGTTTACAGCTTTACCTCAAAGTTGAAAAACGTCGAGTCCTTAATAAAAAAATTGTGAATACACATAACCATTGACCAGACCAAGCATTTACAATAAAATTTGATGACAAATACTGACGCAGAGTTAAGTTGCCAGCTGTATTTGTGCTGCTTTCATGAGCTTTGAACCTCCTTACTAAGACCTACATTATTTGAAGTCTGTTATTTTCTCGCACGGTAGTACACTTGACGCATGGAGGGAAAGCAAGGTTAGCAAACACTTAACTGGTGTTTGAATGGTGAGGGTTGGTTAGAGACACACCCTGCTCTGTTGATCTGTCTCATTCTAATTTCTTCTCCTCTAAAAAAAACATACTTTTTCCAAGAGCGTTTCGGGTAAATTTGTTAAATAATATTGCCTTCATCGATAATGTTCCGGATTTTGTCCACATCTGATGGGAGAAATAGTACTGGACCCATACTAACAGAAATGCAAAATTACTCTTCCTTCACAGCTGGTGGGAATTGTCTCGTTTGTGGTATTCACAGCTTACATTATCAAATTCTCTTTGTCAACTCTGGAGTACTTCAGCGACAAGACTGCTCCTCAATACATAGCCTTATCAGTGACACACCTCATATGTATCTCATGGTTCACGATGGACTTTGCTCTTAGGCTCCTGTTTTCACCCAAAAAACTCGCCTTTGTCAAAAGTCCCTACACGTGGACAGACTTGATACCTCTGGTGCTGTTATATGTATTCTTTTTCCATCCGTCCATGGAGGAGATACCATTTTTAGAGATGCTTGTCATGTTAAAAGCTGCGCGTATTTTCCAGTTATTTAAACTGTCTTACGTTCTTCAAGTGCTTGTTAATACCCTAAAAGCCAGCTCTCTTGAGCTGTGTCTCCTGCTAGTCATTACTGGCTTCGTTATGGTTGTGTTTGCAAGTGTTGTGTATTATCTGGAAAGACATGACTTAAATAGCGACTTCAGAAGCGTCCCTGAAAGCATGTGGTGGGCTGTAATCACTATGACAACGGTGAGTTCATTTCTAATATGTGCAAGATGGGTCAAACCTTAAATGAAACGATTAATAGAGGAGACGGAGAGTAATTTAATAACCAATACGTTCGTTATGGTATGTAACGTTATGTGTTTCTTTCAATTTTCAGGTCGGTTACGGTGAAGTTCATCCTCGCACATGGATTGGAAAGACTGTTGGTAGCGCATGTGCAATATGCGGGGTGCTGGTCATTGCTCTACCAGTATCAGTGGTCGCAAGTAACTTTTCCCTCTTTTACACGTACGCCAAAGCGAGGCTCAACCTACCGCCTAAAAAGCGGCGGGTGGCTTTTTCTCATGCTCTCACGTCCATGCATAACCAGAGATCACAAGAGGGACCTGAAAACAGCACACATGCGAACTTTACGTCACTGTGCAGCGAGAGACAAACTGAACGAAGCTTTCCGTCAGAGATTTCGATAAGTTGTTCCATAACTCCCAGAGGAAGTCTAAAGAAATCATCTTTTTGGTCGCTGCGTTCGATGACCAAACTACTAAGACCGAACAGACGAGCTAACGTGAGTCGGAGCAAGTCTTTGAATTCTGTTCTTTCAGATTACAAGCTAATGAAGGAGGTACCCGTAGAAGGCATAACGTTGAAGTTCGAACCGCCTTCGAGAGTTCCCTCCGCCGCTGATATAACTAAAGACCAACCAGAAGGTATTTATCGGTATAGCCTGTATCTTCTATTTATTGATACCGCGTGTAAAATCCCTCAAGCTTCTCTTTCTAATGAAGCATCTAATTGTATTAAAACTTGGGAGCAAATCTTGAGTACTCTTCCACAAAATGAAGTTTATAGAAATGAAGCTAGTTTGATTTGTTGTATGCCTTTTAATGAAATGATAGACTACGTCTCTCAACAAGACACAAAATCCAGACAGCTCCACACAGGGGGCTAGCCTACTCCTAAGTTCAGACCGAGTCTCCTGTGGCTCAGCGGTAAGGCATTTGAAGTATTACTTGAAAGGTCGTTGCCTGCTGTTGAAAGCTCCCGAAATTATCTCCGTTGCTAAAATGCATCATCACTAACAACATTCTTATGGTCATTTAGACTGATATAGTTTAACTTTTGGACCCATTACAGGAGAGAATGCTCTGCTTCACGTGCCAGCGGAGGAAAGAAGAAAACATTCAACGAGAGATTCTCAAAAGGAAATCTCAAGGCCATCTGCGCTAATAAACAAATCACTCTACCCACTCCACCTTAGACGAGGAGCCGTGTCACCAGCCTCATTCAGCCTAAAGAGCGCGTCAACAGCTTCTAGTTTAAACGCACTTCCAAGAGGATACAATGAGCTTTACAACGCACTTAGTGGTAAAGGACCTATTATTCTCTTGTCAGATCAAGCCAGCGTGCAAAGCCTTTGCTCGATCAACTCACGGATGACTTGTTCGTGTTCAAGTTTGAGAAGCGCCGGAAGTGATGGTACGATTCCCGATGTGATTGGTGAGAACCGAACGCGCATGGGTAGTGATGGAAATTTTCCGTTTAGTCCCACCGAAAAGGTCGACGGGATACAGGCAACATTAACAGTACCCGTAGAGTCTCATGGAAAACGAAGAGATGATACCGAGAGTCGTAACAGCGTCAAAGAAGCCGATTATCCCCTCGCACCGAAAGAACACAAGAAATGCAGAAGGCATGATCATAGAAACAAAACTGAGGAGGATGAGTTTGTACCAGTTGAATTTATGACGATACCAAATGTAACAAATGGTGAAAAGCCTACAAGTTACGATGGAAACCTTGGGATAATTTGTCAGAACAACACAGCCGAGTCACAAAACGTGGATCAAATCAATACAAATTGGCAGCATAATCAGCAGCAAACAAGTCCTCCCCAACCTGCTGTAGAGGAAAAAAGTCCGCCAGACAAGGATAACCTCTCGCGAGAAGATGGTCAAGAAGATGAAAATATGTCACTCGAGAAAGTTGTCCCGGACATTAATGTACCTGTTAAACCTGTTCCAGTGATAGGGCGGGCCGCGTCCGCTTTTTCTATCATGGAATACAGCATTGGTAAAAATATCACGTCATGTAACGACGGAAGCCAACCAGCGGAGAATAACTCAACTCGCGACGACATTGGGCGTAAAACCCTTCAGCGACGTCACAGTGCCTTCACTCCCTGTCATGACAACACAACACCGCGCAGGGGACATTTGAGTAGCAGTTACATGAATAGTCATGTGAATGAGCGTGAACCGCTAATTAATGGAAATGTTATGCGGGCTTATGATTCTATTAGAGAAAAAGAACAAAGCATCGATGATAAAGATATTCAAGACTGGAAAAGGATGAGGAAAACCGGCGTACTTTCTTGTCACTTGCAAACAAACCTTGAAATTCAGAGAAGCAATCCATCTTTGGAGGAAAGTTCAAATATGACTGAGAACAATTCTGCACATGAAAGTTCGAACCAAGAAAGAACATTCCAATCTTTGCAACCATTTTCGTCAGACACGGAATCAACAAACTCGGAGTGTAGCCCTAAGGGCCCCATCACAAATGTCGAGCACGAACATGAGAAAACCAGAACATCAAGGGTTTAAGAAGCACTTTCTTATCTCTTTCTCATGTAAAACAAATACAGTTTTATTCTACTTGTATTTTCTCTTCTTGTACACGGAATTTCCAGTGCAGTTGTGATCGAAGCTGATAAAAGATATTTTCCGGTGGAAAAAACAACCAGCCGATTCTTATAACATGTAACAAATATGATTAAATAAGGAGAAACAATGTTCGCGTTAGACTTTGGCCATTTCGTAAGTTGAGGAAGGAAAAGAAATAGTTCTTAACAAACAGCATTTAGTCTGTTATAAAGTTTGGGTAAAGATAAAATGATGAAAATTTCCGAAAAAAAAAAAGAATTGGTCTTATTTCTTGATATCATATGGCCTGTGTCTTTGAAAAACATTAAAGAGCAATTACTGAAATTTACTTGTTTTTTCCTCTAGAGGAACGTTTGAGGTGTGTTTTACAACACTTTTCCTCTAAAGACTGTAATTCAGGGCCCCCACTGGCGTCAGGATTAAGCCCAATAAATTATTTACCTAGATTCCAAAGAAACTAGTAAGACAATCAATTTTGTCTTTGTCGTCATTTTGAAGAAAAAACAAAACAAAACAAAATGAAAGGAATAGGAACAGAGATTTCCCAAGGAAATTATTAAATTCTCGTCAAATACTTCAGTAACTGAGTCTTATCTCATCCGTTTTCTTTAAGGATTTCCATCAAAGTTACTCATTGTACGGAAAACTACTAAAAAACGAATGTAAGTTGCTTAACGCCATATTACAATCTTCTAAGTTCGGCCTCAGTCTAACTGTACGTTACTATTCATTTTGAAAAAGGTATGCCCGCCAAAGCTACCTGCAAGATGCGATGTAGTTTGACATTCATCTTTGGCGGATCATAGCAATCCAGAATTTTTATTCTCTCATCCAATCGGCTGTTTATTCCTTTGAGTGCTTTCCTAATATCCTCCATTTCTCGATTAAAAATTTCCGACCGTAGAGCACGTCTTTCCTGGTCGCGCTTTAGCTGCTGATAAAATGTCTCTTTTTTACGAGTACTTTGCTTTAACAGATTGTTCTTGGTCAGTTCCTTGTGATTTTCCTTTAACTCTTTGATGGCTTCCTCTCGACTGTTTGCAGAAACTTCCCTTCTTCCCTGACTGGTTTGTGAAATCCTGGGCAACTTATTCGCGGAAAGTTTCTCCTTCGTAGCTTTTGAAGTAGTATCGGTTCCACTTTGGTGAAATGAAAGCTCTTCAGAAAACATTCCAGAGAAAGAATTCCTTCGTAAAGTCGCCGGGCCATTAAAGAACGATTTTTCACTTTCATCAGATGGACTTGGGGGGACTGTATAGGACGATCCCTGAGGAATAACCAAATGACTGACCGAAGACGACATAACGGGGCTTTCGTCTCTATCAACAAGTTTGACATCCGTAAGCGTCGAACTTTCCTCCTCAGTGATTGCCACTATGCTCGGCTTTTTACTTGTTTGCTCTCGCTCGGTACCAGCGCCTTCGTCCTCGATGTTAATCCTCGGGGTTCGTTCCTGTGGCTGATCTTCATCAGGCGTCCGTATGTACTTGCTGTAATTTTTTATGACATTCTCTGCCAGCGAAAGCCTACGGTTTAATATTTGGGAATGAGCGTCTGTGGAACCGAAGGTGTACTTCTTTTCAGTTTCTATCCCAGTGGACGGTGTCTGAGGCGCTGACAAACGCCGCGTGGACGGAGACGGAACGCAACGAGAACTTGGCGGCGACTTCTCTGGAGCTTTATTCTTTTTGTTATCGACTGATGTTGAAAATCTCTTTTCAGGACTGGCCGTTTTCAAATAAACAAACGTTTCTTCCTCTTCTTCTTCGTCTTCATCTCCGCTGTTTCCGTCGCTATCAGACCTGGAAGTTTTCTCGCTCTGTTTTTTCTTCATAAAGCTCTGAAAGCCTTCTTCGGAATCGATAGATTCAAAAGATTCCTGTCCAGTCTTGGCCAACCTCTCACGAAGTCTCGCCCAAGCAGTAGCTGGCTGATCCGACTGTTGATGAAATTGCTGGCGCACCAAACTGCGCACATAGTTACTGCTTCTCGACAAATTTCCTAAATGAGTCATTGATATTCTCTCAGAGGCCCAGTCGTCATTTTTTTCACCCATTTTTCACAGAACGGACCCCTTCAACGGTGAAAAGTAAAGCAATCTTTGGTTACTAAGGCAGGCAACCAAGTAAATGCTTATCGAGACAGCAATCAACAAAGACTACGACAGCGAACTTCCTTAAAACACAAAAAGTTTGATAACCACGCTGTGCAATTGCGGTTATTTCTCTAAAGCACGGATCCAATTAACTGTACCCTTGCCTGTTATCTCCACATTGTTCGTATAAACTTATCCGCTATTAGCCCGAAAGTATAAACAGTTTAGGCAATTAAAATATGAAACAAAAATATCTACGTCGACACAACTGATTTCCTCCAAAACTCATATATGTGGTTTTCAGTGATAGAAAGATAACATAGCATTGTTTTTGGCAACGAATTCTCTCATAATAGTTGCTTACAAAGCTGCTTTTTAAAAACTCATATTCTTCTTTGATATTCTAAAACAACGCGCTTCAAGAAACATCTGCTGTGAGGTAAATACAAAAGTTTATGAGCTTTGTGAGGAATAATCTGAGCTTGAAACCACTTCACCCTAAGATTTAATGTGATAATATCAAACGTACACATCACTCAATGGTAAGTTGACCTATAAACATGTGACACCTAGAGACAAACAACAGTACATGGTTTCTAACGATGTAGTAACCCTTGGTCATGCTGTGACTTTAGCCGCATGCCGCCACAGGCTTCTTCGATGCAGTACTTCCAACAAATGAGCGAAATCAATAAAATAAGAATTTTATTACTGTCTTGTCCAAGTCAAAGAAAAATATCAAAGCGAAAGGAGTCGTTACGAATACACTAATAGACTGTTTTTTTACAAAGCTAAATGAATGTACCGTTTTATTGGTCCAATGTTTTATTTCCTCTTTTTCTTTCCAATCATTAGAACTACATGTTAACGCATTTGGTTGATAAAATCGAAGGTGAAATAACATTGAAATTTGTTCTGACAAATTAGGAAAAAATGGCTTTATGCGTGAAAAAAAAAAAACTGCTTCATCCGAATTCTTGTGTAATTCACCTGTTCATAATTTCTGAAACAAAACGAAAAAAAATCCTCAAACAAGTACAAATGGCAGAAAAAATTCCACAGAGAGTATACCAGTTTTCACGGTTCTATGAATGAAAAGGTTAGTGACTCGAATCGTATATATATTCGTGTCACGTGCGAATATTTTAAGGAAACTGAGCAGGGTCTGCCATCCTCTATAAACTATTACATGTACGAAATAATTCAAGCAAGTTTGTGAATGAAAGTGGCTATCAGTAATAACCTCTATGGACTTTTATTGAGCAGTTTACGACTACCGCGAAACAAGATTCCATTAGACATTCGACTAGATCAATTATTAGATAACAATAACAGAATGAATGATAGAACTTTATATAGAATATAAAGCTATAAACACTGAAGAATAAAAAACTAATAATTTTTTTCAAATGATTTAGAAATATTTAAAATAAATTTACTAGGACGATTGCGTAGGAATTTGTTTGTTCAATAATATAATAATAATAATAATAATAATAACAACAATGTTTTACGAGGAGGCCTCCAATCACCCGATGGTGGTTTTCAGGAGGATCCTCATAAAAATTTTAAAAATAAATTACCAAAAAAAACCTAAGACTACAAGCTAAAGTAGAGGTTACAATAGTTCAGTAGAAAAAGTTTCAGTTTGTGTTTAAAAATAGTTTCTGGCATCAGTCTTCCTTCTGTATCAAGGGCAAATTAGATCTGTTATGTCTGTAACAGACATAACAGAGTAGATCTGTTATGTCACTCTGTTCCTCTGCATAACAGAGTAGACCTGTTATACAGTGTAGGTCTGTCAAAGTCTCTGATAAGTACATCATTAACATCTATTGGGGTATTTCCACTCAGGGAACCATTTTAAAATGCTTAACAAACTAACTGAAGATTTTGTTGTTCTTCCTGCAAGGTTTTTTGTCAATTAAACACAAACATAGAAAAAACTTACCTTTTGGATCAATCTATATTTCCTTTATACAAGGCCTATCACGTGATTTTCTTGTATATGTTTTTTGCTTGTATTTTCTGTAGGGTCTGGTGGAGAAAAAGAACAACAGTAACAATATAAGAGACAATTCCTGAACCAAATTAACTGTAAAAATTACATTTAGCAGGTAACTGAAATAAGAAGTCACACAACAACTGTCTTTAAAACTGCTAATGACCCACTTGATGAAGTCCTTGATTTAAAACTTGATAAGAAATTCTCCGAAGTAAAACAGTAGAGAAAGTTGACAACTTACTTGACAGGAAGTCTTGTTTCAATGATATTTCTTCGCTGGAGGCTCTTAAATCTGTCTTCAAATAAGTTTCCTTCTTGCTGTGAAAAGAGAGACAACAGGTTGGACAAAAACATTTTCATAAAAAACAAGCATTTGACAAATTAAATACATTTTTAAGGAGTGAATCAAGTGCCTACCACTCACTAACTCACAAATTAAGTTCCCTTTTGAAGTTAATTATCCAAAAAAGAAAAAGAAAAAAGTTACTGGGTATTTTAATCACATTAAGTGACCACAGTAAGGTGAGCTAACCTTTAAGGTGCGGAGACTTCCAGTCAGCTCTGTACTCAGCTGAACCTCACAATCTGGTGATTCATATCTGAAGTTGCAGTTAAGTAATCATCTAAGATTTTATTCGTTTTACTGATTAAAATGAACTCCACTTTATTAAACATTTAGCATTTCACTTGAGTATTTTGTACCAGTGACAATTTTTCCCTGGTGGCAAGGAACACAACACAACACAACCCCATAGCATCCCACAGACAGTGGTACTCAGCGCAAGTGATAAAATTTGATGTTAATATTAATTCTTGTTTAAAGCTACGAATAGAGGTACACATAGGATACTTGTGCTTGCTAAGTCTTTTAGGTTTAATTGAAGAACTTCTCTCTGTTTCTTTTTTCTTCCTTCTCCTTTTTTCAGCTTCCTCATCAGCTATTTTCATTTCTTTCTTCAGAGCTTTTAATCTGTTACAAAAAAATGTATTAAAGGGCTCAGCAATCAAGAATGAAAAGAAGTCTTAGATGTACATAATTTGTGTGACTGCTAAATAATACACAGGGTTTAAATATCAATCAGAAGGACTCACAATATTCCTGGATGATGTCCATCGGTCATTAGTACATGTTTGTTTTCATCAAAGAATTTTATGAGATTTATTTTACATGAACTGTGTAACTAAGATTTGCTAAAAATAAATCACAATTCCATAATTGTTAATACAATGTACATTCACATACACAAATCAGCTTCCACCAACCTAAAAATCTCGTTTTGTTGCCTCTTTTCTTTTCTTTCTGTCTCAAGTCTCTTTACCTAAAATAAGCAAATAAAGCTCTCATGAGCACAGTGGATTAGATACCTCAATCCCACTTGTACCTTATATTTTCCCCTGTAATATTTAGAGTGATAGATATCTGAGTTATGACCATATTCCATTTTTGGACCATTTCGACAACACTTGGGGTTGGAGTTAAATTCAACAAAAGACCAACAGGGAATTCAACCAGCTAACTTACTTCCTCCTGTTTCTGTTTTTCTTTCGTCCTTTGCTGTTTTGTTTTTCTGTTGAAAGCTCTCACAGGAGCCGCAAGGGCACTTTCATGATCATTTTCATTCTCATCATCCTCTGCATCATTTTCAGCAAATAATCCTTGACTCATCTCTTCATTCCATGTTGGCTGAACATTACAAATTTGGAGTAGTTCAATGAATTAATTCAGCATCATCTACATGCACATACTAACTTGTAGAAGAAGGTTAAGTTCATGGCCACAAATCAGAAAGAAGGATTTGTATAACAACCCAAGACAGAACTATTATACTTATATAACCATACTAGAACAGTTTTTTGTATTCAACAGCTGCCTTTGTATCAGCTTTGTCTGGGTTCACAAACAAACATGAACACATTTGACTGTTAATGATTACCAAATTAGCTGCCTCCTCTGCAGTCAAGAGCTTCACTTGTCTTTTCAGTTTTTCTGTTTCTTTCACTTTTCTTAACTCCACATTATGAGCCATTTGAAGCAAAGACTGAAAATAAATTCATACAATTGAGAAAGCTGAGATAAAACACGCTAGTTGCTGTGTTATCCAAGGGAGGGGTGAAAACCCATATGCACCCAAGGAGGGTAGAGTGCACAATGTCTCACTTGAGGGAATAAAAACCAGATCATTGTCTAATTTAGGGTGTTCCTGATGAGACTAACATACCTTTGTTTGATCTTTTGGAGTGGCTTATAATAAATGCAAGACTTATATTTTTCTGGAGGTCCAATAAAAAATCAACAATCAACAAGACAGCAGATATGAATTTCCCTTAATCTGTCATTAGTCAGCAAACTGTCAAGTGACTTAATGTTTATGGTGTCAAGATCACTCTTCTCAAATAATTTCATCTCAAAGTTCTGGTGAACATCTCTCATTCCCCTCAAAGTTAAACACAGAGAGAAAAAGGTGACATTATCATGACTGCATAATATCCATTAAAATTATGATACATGTACCTGCCTAAGAAAGCTCCAATTTTACATTATAATTATTACTAATTTTCTCTGGAATCGGACAATATCCTGAAATTACTGTTTCCTTAACATTTTTCTGTACTGTTGGTATCATTCCAATGGCCCACATAACACAATGCATCTCTGTAAACTTGTGTTTATAAGAGGCCTGCTTTTTACCTGATGATCTTCATATGTTGGATTGTATGATGCACCAGGTGAACAAACTTCAACAGCTACTAACTGAGAAGTCTTCCTGCTGATTGTCTTTGGTTTCTGAAAAATATGAAAGATTTGTTTGAGTGAGCAAGAAAGTGACTAAAACAAACAGGAACAAGAAGAAAATAATCTTCATTTTACATTGAAAAGAAATGCCATTACCTTAACATTGATTCTCTTAGTAGTTGAGAGAAAATGTTCATCGCCTGTCGGAATATCTACAAAAATGAATCAAAAATAGAATAATGAATTACAGTATGAACTTCAGTGACAGAATCTTCAAAACCAAACACATACCAGGACATGTAAGAGGCAGGAAAATTTATCTCACCATGGCAGGTGTTCTAACTAAGGATATAATGTGTGCAATATCACATCACAGTCATATAATAGTTTTTGCAACATTTCAGCATCTGTAAAACTGACTCAATAATATGTATGAACATTAGATATACTTTCTAGCACAACCCTTCCAATACCTCTATCCCAATTTTTCAAAAAACATAAATTAAAGTGAATTTAAGTCAAACTAATGTTATACTAGACAAGTTTAGTTCACATTTTCAAGTCTTAAATTCTTAAAATTCTTAATCAGCAGAGAAAAATAAAAATCAACTTGGTTTGGTATCCCTTTAACCTGTATTCCATTTTAAGTTGCTACATGTTCATGAATACAACAGCACCCATAGTATACTTAGTAATAACCGCACAGTCTTTACCTTGTGCTTCCCATAAATCAAACACTGCAGCTGTTTTGGGCTTTTTTTTATTTATCTGAGCTTTGACAAGTTTGCCTCTCTCCTCTTCAATCTCAGAATCAGATGATGAGTTACTGAAATCTTCCCTTTGCTTGCTTTTTAGGTGAACTTTTCTTTTCTTGCTTCCAATTGGTTTAATTTTGCTTTCTGGTAATAGCTGATCAGCCTTCAGGAGTTTTCGTTTTCTTGAATTTTCTTTAGGTTTACCTGTATGTCAGAGTAGCATATCCAGATAAACAAAAATCTGCATGAGGATGAATTAAATTCTACTTGCTTCAATTCCACTGCAGGAGGCTTTGTATACCAATATGCAACTTACAAAGAAGAGTTCTTACTGATGATTATAAATAGTTTACTAAAACAGCTCATTCATGACAACAATTCATTACCCCAGTCTTACTTGGTGAATAAATTTTGTAACTGTATCTACTCCTCCGGCGGGCTTCTTACAGATTAAGTATCAGTAAAATCAAGGAAGAAAAACATGTTATTTTTATTTTGTTACTGGGTCTAAATGGTCACTCCTTAATGATGGCAAATGCCTTTCCCCCTCCTGTTCCACTCCCCTACTTGATGTGTGGACCTGAAAATCCTGTCAGCATTCCTTAATGCCTCAGCATGTCATTCTTTATCCAAAAATCATTCACAAAGACAGTCCAAATCATTTATACAATTGCCATAATGAGACAGCTGGTTCTTAATAAGTAATATTCACCAGAGTATACCAGAGACCATGACGAGATTAAGATTCATCTGCTTTATATACTTGAATTGCATTAATTTTACCTTCAGTAACTTTTCTCTCTTCAGTTCTGTGGTCTAGAAAGTACAAGCTTTCATCTGGTTTTTCAGAAACTGGACCACTGTATAATGAAGGAATATTGAAAATGACACAGCCTGTAACAACTTGAAACTGGAATAATGAGTAAATAATACAGCATAAATTCTAATTTCTACTTGTTGCCCTTAGTGAATTGAAGTAATTTTCCAAGCAAAGTGATATTTAATCTATTTACAAACTAAATTACGGATTGTAACCCTGTTAAAATCTCTGCTCCACTACAACTCAGATTCTAATTGATCCTTCATCTACACAAACTATTCAGTTCTCAGCTGCTACAAGACACAAATGCTCAGATCATAAACAATACATCTTTCTCCACGAAGGTCTGCCGACAGGGCCACCAATGCCTTCATAGTTAACGTGCACTTTGTTGTTAAAATTAGCATGGTAACTGATTAGAATTTGAAAGCTAGTGTTAAATCTTTGCATGTTATTTTTCCATACATTTTATGTCTTAACTTCTTCATCTACTTCAACCTTTACTCTGCCCTACTTATTTATGTCGTAATTTTTTTCAGGTCAGTATATGAATTTTTTCATACGAATAATCTGAAACTAAACCATCATTCCAGTAACCTATTATTATCAACTACATCGATTGTAATGATTAAATGCAAATTTCAACGAAATCTGAGTTAAAATTACGATAACCAAAATTCCACGTGGAGAGCTCGATCAGCTGTTTAGCGTCAGTTTCGCCACTAGATCACATCAAAGTACGGTTACAATCGGCAGATTACGCCTCAACTCACCCGGTTCTTTCCTCGCGTCTTGCCTCTTCAAGATGCTCCTCAACATCTCTAATATTAGTGTTCTTTCTCCAGCTTTGTTTTGATTTCTTACTATATCTCTTTCGCTTCGTCGTCAACGCCGCCGCCATGTTGATTTTCTGTCTGCTTCTGGAAACGTGGGCTCAGTTATTGCGCAATAGAGGTAAAACTGGAATCCTACAATAGCGCCTTTATGCAAAATACTAAGAAGTCACATAACAATTACATAATCACGATCACTAAGGTTACGAGTACAATAAACACACAAAGACAGCCTTCTAAGGACATGAAGCTACTTGACAGAAATGCAAATATTTTGAGAATACATCAATCAAGTTTAATTAAGCCTCCTCCTGAATATTCAATCGCATCAGTGTAAAATGGCACAGTAAAAGACTTTTATTGAAGAAGGACCTATTTTTCCTTTATCCCCTTCATTTTACATGCCAGTCTTGCACACAGCAATCAGAAAATCCCGAAGGATCTTTTGTCAAAATATCATCCTGTCCGATTCGTACCGTTGTTTTGTCTTGTTACTTTCTTTGTCTCTGTTTGATGGACAATGTAGTTATGCATTCAGTCAATTATTCAAAGGACATACCACAAAAGCCAGCCCCTTAGGGATTGGCTTAGTTCTCTAATGCATGCTGTGTTTGAGCAAGCATTTATTTTTTTCTATTGATCAAGTGATGTTCACATGTTCACAGAACAGTCACGGAAATAACCGCATCAGTGCGATATGACTCGGCAAAAGGTTGTTATTGAAGGAGGACTTATTTCTTATCTTGCTCTCCTAATTTTACAAACCAGTCTTGCACAAAGCAAGGGAAAAGATTCCGAAACATTAATCGTTGTGTCAATGGACGGCTTGAGATGGCAATACATTAACGAAGGATTCGCAAACACACCTAATCTTGATTCAATCGCTCGAGAAGGGGTCACATCAAAGTTCATCAAAACTGTTGTACCGAGCAAGACATGGCCAAACCATCACAGCTTCCTCACTGGGTTATATCCTGAAAGCCATGGCATTGTATCAAATAAATTTTTTGATCCAGTTTACCAAGAAAAGTTTGTCTTAGATTATGATTGTAGTAATTACGACCCAAAATTTTACAATGCGTCTGAGCCAATTTGGTTGACTCTGCAGAAAAATGGCGGTCGAAGCGGGGTTTATTTCTGGCCGGGATTCGGAGGTTACCCAGAAAAGCCGACATTCTACGAGAAGCCCGCAATCTGCCCCGTCAATTGCAGTGAGATCAACCCAAAAGACTTGCCAAACATGAGAAACAGCAGAAGTGGTTGGCCACCTTACATTCATTGCATGGTAAACCACAGTGAGCCTGTTGCAAACAGAATTGATAAGATCATGAGGTGGCTAAGGACCGACCTGCCACCCAGGCTAGTTCTCTTGTATTCAGAAGATCCAGACAGTACTGGACATGGATTCAGTATAGAAAGTGACCAATATAGAGCCGCTATGGAGAGAGTAGACCGTGATACAGTAGGATACCTGATCAACAGTCTCAAGAATGCAAACATGTACGACAAAGTCAACATCATGTTCGTTAGTGACCACAGTATGACTGATACGTCGTCTAAAAGGCAGATTTTCCTCGAGGACTACATCAACCTTGACGACTTTCAGCTCGTTGAAGGAGGAGCCGTTGGCCACATCTGGGCTGAAGGTAAACAAGTTGACGACATTTACAGAAATCTTACAAGTGCTAATAATGCTCACATGAGGGTATACAAAAAGGAGGACATCCCAGAAGAATACCACTGGAAGCACAACCTCAGGATCCCGCCGATTTTCGTCGACCCCGACGTTGGATGGGTCATAAAGACTGAGCGTTCAAAGGCACGTCAAGGGAATTGGACAGTGGGAGATCATGGCTGGCCTTCAACGAGGTCCAAAAGTTACTCTGTGTTCTTTGCCCGTGGTCCTGCCTTCCGGAAGGGGATTGAAGTGTCATCCTTCAATACCGTGGACCTGTACCCTCTGATGTGTAATTTATTGGGAATTGAGGCTAAACCAAATAACGGCTCTTTTGAGAATATTAGATTGATATTGAAAGAATATGCTTCAAAACCAACTGCCAAGGGTGTCTCTTATCTATGTCATTCATTAGCTCCTCTTTTCCTTACTGTATCGAGCGTGATGTTTTGCATATTAATGACGGACTGAACTTAATACCGTTAAGCTATGTACTTTTAAAATTTCTGTACCAGCGTAATCAGTAGAAAGCATGATTCGCTTGTAGCGGAAGTAATGGAGCCTTTGGTTAACATGGTACCAGAAACTATAAGCGATTTATACATCGTCTACCGCGCAAATAGTAAATATTATATTTCTCGTGCAGCAAAATTATTTGTGATTTACAACAACAATGTAACGAAACGTTAACTCATTAAAATAAATGTAACTTTGTAAGCGGTATATATTTTAATTCTGGACAACAAAAGTCCTGTGACTGTCAAGAATGATGAATGAGACCTTTGAACCAATTTAGTTACATGGACGTCTAGACCTTAATGCTGACGACCTCTTCCGTTTTCCAATCGCGCTCACGCTGAACCGATTGTTATAGACGTGTCAGTACCGCATTTTAAAAGATCCTAAAGCAAAATGTAAATGATAAGGCTGCTTATCAAAGAACAGATAAACCAATGGGCGGTAATTTAGCCCCGAAGCCGAGCAGTGAACTCTCCGTTTCATTTATGAGGGTGGCGTGATATATATCTGTCTGTTTCTGCCTCCTCCTCCCCCCCCCTCCAAGAAACCTGAAATAAAAAGAAACAGAGAAACCTGAGGGGGGGGACTAGCAGTTCACGGATAAAAATATGCAATTGAAACTAGCGGAACAAAAAATGAAAAGGAAATACGTTACTATGGTATGCAAAATTATGAGCCACTTGAAACATATTTGCTCGCGCGCGATTGACCTAAAAGCATTACATGGCCACATATTCTCCAGCTAAAACTGGGGGATATCCAAGGATATCGCCTGTTTAAAATTTAATTCAAGAAGAGAGTGCGTTCTTTGGTTATCACAGACAAAAGGAAACGTATTTGTTTGTTAATTAAGTCGTGCTAGAGAACACTCCAAAGAAATCTTCCCACGCAGCAAACAATAAGCTGTTCGCAAACATTTTTTCCCACGTGTTGCAAAATATTTGAAGGATAATAAACAAAATAGCATCTGTTTTGCGCGAAAATATACACGTATATTTTTCCTTGGACTTAATATGTTTCTCGAAGCTCACAGTTTTACCCGAGCTTCGCTCTCGAAAAAATGTTTGTATCTTGGAACAAATAATGTCCGCGGACAAATATCCGTGCATATTATTGTGCCAAATAGAGGCTTTTATCTATTGATCCCAATTTATACAAACTAGGCATGTTCAATCACGTCTAGTTTCTCATCTGGGTCGCAAAATGTTATACGAGAAATACAGGAGTTGGCGGTACGAGATCACAAAGTAATCGCGCACAAAAACGCCAACTCTCTTTATTACTTTACATATCATGGAAGTTACTTGACGATATCATTTGATAGAATCATTTCAAATATTTTTCTATACTATAGGAGACTGGCGCTATATGATCTCACATAATTTTCCATCGTGAGACATTCTCAGAAAACTGAGAAGTCAATTATGACTTTCAGGGGATTTCCCAAGGAAATGAGTCATCAGATCGCTATCATGTTTTCCTAGGTCCTGTGAGAGTCTCGTAAGATAGTTTGTAATCTTTACAAATATATATTTAAAGCTAATTAACCGTAAAGTTTGTCAGTAAAGTTAAATTTGTTACTGATGTTTACTTTCGGATTTTATGATGTCCAAAAGCGTAAGATGTTATACTATCTTCATGAATGTATCGCTTATCATCAAAGCAGCTGAGTGACACTTTTTTGAGTTCATAGCTTCCGATTTGATGATTGTAGCTTCTGATAGTTTTCATTCTTATGATGCATTTGTTTGTTATTTAATAATACGTTTTTGTAGTCTTTATGTTTGATTCTTTCTTTATGACCGTTGTTTTATTCCTTTAGCTGTTCTTTCACTTTTTCATTATCTTTTCTATATAAGGAGTACATTTTGATCTTACACCAACTAATTCAATTATTGGTAGATAAGAAGCCTCGTCGCTGAATTTTCCAATCCCCTTATAATTCGTTTGATCAAAATATAGAGAATTGTCTGGATAGTCTCTATTATCAAATTTGTCTCTATCATTCCAAAGGTCTCTATACACGTCTTCGGTTTCGATTTCATATGTTAGACTGTCTGTGTCGGTGAAAATAATCTTGCTATGTTGTTATACTTTTTTAAATATAATTTTAATGGAAATCATACATAAATGTCTTAGAAAGATCGAGAATACACATCTCTACAAATGCCGGCGTTTCTAGAGTGATTGATTCTTTGATCTTATGAACAGCTACTAGATTCTCATTAAAAATTTTTGATGACACATAAGTTGGCTTCGAGCTATATTTTGATAATGTTTTTTATCAGTTACATTTTTTAGATATACTGTTTTGAGAATGTTCTCCATAGTTTTGCCAAGTACACTGTTACTAATAAGCTTGAAGAAGTCTTTTTTAAACGAATTTCTTACATTGGTTCTCTTGTTTGAATCTCTACCTGATGATAGCCCTGCTAATTTCAAGCTCCGAGAAGTACCCCACGGCGAGGTCCTGCGCGTGCTGAAATTGTTGAGATCTGATACGTCTACTAGCCCCGACGGTATCCCTGCCAAATTCGTTAAAATGGTGGCTGAATCCATTGCTGGTCCCCTCACAACTGTTATCGACAACTGCATCAGGAAGTACTATTTTCCTAAGGCGTGGAAAAATGCGAGAATCAGTCCAAATCCTAAAGTCGATCAACCGAAGTATGAGGAACACTTTCGTCCCATTTCAATTCTCCCCACACTATCAAAAGTCTTTGAGAAACCTTTCGCGCTTCAGATGACCACCTTTGTGAATCTGAATCAGTACTCCGCGAGACAATTTCTAGCTTTCGTAAGGGACACTCGACCAATACAGTGCTAGTGGGTATGCGCGACGATTTGCTAAGAGCGATGAAAAAAGGTGAGGTTATTCTCATGGTGCTGGCAGATTTCTCTAAAGCGTTCGACACAGTCAACTACAAGATTCTTATAACTAAGTTATCAGTGCTTGGTTTCTCGAAGCCGTTTCTACGCTGGTTGAATAGCTACTTTATACTATGTATACATACACGTGACATCTGCCTGGTGGACAGCAACATCGTCTTTGTCTTTTTCAAGTTAAGTGCTAGATGGGGGTTATTAGACCAGGAACTCACAGTGTTTCGTGAGGAGTTTAGTTCTTGCGCACATCTTTGTAGCTCAGGAGCCGGACAGCTGGAGTATATTGTAGTATCGTCAGCGTATTGAAATGAACCAATCGAGAAAGGGAGATGATCTTGCAGATCGGAAACGTAGACTTTAAATAACATTGGGCCGAGGATCGACCCTTGTGGCACACCAAACCGTACGTCAGATGTACTATCATCGATCTGTACGAAATGTGACCGGTCACATTTCACGGTCAATACCTATCTATCAAATAACATTTGTAAATAGTTTGTGAATTGCATATAGGGTTGTATTACTATTACCAATATCCTTTTATGATCCGATATTATTGCTTTTTTTACTATAGATTTTCATGTAGATTTTATGTATTTGAAATTTTCAAATACATCAGCAAGTAGAAGAATGTCTGACTTCAGATATAAATCATGTTAATTTTCCATTGCTTTGAGACTAAATGTGTTCCAAACATTTTGTGCATGTCTATACTGATCATTAGATATGTGTTCGCAATTTGCCGGTTAATCATGGCTAGAGCTCTTAAATTGGAAACTGTCCAGAAACACAAGATGCATCCCTAACATGAAAGCCATGTATTTTTCAATGTTATTTTGTATTACATTTATTTACATCTCTTTTTATTCACTTTTTTCGTTTCTTATGTATGCTTTTTAGCAATTTACTAATCTCTTGCATAATGAAGTGACTGTCATATCCTCTTAAATTATGGAAGATAATAGGTATCTTATTCTGATAATTTCGTCATCGATATGAGTCATCATAGATATGTGTCCTCTAGTTGACAAATGGAATAAACAATATTCACAAAAATTTATCTTCGAATAATTGTTTTGATATCATCCCCATTTAGTTTTTGAATTCCGCTCCAATATTTCTTATGATATGCTAATGTTCTTTCTGGTTTGGATATTGGTATATCTTTATATCATCCTCAATATTCCAACCATTATTCTATAACATTCCATATTTTTACTTTAAATCCAAAAACACACCCACAAACTTCACTGACAAACTTTAGGGATAAACTTCAGTGACAAACTTTGCTAGTAATCTTTCTTCGAAAATCAGCCTTTAATATATATTTGCAAAGATCACATAATCTCACGAGACTTTCACACGACTAAAGAACAATAGCAATCTGATGACTCATTTCCTCGGGAAAGCTCCTGTGGAATTACATCATTGACTAACCTGTTTCCTGAGAATGTCACGCAATGGAAAAATGGTGTGAGATTATAGTACTAGTCTCCAATAGTATAGAAAGATATATAAAACCATTCCCTCAAATGATTTCGTTAAATAATTTCCATAATATGGAAAGTAGCATAGAGAGTTGGCGTTTTTGTGCGCGATCTCTTTTTGATCTCTTACCGCCAACTCCGGTCCTAGATGGTTTATAGGTAACTTTCGCAATCATCACTTCCCTTCGCTTGGCTTGATTTCTGTAAGCTCTAAGGTCATTCAAAAGTACCGGATATAACTTCTCGTTCGAGAAACTTGTTTGTCACACACAAATTAGCACGGCGGCAGACAAACTCGATTAAAAAATCTACTAAACGCAACCAGGAAGTTAAAAATAGAATCAGTCAAAAGGGTAAACATCTTTTCAATATACTTAATCTTTCAGTAACAAATAAAACCCAGGCCTATTTTTTAGCTAAAAACTGAGTTTTGAAAAGATTCTGTGTTGTCCACGCGCGTAAAACGTCTGGGTATACACGCTTCCTGTATGTAACAACAGGGAATAAACGAAAAAGGTAGCAAGAAATCCACAATCAAAAATACTGCAGTGTCACGGCTGTAACACATCAATGCTTCTAGTAAATGCTGCTTAAAGGTGGATGTTAACGGTAGTTAGCATAATTCTCTTGTAACGAAAGTATCTAGCATTGTTCAGGACGATGTTAATGACTATTGCTGACCCTTCCATCGCTCACTAAAGGTGTTTAACTCCTCTCCTTTTTTCGAATCGTGCCCACTCTAACCTTTTTGTCATGGAGATATGATTATCTCAAACTAACCCTTTGCACTCTGTCAACAATATCAATATTCTCCATACTGTTTTACGTACATTTCATATGGTTCTCACAAGGAAAGTTTGATAACAATCAAGAGCTTCTTTACTCAGAGATTATTTCTTTTATTCTCGTGATCAGAGATTTTGATTCGGGATGACATTGTTGGAGAATTACATTCGGTGGTGGTCACTCTTTGGGTAAAGGGGCAAATAGATACTAAAGCAGAAAAGTGAACTGTTAGGCTGTTTATCCGCCTTGAACCCTGAGAAACTGAATGCTGGTGTCTTTATGACATCGAAAGAAGCGCGGTAATTGAGCCGCGAAAAGCGCTGAACTTTTAGCTTAATTTGTGAGGGAGATAACGACACAGTAGCGTGACATACACCCAGCTCTCTGTTGTCTGTTGACGTTGCTTTCCACGCCTACATGCTGTTTTGACAGGCCCTTTTGCTTTCCCTTGTTGGTCAATTATTTTCCATTTTTTTTATAGCTACTTGTGAAACGATTCCTGTCATAGCATCATTTGCTTCTGATTTAACTGGTTGACGTGAAGTGAACAGTCCGTAAGTATAACGCCTTTCAATATCTCTTAGCTTTTCTTCCTACATTCTAAGTGTCTTGGTGAGTAACACTTTTCCCTACCCCTCATCAGCCGGAACAGTTTCAGTTTCGAATGTTGCATTCGACCGTATTTGGCTGATTTACGTGTTTGAACGGGGTTAATAAGCAGGGACACAAGCGATTCAGTCGTGGAAGCTCTTCGTGGTAGCTTCCAATCTCTTTTCATGTCTTTTATTTTTTACTCTCGCTATAACTTGGCTTTAAACAAATGCTTCCACTGTTCAGATAAAGAACGCTTGTAAACGCTTAGCTCGAAGAAGGAAACGAAAACTGCTTGAACAAATGTAAAATGTTTGGTCAACCAACCGTGATCGATACAGGACGAAGCAATCCATCTGCGCTGCTAACAAAAGCAATCGCAAATATTTGAATGGAATATGATGCTAGAGCTAAGATTTTATAACGAGACCCAAACTATGTACTCCGATTAGAGTTCCTCTTAATATGAACAGCGGAGGATTTAGAATTCTGGCCGTTATTTTCTCAGGAGACAGATGTTTGGAAAGTTGTGAAGTGAAAGCAAACTTGAGCCATAACAGCTGGAAGAGTCTATTTATATTAATGAACTCGCCAACGAATTATATCTGAACTATCGTTGTTCAATCGCGCTAAGTCTCTGTCTAAACTGTGGGTAAAAGGGACAAGTTTCTAAAGAAACTATGGTGCTGTGTCCTTTGGTGTATTGCTTTTAGATAATTAGTGATTGTGATTAATTTTACCAGCTGAGTTGATAAGGTGAATTGCTTACCGTGAAGAGATTCTAAAGCGGTTGTTTGAATAGGTAATCACATAATGTCGAGTACAAGTTGAGATAAATCAACACGAGTAAATTATTCAAAGGCGAACCAAATTGCACGAGCCTGTAGCCAAAGTGCAATTTGTAATCTAAAAAATTTACGATCCCAAACTGCACGAGGAAAATCATATGATTGTAAAAGCAAACTTGAGCCATAACAACTGAACTCGCCAACGAATAATATCTGTAATATCATCGTTCGATCGCACTAAGTCGCTCTGTCTAAACTCTGAGTAAAGGGGGCAAGTTTCTACGCCCACAAGGCGAGTCTGATTTGTACTCTGAAAAATTTACGATCCCAAACTGCACGAGAAAAATCATACGATTGCTAGTTAATAATTTTCAAGCGAAAACGCGACTGTTTTCTTCTCTGGTTGTTTTTACTTCGCGTCATAGCTCACTAGTTCTGCCGCTTGCCTTTGCCTTGAAGTCGGGCTTTTCCCTCATGAACCTCCTTCAAGCTCTTAAACTCTAGCTCTGTTACGAGTAATCGAGCGTTTTTGTTCTTTCCCTTTTAGGTATCGGTCGACAGCAGTAACCATTAAGCGAAAGCTATCACGCACGTAAATCTTCCTCGTCTCTCGTATCGCGAATTGTCGAGTAAAAGTCCCAGAGAATTTTATTTGGGGTCTCTGGTTCATACTTTCATAGCCCGCGTTTTTCGAAGCCCAAGACTTCCAAACTTTAGACAACCGTTTGTCCTTTCTTGCACATTTTACGACAGATAGCATTCTCCCTAAAACATTGAATTATAGTCAAACTTACTACAAAACTGTAAACACCTGATATATTCCTGGAATGTTGCTTGTGTTGTAACAAATCACAAACGAGATCTTGAGACCACAGAAACCACAGACACAGAATGCAGTTCCTTATCAAATAAACCACGAGCTGCCCCGAAGCCGGTTCCAACGGACCCCGTATGGTTAAATGCTCCTAGAAACCTTAATATGTTTATTCTTTCCCTTGGGAGCAGGAAGGTCTATATAAAAAAAAATCGCTTTTTATTGATCTGTCAGTTAAGTTTCAGTAAAGATCTAACTAATTCGAGACTTCTTTTTCCAGGTTCCTCTTCGCTCTGTCAGTTTAGTTATTATCACTAATAGAATACTCCTTCAGCTCTTCTGTAGAATTGAAAAAAGAATTCTGTCTGCAAATACGGCTCTGGGGTGACAGAGCAGACACGAACAAAAGAAACGTTTTTTACCCAGTGAGAAAAAATGGTGCACCTCTCTGCATCGAAAACCTGGGGCGATGATCGCTATTTTCTACCTAAACAGCTTCCTGTTAAAGGTTATGCAAGATCTAAGCGCTTGCTAATTATTTTCGTGTTATTCGTATTTCTTTATTTTGTTCTTTATTTTTTTTTTCATACCTCCTCGATAGTGTTTTTTGTTAAGTTTGTCAGCGGTTTTCTTCGTTAGTTACACCTCTTCGCACGTTTCTCATAACCCGCGTTATTTCGCAGCCCTCTTGTATTTAAAGCCAGATTCTTTTACGCATAATCACTTCTCAAGCCAGTTTAACCTATAGTCGCGCTTGGTGCAGTTCTCTGTTTCAGAAGTCGATTTTACAGTTATATTTTTGGTGTTATCAATGTAATAAATTTTTTTCCTTTCCGCCTTGTGTGTATTCATTTTTTGTTTGTAGTTTATCAAAATTTGTTAATTTAACTCTTATTGATGATTTTAGATTCAACCCATCACTGCTGTTGCTCTCGAAAATAAAAGTATCATAAAGTATCATAAAGAAAAACAACACTGACGTTAATAGAATCCAATATAAATCCAAGTGTTGCACCTGCCAGTCGCAAAGTGTTTAACGTGAAATTCGTTTTCAGTTAAGTTATTCCATACATGTTCTCACCAACCGAGCAAGGGATTCGCCTACTCGTATTTTTCAAAACGTCCTCTCACACATTCATACCGTTCAGCTCTGTTTATAAAAGAATTATTAAAGATTGGTATAAAGCTGAGTGAAAATATATGTTAATCGTGGGAATTAAAAATCTTATTTCTTATCTTTTTCTTTAAGAATTTAGATCTGCCACAACATGCCATTTGAAGACCTTATACAGGAAGTCAATGATAACATCGAGCAAGAGAAAAAGAAGCGAGCCAGACTGAGAGACCTGGACCTCATTGTGTTTGACAACTCACTTCGTGAGAGCACTGTGGGTCAGCTTCGTGGGCACACACTAGAAAACAAGCGTAAGATTTACGATGAAGTCAGAAAGTGTGGATTCCAGTTCAAGATTGTGGCTGCCTATTCTCATATGCCACGCGTGGATGACTCCTGGGTCGCTGAGATCGTCCGTGAGTGTAAGGAAGGCAAAGAAGACCTGGGTAACCTATTTGCATTCAGTGAGTTTTTCGAGTCGGTCTCTCAGGGTATTCCTGACACCAAAACTATTCCAGTGGGTCTGAGAAAGATGCAAGAGCAGGGATTGATCAATCCTATCATAGAGATAGATTTGGCCATAAAAAGCATCAACTGGGAAAAGTTCACCATGAAGGACATGTTCACACTGCTGACCGAAAGATTCAAATGGAGCCGAAAATATTTGTCTCCAGATGCCAAGATCATGGTAAATCTACGAGACTTTCCGGACGCCATGGTCTATGAAATGGAGCGGCTGTTCAGTCTCGTGGACTACATCGCGTCCATGCCTGCAGCTGAGCGTCCTTTTGGAATCATGTTTGAGGAGCCAACGGGCAAGTTTTTACCAGAGGAGGTTGGCGCCTGGACTGCTGGTAAGCTTGCTCACTAAATAGTTGACACTCCTGTATGTGATATATTTCTTCTGGTCCCGACACTGATGACAAGAGATGATCATGTTGAAAAAACAGGTGGAGTCATACCAGAGACAAATATTAATCAATAAGTGATCACAGGGCTTGAAACAAACTATGCATCAAACAAATTGTAATGTTAAAACAATGCAGTTAATACACTTCTCTACAGAATGTTTTCATTAAATCAGTCTTTGGTTGTTCGTGTTGTTGTTGTTATTGTTGTTGTCTGTAGTTGTTGTTTCTGTCTTAATGTCCTTGGCAATGGTATTGCTGAATTATCCAAGAAGCATATCAGGTTTAAAGTAAGAACATGCTCTAAAGATTTTCCAGCCGTAAAAGTTAAGGCTTGCGTACCAATACCTCCTTATGCAGTATCATTAGGATGGCGATGTGATTTAACACACTAACTTGAGTATTTGTCATATTATCGAGGTGTACGTAAGATCATGGATTCCCATGGGTGGACCTCTGGACACCTCTTGGCTCATGTTCACAAGAAGTGGGCTCTTGGAGATATGGTGCAGCTTGAATGCCTTATAAACGGAGCTAACGGTATCTGGGCAAGCGTTTGTGAGGAAGGAGCTGCTCTTGGTCACGCATGTTCTACAGTAACACTGATGAACCTCGTCCGAATGGGGAACAAAAAGGTCCTAAAACGCTACAACTGCCCTGCCATGAGGGATGCTGCATCTAATGTGACTAAGATCACCACCGGCCTTCCACCCCATCCCAAGCAAGTCATCTATGGCGACAGGGCGCTGGACTTAGCGTTTGACTTTGGAAGCATAGCAGGTGGAACCGTTAGGGAAACCGACTTTGACCTGGCTGAGTTCTTTGGAGAAGAAGCCCCCGTGAGGATCAGTACACTTGCTACCGAGCGTATGATCCAGGAAAGGCTTGAAGATCTGTTTGGTAAGGATCGGAAGTTTACTAAGGCAATGGCTGCTGCAATGAAGGAACAAATGATCAAAGACCTAAAGGGCAACACCAAAGAAGAATATATGAGTGCAGCCGGCATCGCCATGTTGTTTGATCGATCAGGAGGAAAACTCACTACAGAGATGTCAGAAGTTATTGCAAAAGTCGATGTGGAGAGTGTACACGCCCAAAATCTCATTGAAGAGATTCGTAGTATATGGAACGAGTGGGACATCAAGGAAGAAGAACAAAATGACGATCAGCTGATGTTCTGCTCCTTCTACAACGGGTTCATGGCTCCTTACTTTGGATGCTTCATGTGCGATGACACACAGAAGGCCTTGCAAGCTATCAACATGGATAATGATGGATACATCGACTGGAATGAATTCCTGGTGTATCTCAAGTGGGCGATGCGTCAATATCCCAACATCAAAGACGTCGATGAACTGTTAAGTGTCGCCTTTAACAAGGGAATCATACCCGCCATGCGAGATGAAGTACTTAGCAGAAAAGGGAAAGCCAGTCGGGGAAAGAAGTTCAAGTCCCAAACCTGCTGCCATGCTTAAACTTGCAATTCATGTCATTGGGTTTATTTAAATATATTATCAGTCGACATTGGAAATATGGTGAATTGATCGGTATAAGTTTAGCTGTAGGTGCGATTTTTCCTTCGCAAACTTGTTGTTAGGGCTTAAGGTTCACGTTTATTTTAAGGTCATAATCACGCGTCTGTACTAGTCACTGGTGTATCGCTCGATTAAAATAAATATACGTGATTGTGAGTGATACTTCTGTATCTGGTAAATCATAGTAAAAACACTTCAAAGACGGATTGGATATGTTTATCCCGGCAGAAGAGACGACGACTGTTTTTGTTCGATACTTTTATGAAGAATTAAGTAACGAAGATTCACGTGTTTATCAGAAATTCATGTAGCCATCCCTCCCTGACCACTTTTAGTAAAGGCTTTTAAATTTTAAAACAGCCCAATTGGGGCCAGTTAGAGTAAGTTTGGCAAAGGTGTAATATGCAAAATAACAGGACTAAGAAAAGAGTGGAGTCATGTCAACACGCTGTAACTGAATCAACAGCTATAATTCTGCAAGTTTTCAGCTTCACAATTCTATTTTCACACACGAGTGGCAAAACTGTCTTCCCATTTTCAATTTTATGTTGTTTATCTGAATGAGAAGAAAGAAGCACTGCACACTGCAGAATTGCCGTAAGATCTCCACACAGCTCAATACTTTATTACGCATACAGTTCTTGGATTCAAGGAAAACCATGGTGAAAACAAGAGACGGCTTTGTTTTACAATAGTAGGGTCGCTGTGTGCACTTCTTGCTCAGAATTTATTTCCTTTCCTTGGTCCCGTTTCTTTGAATTAAAAACTGACAGAATGTTATGACGAAAATCAGCTGGACGCTCCTTATGATCCAAACTCTCCAGGTGCCCATTTAAATGGAACTCTAGCTAAAGAAATTCCATAAGTAAAAAGTTATATTTCTAATTAAAGGTCTCTATCCGCCCTCCAAGAAACCTGAAAGGGGCAGAAACAAAGAAACCTGAGGAGGATTACTAATAGTTCCCGCGTAAACATATTCAATTGAAACCAGCGGAAGAAAAAGGAAAATAAAATGTTACTATAGTATGCAAAATTATGAGCCACTTGAAATATATTTGCTCGCGCGCGATTGATTTAAAGGCATTATGTGACCGAATATTCTCCAGCTAAAAGTAGGGGATATCCAAAGATACTACCCTTTCAAAATTTAATTCAAGAAGAGAGAGTGTTCTATGGTTCTTACATACGAAAGCAAACGTATTTGTTTGTTCATTAAGTCGTACCAGAGAACATTAAAAAGAAAACTCCCAACGCAGCTAACAGTAAGCTGTTCGTAAACGTTTTTTCCACGTGTTGCAAAATATTTGAAGGATAATAAACAAAATAGCATCTGTTTTGCGGGAAAATATACACGTATATTTTTCCTTGGACTTAATATGTTTCTCGAAGCTCACAGTTTTCCTCGAGCTTTGCTCTTAAAAAAATGTTTGCATCTTGGAACAAATAATGTCCGCGGATAAATATCCGAGCACATTATTGCACCAAGCAGAGGCGCAATAATGTGTTTGAATCAGGATCTATTGATCCCGTTTTAACAAACTAGGCATATTCAATCAAGTCTAATTTCTCATCTGGGTCGCAAGGTGTTATAAGAGAAATATTGGGGTTGGCGGTACAAGATCACAAAGTGATCGCGTACAAAAATGCCAACTGTCTTTATTACTTTACATATTACAGAAATTATTTAACAAAATCATTTGATGAAATTATTTAACGAAATCATTTGATGGAATTACTTACCGAAATATTTTGATAGAATTATTGAGTGGAATCATTTGATAGAATCATTTTATATATTTTTCTATACTATAGGAGACTAGCGCTATATCATCATTTTTCCATCGGGAGACATTCTCAGAAAACAGGGAAGTCAATGTTCATGACACCTCTTTAAGGTGCAATATGATTTGTGTAGCGTCTAAAACAGCTTCTTCTCATTTCCATTTCCTTATTTGTCAGTCAGTGATGGTTTTTAGAGGATTTCCCGAGGAAATGAGGCATCACATTGCTGTCATGCTCTCCTAAATCATGTGAAAGTCTCGTGAGAATGTTCGAGACCTTTACAAATTAACAAATAGAGAAGCCTTGGCTGTGCTCTGTTCTGTTATAAAGCACGCAGGAAGCGGCTAGAGCACGAAAGAAGTGTAGGGAGAAACACGAGACGTAGTGGAGTGTTTCTCCCCACTTCTTGAGTGCTTTAGCCGCTTCCTAAGTGCTTTATAACAGAACAGAGCACAGCCAAGGCTTCTCTATTTGTTAATTATAATAAAGAATCCATTAGATTCCCCGAGCATTACTTTCAATTTTCAAAACAAACTTTATTTCCAAAGCGAACAACAGTGTCGTCAGCATGCTCTATACTCTCATAAAGCACGCTCCAATAAGCCAATCAGAATCCCTGTTAGAATGGTTCAAATAATCTGATTGGCTGTACAAGACTAAAGCTGTCAAAAGTGTCAAACCATCAAAGTTAAAAAACCATCAAAGTTCACCTTCTGCGATAGTTTACAAACTAAAATAGTTCGGTAGGTCGAATTTAACACTTTTGCCTGAAGTTTTTAAGTCTCTAATACAGAATCTTGAACTGAAATGTTCAGTGAACTTCAGCCGAGTTATGGCTCATAAAAACACGCACGTTTTTTCACATGACAAGGTAGAAAACAAACTGTTCAGGGCGAGTGTTTTTTTAATGAACGACAGCCGAATTCACCGGAATATGAAGATCGCTCGGGATGACAACGCCGAAAAACTCGGCTGCAGTGACAGATGTGACTTTCCACTCAACGCATCGGAAAGGATATCAGAGCAAGCTCTAATTTTTCCACTCGAAGGGCGGCCGATGTAGTTTCTGAGGCTTGCTGTGATGACCGGAGATCGCCATGATGAGCGAGCCGCGATGGACTTCAGCGTGATCATATTCGCTCAGACACCGTCATGATTAGAATGAATTTTAACAGTTATGCCAGTTTGGTTATATTTTTCATCATTTCTGTTTTGTTCTGTTTTGTTTTTGAACACTGAACTTTATATACTATATGAGTGTTAGCCGTGTTTGATTTTTATTTCCGTACGTAAGCTTGCAATCTACTGAGCGTGAATCAATCTTTAAAACCTCGAATGTCTATTTTGTTTTTCCTTTGAGGATTTTCGTATCTACTCACATTTTAATAACGTAAATTACGGCGCCTGGTATGTTTACAAACCTTTATTTGGTTCTTCTGTTGCTACTTGCCGGCTCGCTTGTTCCGAAATTTCACTTTCAATTATCGGAAAAAAGCTAAAAGGAAGTCCCGGAAAAGGTCGAACATAGTACAGTTTGGCAGATGGCGTGACAGCTCTATGCTCTATACTCTCATAGAGTACGCTCTTTCAACCAATGACACCGCGCGTTATATCCGAACTTTATTATAATATATGTTAAAAGCTAATTTCAATAAAGAAACTAAAGGAAGATTAGCAGCTGGTGTTTTCACGACATCGAAAGAAGCGCGGCAATTGGGCCCCGAAAAGCGCTGAACTTTTAGTTTCATTTGTGAGGGAGATAGCGAGACAGTAAGTAAAACGCCTTTTAATTCTCTTCCTTAGCTTTTCTTCCTACATTCTGAATGTCTTGGTAGAATAACACCTTTCCCTACCCCTCATCAACAGGAACACTTCCAGTTTCGAATGTTGCATTCGATCGTATTTGGCTGATTTACATGTTTAAACGGGGTTAATAAGCACACAGGTGATTCTGTTCTGGAAGCTCTTCATGGTAGCTTCAAATCCTTTCCATGTCTTTTATTTTTCACTCTTTCTATCATTTGGCTTTAAACAAATGCTTCCACTGGTCAGATAAAGAACGCTTGTAAACGCTCAGCTCGAAAATGAAAATGAATATTGCGTGTGAAGATGTTAACATTTTTGGTCAACCAACGGTGGTCGATTCAAGACAAAACAATCCATATGAGCTGCTAAAAAAAAGCAATCGCGAATATTAGACAATTCAATCGTCACAGAAAATGAATGGAATATGAAGCTTGAGTCAAGATTCTGTAACGTGACCCAAAGTATGTTTGTATTCTGATCAGAGTTCCTCTTAATATAAACGGCGGAGGATTTAGAATTCATTTGAAATCATTTGATGGAATTACTGAGTGGAATCATTTAATAGAACCATATTATGTATATTTCTCCATGCTATAGGAGACTAGCGCTATATTATCATTTTCCATTGCGAGACATTCTCAGAAAACAGGGAAGTCAATGATGGCTTTCAGGGGATTTCCCGAGGAAATGAGTCATCATACTGCTATCATGTTTTCCTAAGTCATGTGAAAGTCTCGTGAGATAATTTCTAATCTCTACAAATATATATTAAAAGCTACTTTTTTAAGAAAGATTACCAGCTGGTGTCTTCACGACATCGAAAGAAGCGCGGTAATTGAGCCTCGAAAAGCGCTGAACGTAAGTTTCATTTGGATAAAGTAACACTTTTCAAAATCCCTCATCAGCCGGAACACTTTCAGTTTCGAATGTTAATTCGACCGCAGAACGTGTTTGATATAAGCTAGACACAAGATTCTGTTGTCTGTTGACTTTAAACAAATGCCCACTTCTACTTGCTAACGCTGACAGAAATGAACACTGCCTTTTTAAAATTTTTGGTCAACCAACCGTGATTGATACGGGACGAAGCAATCCATATGCGTTTGGTCAATTAGAAAACTTTCGTCACGTGAATTATGAAGCTGGAGCTAAGATTTAAACTATTCAAAACTATGAATGTCTTCTGAGAACACTTAACCGTTATTGTTTTTTAGACAGAAACATTTCTGGCATACCGCACGTCAACAAAAGTAGCCCTCTTGTATTTAAAGTGTGTTACCCAGTGAGACGCAAATGGTGCACTTTTCTGCATTTAACCTGCGTTGATCGTGAAGTGAACAGTCCGTTAAAGGTTAGCATAACGCTCAGTGCTGATTATTTTCCGTGTCATTCGTATTCATTTATTTCGCTCTTTATTTTTTTCACACCTCCTCGTTAGTGTTTTTTTATTAAGTTTGTCAGCGTTTTACTTCGTTAGTTACAACTTTTCGTGCGTTTCTCATACCCCCTCATCAATCGCTTTTCATGCTAGTTTAACCTATAGTCGCGCTTAGCGCAGTTCTCTGTTCTCTGCACACTTTTTAATAGCACACGGTCCAATGACTGTTTGTCTAATTTAGGAGTAAACGTCTGCAAAATAAAGGGTATGACAGACTTTAACATGAAGAAAAACAACACTGACGTTATCAAAAATCTAATATGAATCCAGGTGTTACACCTGCCAGTCGCAAAGTGTTTAACATGAAATTCGTTTTTAGGTAAGTTGTTCCATGCATGTTCTCACCAACCGAGCAAGGGATTCGCCTCCTCGTATTTTACAAAACGTCCTCTCGCACATTCATACCGTTCAGCTCTGTTTATAAAATAATTATTTAAGATTGGTATAAAGCTGAGTGAACATTTAAGTAAATCGTGGGAATTAAATATCTTATTTCTTCTCTTTTTCTTTAAGAATTTAGATCTGCCACAACATGCCATTTGAAGACCTTATACAGGAAGTCAATGATAACATCGAGCAAGAGAAAAAGAAGCGAGCCAGACTGAAAGACCTGGACCTCATTGTGTTTGACAACTCACTTCGTGAGAGCACTGTGGGTCAGCTTCGTGGGCACACACTAGAAAACAAGCGTAAGATTTACGATGAAGTCAGAAAGTGTGGATTCCAGTTCAAGATTGTGGCTGCCTATTCTCATATGCCACGCGTGGATGACTCCTGGGTCGCTGAGATCGTCCGTGAGTGTGAGGAAGGCAAAGAAGACCTGGGTAACCTATTTGCATTCAGTGAGTTTTTCGAGTCGGTCTCTCAGGGTATTCCTGACACCAAAACTATTCCAGTGGGTCTGAGAAAGATGCAAGAGCAGGGATTGATCAATCCTATCATAGAGATAGATTTGGCCATAAAAAGCATCAACTGGGAAAAGTTCACCATGGAGGACATGTTCACACTGCTGACCGAAAGATTCAAATGGAGCCGAAAATATTTGTCTCCAGATGCCAAGATCATGGTAAATCTACGAGACTTTCCGGACGCCATGGTCTATGAAATGGAGCGGCTGTTCAGTCTTGTGGACTACATCGCGTCCATGCCTGAAGCTGAGCGTCCTTTTGGAATCATGTTTGAGGAGCCAACGGGCAAGTTTTTACCAGAGGAGGTTGGCGCCTGGACTGCTGGTAAGCTTGCTCACTAAATAGTTGACACTCCTGTATGTGATATATTTCTTCTGGTCCCGACAAGGATGACAAGAGATGATCATGTTGAAAAAACAGGTGGAGTCATACCAGAGACAAACATTAATCAATAAGTGATCACAGGGCTTGAAACAAACTATACATCAAACAAATTGTAACGTTAAAACAATGCAGTTAATACACTTCTCTACAGAATGTTTTCATTTAATCAGAATTTTGGTTGTCCGTGTTGTTGCTGTCATTATTGTTGTCTGTAGTTGTTGTTTCTGTCTTAATGTCTTTGGCAATGGTATTGCTGAATTATCCAAGGAGCATATCAGGTTTAAAGTAAGAACATGCTCTGAAGATTTGCCAGCCGTAAAAGTTAAGGCCTGTGTCAATACCTCTTTATGTAATATCACAAGGATCGCGATGTGATTTAACCTTTACATACTAACTTGAGTATTTGTCATATTATCGAGGTGTACGTAAGATCATGGATTCCCATGGGTGGACCTCTGGACACCTCTTGGCTCATGTTCACAAGAAGTGGGCTCTTGGGGAAATGGTGCAGCTTGAATGCCTTATAAACGGAGCTAACGGTATCTGGGCAAGCATTTGTGAGGAAGGAGCTGCTCTTGGTCACGCATGTTCTACAGTCACGATGATGAACCTCGTCCGAATGGGGAACAAAAAGGTCCTAAAACGCTACAACTGCCCCGCCCTAAGGGATGCTGCATCTAGCGTGACTAAGATCACCACTGGCCTTCCACCCCATCCCAAGCAAGTCATCTATGGCGAAAGAGCGCTGGACTTAGCATTTGACTTTGGAAGCATCGCAGGTGGAACCGCTGGGGAAACCGACTTTGACCTGGCTGAGTTCTTTGGAGAAGAATCCCTGGTGAGGATCAGTACACTTGCTTCCGAGAGCATGATCCTGGACAAGCTGGTAGATCTGTTTGGTGAGGATAGGCAGTTTACAAATGCAATGGCTGCTGCAATGAAGGAACAAATGATTGAAGACCTGACGAACAACACCAAAGAAGAATACACGAGTGCAGCCGGCATCGCCATGTTGTTTGATCGATCAGGAGGAAAACTCACCACGGAGATGTCAGAAGTCATTAAAAATGCCGATGTGGAGAGTGTACATGCCCAAAATCTCATTGAAGAGGTTCGTAATATATGGAACGAGTGGGACATCAAGGAAGAAGAACAAAATGACGATCAGCTGATGTTCTGCTCCTTCTACAACGGGTTCATGGCTCCTTACTTTGGATGCTTCATGTGCGATGACACACAGAAGGCCTTGCAAGCTATTAACATGGATAATGACGGATACATCGACTGGAATGAATTCCTGGTGTATCTCAAGTGGGCGATGCGTCAATATCCCAACATCAAAGATGTTGATGAACTGTTAAGCTGCGCCTTCAACAAGGGAATCATACCCGCCATGCGAGATGAAGTACTTGGCAAAAAAGGAAGGCAAGTCGGAGAAAGAAGTTCAAGTCCAAATGAAAAATGATTTAGGCATTCCGTTCTCACTGCCTCATCCTAAACCTGCTGCCATGCTTGAACTTGCAATTCATGCTATTGGGTTTATTCTGATAAATTATTAGTCAACATTAGAAATATGGTCAATTGATCGGTGTAAGTTTAGCTGTAGGTGCGATTTTTTTCCTTCACAAACTTGTTGTTAGGCCTTAAGGTTCTGGTTTATTTTAAGGTCATAATCACGCGTCTGTACCAGTCACCGGTGTATGGCTCGATTAAAAGAAATATATGTGATTGTGAGTTGTACCTCTGTATCTGGTAAATCATAATAAAAACACTTCAAAGACGGATTGGATATTTGTTTATCCCGGCAGAAGAGACGACGACTGTTTTTATGCAATAATTTTATAGAGAATAAAGTAACGAAGATTTACGTAATTATCAGAAATTCAGGTAGCCTTCTATTCTCTCTCTGACCAATTTCAGTCGAGGTTTTTAAAGTTTAAAAACAGCCCATTGGGGCCTGTTAGAGAAAGGGCGGCAAAGGTGTGATAAGCAGAAAACAGGACTAAGAATAGGTTTCGGTGAGGGCCTTACAGTGGAGTCGTGTCAATAGGCCCTAACTGAATCAACAACCATATTTCTAAAATTTTTGAGCCTCACAATTCTATTTTCACACACGAGTGGCAAATCTGTTTTCCCATTTTCAATTTTATGTTTTTTATTTGGATGAGAAGAAAAGCTTACAATAGCAAATGAGCTAAGACCAAGCGCGAGTCAGCAAACAAATGAAAAGCCGGTGATAGTGCATAGAATGAAAGTCAGGGATACCCAATTTCATTTTGATATTACGATTAAAGCAAAAAAGCCTTGGAATAAACGAAATGCACTCAAACAATGTATGTTTACTGTTCTAAGGGAATAAAAACCTGACTGGAAACAGTTGAATTATCCAATTAGTTTAATATTAATACTTCATCTGTTTGCTGTTCAGGATGATGGGCGAGTTACAATAAATCCTTTCATCTGTTTAAAATATTATTTTCCACCCAAACAGAACTTACACTGCAGAATTTCGTATCAAGAAATGGGCCATTGTTGTGGGTTAAATTCGACTTCACAAGTTCAAACAAAAGCCTTTTGTTGTTTGTTGCGCTGAGAAAATTGTGCCGAGACTCGGCGAAGATGAATTTCAAATCGTCGCAAAATTGTCGGCGTGATAAATTAGCGGCACTAGGGGAGAGGGGTTGGGAAAGTCGCTCATGAGGGTGATGTTCACACAGGGGTACCCAAGGGAGAAAATGCCCTTCACTATGCTTGGTCTCTCAGTATATTTTTTTTTTATCAGCGAACCAGTTGATTATAAATTTAGTAACACGATAAGGATGCTTTGTTGTTAAAAACATTTCACGAACTACACTCGGCAAGAGGACGAGAGGAAAAAAAGCAAACTAAACAAAACTGAATCTTTTTTGAACAGCTTTTAAAGGTTTTCAATGTGAACATAAGCGTAAATATTCCGTAGTGTAACATGTCTTGAGCGTTTTTCACTCTTCGAATTACATACCGAATAGCCATTTAAGAATTATGTAATAAGGCTTATTCACTATTGTTATTAACCCCAAACAAGATAACTGTAAATGCTAAGTTCTTCATACTGTACTTTGGATCAGTTGATAATAGCGCGCAGCACAACGCCGCAAAACGATGAAGCTTTTATCGATGTTTTACTTGGTCAAGAGTTGTGAATTTTAAAACTAACTTGCCTAACTCGTAGAAAAGAAAGAAAATAAAACGGTTCGTCTATGAAAACTCGCACTTTGGACTGGAAAAATCGCCCAATTAAGCCGTTGGATGGAAAAAAAGGATCAATGTGGTCGTTGTAATTTAGTCTTAAAACAATGAAAGCATTGGTTAATAGCGCGGCTCTTATCAAAGAAGCGCTAGTATTAATACTATCACGCTTTCACTCTCGTAACGTAAAGAAAAAAGAAGAAAATTTTGTGTTTGGGAAAATACCACTTAGGAAATAAAAAACGCTCAACTTAAGTGATTGGATTGAAAAAATGATATTTAAAAGTTAATGTTCTAATTTAGTCTTGCAGTGAGAACACTGGCGGCGCGCGCGGCTTTTAACAAAGAGGTGATAGTTTTGAAACTATCTGGTTTTAGTCGTAACGTAAAACAAAATAGAAGAAAGAATTGGCATTTGGGAAAATACTTCTTAGGAATTAAGAATAACACCGAGTTAAATCGCTGGACTTAAAAAAATCAGTGATATTTGCGGGTTGTCGTTCCACTTTAGTCTTCCAGTGAAAACTCTGGTGGCGTGCGCGGCATTTAACAAAGAGGTGATAGTTTTAAACTACTCTGCCTTCCTTTTTGTCGACAAAGAGCATCGCATAATTAACGTTACTATTGTTGCCGTATGATAGTTTTATGTTCTTTCAGTGCCTGGCCATAAAGACAGCTATTTTTCAGTGACCATTAAGTTAGCTTTGTCAAAGTTAGTCAGTCCTTCCACCGATTGAGCCACTAGTTGTCTGACTCGTCTTTTCTAATTATTTCTGGCTAACGGTGTTAATTGCCAGAAGTCCTTTTTGGTGTTATAAAAAACATTTTTAGTCTCTGTAATTATCTGCTTTTAGCAGCAGTCCTTCAGCATTTGCTTATTGAAGCTGAGCTACGACTTCATTCAGCTGAGTTGCCATGGAGTTGTGCCGAATTCTCAAATTGTGGTTCTCTTCCCGAAGACGCCTTATTTCGGCCGCATAAACCTCTTTAAGAGATGGCTGTGTCTGTGCCAGTGTGCAACTTTGTGCTCGATTGTGATGAAAATGAGTTAGAAAACTCTCACCGCCGACGGACTTAACCTTAAATTTCGACAACATTACTTAGCGAGTATCAGTCCTCATTACACCCGGAGGTTTTTTAGTCACCATCATTTTATGCCTTGTGTTCATTCACGGATAACTTAAACAAAGCGATTGCTTTTAATACAATGCAATTGAAGCAACTAGAGAGGCAAGCGCGAACTGAGATCGCTCATCATGAAGCGGCTGCGTGTATCATGAGAATTGATCGATATCAAGGAATATTGCTGTTTTTCTGCGCTAGGTGCATATGCCATTAAATAACTAATATGCCCGCGGTTTAAATACTTTGTAAGCATTTGCGTTGTCATTAGATGGTTTCTTTTTGGGTTTCCTCTCAAAATTCTTTATTGTTGAAACCAGTGTGTCGACATCGATGGGAATAAATGCGAGTAACGAGCATCCATATGTTCCGACATGTATTCGAGAATAAGCCGTAATGTAATAAAGATCGTCGGTGGCAAATGTCGTTTGAGATCAGAAGAGTGAAAAGACAATAGACTTCTTATCTTGTCTCACAAATCTTGCCGTCTGGAAAATCAGATGCCATCTTCACGGTACATAAAACCTTCAGCGGCGTTCAGTCATTCATCTCTCAAAGGATTCAATTCATCTCTCAAAGGATTCAATTCATCTCGGTTTTTGTTTTTTGTTTGTTCTTTTTTCCAGAGGATGAAAAACTTCGTCAATATCAGTGCGCAACAAACGCAGACCAAGACCCTGTTCTAAAGCCGCGGTTACACGAACGATTTTTTTGAGTGTTTGAGTATGAGTGTTATGGCGAAAATCAGCTTGACACTCCCTACGATCCAAACTCTCCAGGTGCCGATTCAAATGGAACTCTTACTAAAGAAATTCCGTAAGTGAAAAGTTATCTTTGCAAGTAAAGGTGTCTACCTTCCCGAAAATGTAAAATTCAATCTTGTATTTGATAGTAATGTTACAAATCACCCGAGTATCCTATGGTCTTGAAAAAATCAATGGCACCTTACTATGGACGACATGGAGTTTTTTTTTCATCTTTCTTACTCTACTTATCTACGCGAAGCGTCAGGAATTGCGAATCTAAGCAGTATGCAAGACACTTGTCACACATGACCTTGCTTAATTTAACATGGTGTTCTCTGTTGTTCAGAGTAAGAGTTTCTTGACAGGTGCGCATGATTCGATAAGAAGCACAAAGGAGTTTACCAACATTAGAACATAAATTGTTAAAGAGCAGTCTCTTCGTAGACAAGCGGGAAAAACATCTGATGATATCATACCATAGGTGCTTGACCCACAAAATTTACTTAGCGTTGTAGGAAAAACTTGGGAAAGTTCCGCACAGCCCTTTACTTCATTCTGCATACAGTTCTTGGATAAAGAAAACAATGGTGGAAATGATAGATTAATAGCCTTTGGTACTACGGCTTTGTTTTACAATAGATCAAGGTTTCTACGAAAATATTTTCAAAACAAGAGTATCGATATCGCTCTTTTTAACAGAGCTCGTCACGAGATACCACGAAGAAAAAGTTATTGTTAAAACAAGTAAGGAAATGGAAATGAGGAGAAGCTGTTTGAGACGCTACACAAATCATATTGCACCTTAGAGAGGTGTCATGAACATTGACTTCCCTGTTTTCTGAGAATGTCTCGCAATGGAAAAATGATGTGAGATCATAGCACTAGTCTCCCATAGTATAGAAAAATATACAAAACAATTCCATCAAATGATGCCATTAGACAATTCCATCAAATGATTTCATTAAATAATTTCAACACATGATTTCGTCAAATAATCTCCATAATATGGAAAGTACCATTTTGAAGGCGATCACTTTTTGATCTCGTACCGCCAACTCTGGTCCTATACTATTTATAAGTAACTTTCGCAATCACCACTTCCCTTCGCCTCGCTAGATTTCTATAAGCTCTAAGGTCATTCAAAAGTACCGGATATAACTTCTCGTTCGAGAGACTTGTTTGTCACACACAAATTAGCCCTGGGGCAGAAAGACTCGATAAAAAAATCTGCTAAACGCAACCAGAAAGTAAGATATAGAAAGTGAAAAATAAAACCAGTCAAAAGGGTAAGTATCTTTTCAATTTTCTTAATTTTTCCGTGACAAATAATACTCAGGTGGTTTTATTAGTTGAAAACTGAGTTTTGAAAATATTCTGTGTCGTCCACGTGAGTAAAACGTCTGCGTATACACGCTTCCTGTATATAACAATAGGGTCCACACGAAAAAGGTAGCGACAAATCCACAATCAAAAATACTGCAGTGTCACGGTTGTAACACATAAATGGTAAATGTTGCGTAAAGGTTGATGCTTAGCAGTGTTAGCTTAGTGATTATTTCTTTTATTCTCATGACCAGAGATTTTGATTCAGGGGTGACATTGTTTGGAGAATTACATTCAGTGCTGGTCACTCTTTTGGTTAAGGGGCAAATAGATGCCAAAGCAGAAAAGTGAACTGTTAGGCTGTTTATCCGCCTTGAACCCAAAGAAACTGAATGCTGGTGTCTTTATGACATCGAAAGAAACATGGTAATAGCCCCGAAAAGCGCTGAACGTTTCATTTCATTTGTGAGGGAGATAAGGACACAGTAGCGTGATATCCACCCAGCTCTCTGTTGTTTGCAAAACAACGCAAAATGACCAAACTTTGCTTTGTCTGGAGAACGTGAACGACGACGGCTAATTTCTTAAGTTTCTATTTCTAATTTAACGCTGTGTTCCATATTCAATTTCGAAATAGTTTTGACAGTGAGAAACAAGCCAAACGACTTTACAGTATCGCGAGAATCGCAGGTAAAATATAAGTTCATTTTTTAACCGACTTTGTTCACGGCGTCGCCGCCGTCGTTTCTTAAACTCCCTACTAAACTAACGGGCCCGTAAGGTTGTTCTGTTTTTATATTCAAAATGGAGGTTTCGAAAAGTTGTGAGAATTATA